GATAAAGTGATGACTATGACTGATGATTGATGACTGATAATGGCCATCATGGGCGCAAGGCCTTGTCCGCGAAGGAGAACTTTGCCTTCTTATCAGCCCAGCCGTTCTGCCTCAGCGGCGCGCATGGACAAGAACTGCTGGGTGGTTCAGCCGCAAAATTTTCCAGAAACCATTAAACCATGGAACTTGGCTGAAAACCATTTTTTATGGGGTCATCCCATGTTTATGAAAAACATTGTGGGGTCATCCCATTTAAATCATTTGATGGATGGAAACGAAGCATTCAAAAAAACACTAAACATGTCTAAACTACATCTTAATGCAGGTTGAATAAATCTGTTATGATCCAAGTCCCACCATCTGAGGACACAACTCCCTGCCAGCATCAGTGACCTGGTGTCACCAATGGTTTTAGACTCCAGCTATGGGATAAATCAAGCCGCAAGCCATAAAACTAGACGACGGATGGCCCGAGAGCGTAGAGGAGCAGAGTCTTCTGTTGTTAGTATGGAGACACGCTTTTTACACACAGGCTCTTTTACACACAGACGCTTTTACACACAGACGCTTTTACACACAGACGCTTTTTACACGCAGGACGCTTTTACACACAGAAGCTTTTACACACAGACGCTTTTACACACAGCCTTTTACACACAGACGCTTTTACACACAGACGCTTTTACACACAGACGCTTTTACACACAGACGCTTTTACACACAGACGCTTTTTACACACAGACGCTTTTTACACACAGACGCTTTTACACACAGACGCTTTTACACACAGAGACGCTTTTACACACAGAGACTTTTACACACACAGACGCTTTTACACACAGACGCTTTTACACACAGACGCTTTTTACACACAGGGGCTTTTACACACAGAAGCTTTTACACACAGACGCTTTTACACACACGCTTTTACACAAACACTTTCACACGCAGAGACTGTTACAGACAGACGCTTTGACACACAGACGCTTTTACACACAGAGGCTTTCACACAGACGCTTTTACACACAGAGACTTTTACACACACAGACGCTTTTACACACAGACGCTTTTACACACAGACGCTTTTACACACAGAGACTTTTACACACAGACGCTTTTACACACAGACGCTTTTACACACAGACGCTTTTACACACAGAGACTTTTACACACACAGACGCTTTTACACACAAACACTTTTACACACAGAAGCTTTTACACACAGACGCTTTTACACACAGACGCTTTCTACACACAGACGCTTTTACACACAGAGGCTTTTACCCGCAGAGACTTTTACACACAGACGCTTTTACACACAGACGCTTTTACACACAGACACTTTTACACACAGACGCTTTTACACACAGACGCTTTTACACACAGACGCTTTTTACACACAGGGGCTTTTACACACAGAAGCTTTTACACACAGACGCTTTTACACACAAACACTTTTACACAAACACTTTTACACACAGACGCTTTTACACACAGACGCTTTTACACACAGACGCTTTTTACACACAGACGCTTTTTACACACAGACGCTTTGACACACAAACACATTTACACACAGAGGCTTTTACACACAAACGCTTTTACACAAACACTTTTACACACAGACATTTTTACACACAGACGCTTTTACACACAGACGCTTTGACACACAGACGCTTTTACACACAGACGCTTTTACACACAGAGACTTTTACACACAGAGACGCTTTTACACACAGAAACTTTTACACACAGACTCTTTTACACACAGACGCTTTTACACACAGACGAAAGGGTTGCTCCGGCACAGGAAAAATCGCAATTTTACCTCAGTTTCTACCGATCGACCCTCATTTCGTGCGAAAGGGTTGCTCCGGGGCAAGTCAAATCGCAATTTTACCTCAGTTTTTGCCGATCGACCCGCATTTCGTGCGAAAGGGTTGCTCCGGGGCAAGTCAAATCGAAATTTTACCTCAGTTTTTGCCGATCGACCCTCATTTCGTGCGAAAGGGTTGCTCCGGGGCAAGTAAAATCGCACTTTTTCCTCAGTTTTTGCCGATCGACCTTCATTTCGTGCGAAAGGGTTGCTCCGGGGCAAGTCAAATCGCAATTTTACTTCAGTTTTTGCCGATCGACCCTCATTTCGTGCGAAAGGGTTGCTCCGGGGCAAGTAAAATCGCAATTTTTCCTCAGTTTTTGACGATCGACCCTCATTTCGTGCGAAAAGGTTGCTTTAGCACAAGTAAAATCGCAAATTTACCTCAGTTTTTGCCGATCGACCCTCATTTCGTGCGAAAGGGTTGCTCCGGGGCAAGTAAAATCGCATTTTTTCCTCAGTTTTTGCCGATCGACCGGAAGGGTTGCTCCAGGACAAGTCAAATCGCAATTTTACCTCAGTTTTTGCCGATCGACCCTCATTTCGTGCGAAAGGGTTGACGTTTCGTGACTCGCCGCCGGCACCACCCTCGGCCTTAAGAGAGAAAGATAAAAAGAAGGCGTGAGAGAGAAGGTGAGCAGGTGTGAAGATAAGAAGATGAGCAGATGTGAAGATGAGCAGATGTGAAGATGAGCAGATGTGAAGATGAGCAGATGTGAAGATGAGAAGATGTGAAGATGAGCAGATGTGAAGATGAGCAGATGTGAAGATGAGCAGATGTGAAGATGAGCAGATGTGAAGATGAGCAGATGTGAAGATGAGAAGGTGTGAAGATGAGCAGATGTGAAGATGAGATGTGAAGATGAGCAGATGTGAAGATGAGCAGATGTGAAGATGAGCAGATGTGAAGATGAGCAGATGTGAAGATGAGAAGATGTGAAGATAAGAAGATGTGAAGATGAGCAGATGTGAAGATGTGAAGATGAGCAGATGTGAAGATGAGCAGATGTGAAGATGAGCAGATGTGAAGATGAGAGGATGTGAAGATGAGCAGATGTGAAGATGAGAGGATGTGAAGATGAGAGGATGTGAAGATGAGCAGATGTGAAGATGAGAGGATGTGAAGATGAGAGGATGTAAAGATGAAAAGATGTGAAGATGAGAGGATGTGAAGATGAGAGGATGTAAAGATGAAAAGATGTGAAGATGAGAGGATGTGAAGATGAGATGTGAAGATGAGAGGATGTGAAGATGAGATGTGAAGATGAGATGTGAAGATGAGAAGATGTTTTACAGACCCCCACTATTGGAAGAACCCTGCGCTCAGACGCTCTCGGGAAAAATGAGGTGAATCCAGCAGTTGGAGACAAAGCTATGTCCTTTATGGTTGGTTCTATCCATCCATCCATCCATCCATCCAAGTATCTATCTACACCAATCCCGTTCATTTTCACCCGTAAAATCCGATCATATGAATCACATCCCATCATACAGATCCTCCGCCGGCCTTGCCCAAGGGCTCGCTTTGACTTTTGCTTCGCCGCAGGGCCTACGAAATCTGCAAGTTATGCTGTTGAATAAATATGGTTTTATATGGTTTAAAAGGGATAATCATGGAATAATCATGGAATAATCATGCGATAATGATACATAATAATGGGATAATCTATCAATCTGGCTGAATGATAACAATTTCAGTGACCTGAAAATAGCTGAAAAAAGTTAATTTACAGATGATTCCCCTTACTAATCATCATTCCAGTATTCCAGTGATGTAACAGTGAGGTCATTATAATTCATCCAAAGCCATCCACCATCATCCACTGGAATCATCCACCTAAATGTGCTATGACACATAGGTATACGGATACGTAACTTCAGTGATCCAGTGATCCCTCTAATTCCTGGCTTTTGGCCAACCCTTCCACGATGTCGCAGGAAAGCATTCCAATGATCTCATTGGTTCTCCCGAATTCTTGCCCCTTCTCACGCCAAAATACCTGGAATTTCTGCATGAACATCCCCAAAATATGCGAATAAATGCTAATCATAGGTAACTTATGGATACTTATGGTGACTTGACCCATCACCACTGACATGGGTCCTGCTGACATTCGCACCTGGAGTGGTTGTCTCCCGGCCGCTCCAACTTTGCCATGAACCTTGGGGTCAAAACCTTGCAGCTCAAACACCTTGGAACGCAAACTGTATATGGTGTTGATGAAAACCTATCCGAACTAAGAAGAGTGCTATGATAATATATGATAATAATCCCCATGAAAACATCGCTTTTTTATTGAATGTTTGACCATATAACGTAGGCATACGTAGGCTAAGAAATGACCAATCATATTCTACATCTACAGAATCTATACAGTAGATTTTTGACATATACCCATCTGTTCCCTCCCTATTCGCAATTGACGTGACCTGCAATCAACTGCCATCCCGCACTCCATGGCCGTTGGACATGTTGTCTCGATTGCGCAGCGCCTTCCAAGGGGCTGCAAGGGTCCCCTTACTGTGAGACCTCAATTTCCCGGGTTGAAGATGGCTCCGAAGTCGACTTAAGACTTATCTTCTGCATCACTTATCTTCTGCCAACAAAAACAAATTTGGTCTGAATTACCACAAGTCAGTGATTCTGGACCAAAGCAGCCGAAGGTAAATGGAAGATCCAGGCAGGCCCTTTGCTCAGGATCGTTTGTTCTACAGTTCCCAGTTCTGGGCTGCCTTTTTCTCACAAGATTCAAGCAATGACTGGCAGACTTGCCAGGAAAATATGAACATGGCAAGTTAAGGCTTTAACTGTAAACTAAGGCGACTGTTCAGCCCCAGTTCATGGCGCTTCCCTGACAGCATAGTACTCCGAGACAGTCAAAAAGCTGCGGCTTCATTCAGAAGTGAAACAGCATTTTGGGACAGAAGTGAGCTGTCTGGTCAGGCAAGCAAAGAATTTGAAGGACTCTCTTAAGAACTTCATACAACTCGCAAAAGGGGCAAAAGGTGGGGAAATCCGTATTCTGCGGATCCACCGTAAAGTAGATGATTGTAGGAACTATCAACGCAGCGAGTGCTTAAAAGCAATCGACCTGCATCGCACATCCTGGATTTGAGCAAGTTCTCAGGAGTACAGCTTCGCAATGTCTTCCCTTAGTTTTATGCCATTGCACAATGGGACAAATTTCGCAATATCGGCTTTCGTGAACTTAGTTGGGGACAAGAGTACTTTAGCTTTGCCTTCGACTTTTCCGTGGGCTCGTCATAGTCGTAGAGAATGCTTCTAAGGTATGATATGGTTAAGACATGCCTATGATTTCAGCGGACTTGTGTCAACTGGTGACATCAATCCACTCGCTGTCACAGCAGGGTCAGCCAGGACAGCCAGTGTATGCAACAAAGTACAGAATTTCCCGAACAAGTATGATTGACAACCTATGCGGGGTCCAGAAATCCACGTAGACCCTAACATATACATTCAATAGATGTTTTCCTTGTATCAAAATATAATCAGGATTAATCAGGCGGTATGTGTGTCCCTGCGCAGCATCCTAAGCTTGGAGGTCAATAGTGTTTATCAAATCAAAGCAGCCGGTGACTCTGTATGTATATGCATGTAGATTATATATATATATCTATTAGATGTGTACAATGATATGGTCATAGACAGGATAGTTTAGATTTGAGTGGGAAAATACGATAAGATTTTGAAACGTAACTAGCAACGAATAGCATAGATCAGATGGGGTAACATTTGATAGGACAAGATTAGACAAGACAGGATACAGTATGTGTATATATATATACTATATCCTAGCATATCCTCGTATATCCAGTGCCAATCATGGGCCGCCTGCAAAAAAGGAGATGGTTCGCAAATGTACGTATAAACTGTATATACCCATGAAAAAAAACATATTCAATGATTGTAAAGTAACCGAGTATCCAGTTGATTTAGCCATTAACCATGGATTATTAGCCATGGTTTAACAATTGATGAACCAACCCCCAAAGGATGCAGTTTAGTATGTATTTCTGTAAATAAAATATATATCTATATATAGATACACCAGCAAATATCAAATAGGCTATGAAATATATATATATATATATTTATAATAGCTCCACTTCCATCTGCTGGGTACACATCCCTCTAAAAAATTGAACCATTTATCCATGGGATTCCACACTATCTGCAATGGCACTTTACGGCACCGGGCTGCTTGTGCTTGTCAGCAATGATGGGCCGCTTGAGTTTCATGGCAGCGGTCAACAGGTCATTCTCAGGAGTCCATGGGTCTGAGACCAAGCAAATCCTGGTCGGATGTCACGAGGGTAACTGGTGTGAGGCCACAAGAAGTTGGAAGGTGACCTAAACCAAAATGGTGATTTTAACAAAAAATGACGATTTTACCAAGAAAGACGTGGGGATTTACCCAACTGGTGATTTCAACCAAGAGACATGATGATTTAAGCCAACAACAAAGAGGCTTTAACTGCAGTAGTGGTGATGTACCAAAGAAAAATGGGATTTGAATCAACACTAATGGGATGGAGATTTGAACCAACCGAAACAAAACCAACACAACTTGAGATTTACCCAGGAAGAAACTGAAATTGGGGCAACAAATATGAAGTTTTGACCAACACATATTGTGATTTAACCAACATAACCACCCAGGTAAAACAGGACATCAAGCAACAAAATTGGCGATTTTACCATCAAACATCGGGTCTTATATGACCCATTCAAAAGAGAAGTTGAGCCCTAAAAAACCAGGAGTTTCCGAACCAAATGTGGGGGGGGGTACTTAACCAAGTCGCCCGCGAGAACCGTCAAGGCTAACATTTATGGAGAATGTCCAGGTGATTGGCCGATTCTCATGCTTCTATATAATTGTCTAATCCTCTAACACTTAAACATTGAACAGTACACAGAAGTGCCCAGTTAAGCGACTTCTTACGTGTCTCGCAAATCAGGTGCAAACCAGCAACAACTTGGTGTGTAAAATGCTAGGAAAACGCCCGTTGGAACTGGCTAATGCTGGAAAACTATATAACCTGGCAATGGGAAATATATTTTATATGTTTTTATAGTTTCTGGCAAAATTATCACATATGATTTCGGATTATCCATTGCCAGGTCACGCTAAAATATCATGAAATCATTCAGGTGTCCTCGTTGATCTGTTCCTAATGGGACCCAAATTCCAATGAACTACTAGGCAAACACCTGGCTACACATGGTTCGGACACCATGAATATCACAAGTTTCAGAAGAGTGTGTGTATATATATATATGTACACGTATATTATCTATCTATTTATCTATCTACCTACCTACCTAGCTAGCTATCTATCTATCTATCCATCCATCCATCTATCTATCTATCTATCTATATCTGTATTATGCTGTATAATTTATGTTTATATGATTTTATATGTATATATACAATATAATAAATAGGAAATAAATAGGTGTGTCCTTTGCACATTGGCTGATTTTCGCTGCTCTCCTTTGAGGGATTTCGAACTCGACCAACTTCATCTCTTTGCACTTGGCTTTGCAGTCAGCAAAGACCTGGTCCACGGGTTACATGGCCAATGACCCTCTAAGTGGATTATCTCCCATATATATATATACGCGTTTATTTATATAAATATGATTGTGTATCTGTATCTTTATTATCTTTTGCATGTATATATATGAACCATAGTATATATATATGTATGAATAGATCAAAAACAATCAAAAACTAATTATACCCATACTCACCAGTTACGATCTGTGGTATGATCCTCCAAGTGGGAGCCACACTGGACAGACCAGGCAGCCAGGTGCTGGTCCAACTTGGCTCATTGAGGAGACAACTTCAAGGTATGTTACATGTAACATGTAGTGGTGTACATGTAGATGCATTTTTTAAGTAACCACATTAACTACCAAAACAAAATAGGCACATATAATTTACCACTTAGGATTTTGCTGTTCTATTTTGTGGTGTAATTTCAATGAAGGGCAGCTGCTTTACAATTGCAGTTTCTGCGCTTTTCTGCTCGATGTCCGGGGCGCCTTTGCAACCACCTTGTCCTTAGAAAGCCACGCAGCCACGCAGCCAGTGCCGACGGAAATGCGACGTCCGGGGCTACTGTTTCCCATGCAAAATCACGGGGGTATAACCGGTATACCCCCAAAATGGAATCAAAATGGATCAAAATGGCAATTTTGATACCATTTTTAGATACGGAAACTATATCAATGAGGATTTATCCATTGGATTTATCCATTGGATTATCTATATCATTGGAAACTATATCAATGAGGAAATTATCTATGGAATGATGGGTTATCCACGGTTCTTTCAAAACAGACAAACAACGGATGTATCTGGGTAAATTATCATATTTCACCAACCTGACATGTTGGGCCATTTGGGGATAGTCACCCCTACTACCCTCTGGTAAAAATACAAAAAACTATGGAAAATCACCATTTTTAATGGGAAAATCCACTATAAATGGCCATTTTCACTAGCAAACTGTTAGTTTACCAGAGGGTAACCATCATTCCCAGTGAGGTTATCCACTTTGGCCGGGCAACGTTCGCACACATCGCCTGGAAATCTCCGGTCACGCCCAGCTGCTGCGCCAGCTTTTCCAGGCTTGGCTTCACGGGGCAAATCCTGCCGCCAAAAGGCGGTGTTTGGACTTTTTTTGTCCAGGTTTTCTTCAGCTGGTTGGTGGTTTTAACCATCTTGAAAAATATTAGTCAATGGGAAGGATTATCCCATATATTATGGAAAATAAAAAATGTTCCAAACCACCAACCAGTCAGTGTGTTTTCACAATTGTTGGAAGTTCGTGTTTTTGAAGTTGGGGGTTTGAAGTTGCTGTTTTTGATCAGTGGGATTCGTTTTATGGTTGAAACTTATTGATGCGACCACCCGATTTGTGGGATATCATGATTGACCAATGGATTCGGGGGTGCCTTGGTACTCCGTTCTCAGACAAACCCCACGTCTGGGGTCTGGGGTATGCGGAACAAAGTATGGATACTACGCACATTTCGAAATCTGCAACCAATGATGATCTGACAATCTTAGAAGGCAAAAGCCAGAATTTATGAACCCCAAATGGTTTCATCATCCCATAGGAAAAAAGACTTTTGCTGGGGTAAAAGAACGTAGATATGGACTCATTTCTTCAGAAATGATCTACAGATGGTGGATTCCCCAACCCACCAGGCAACTCTTTTGGGCCCGTCCCAGAACCCCCCCCTGGAAACCACATATTGGTACCCATTTGGATGTGTTTAAGACGAAGGAAGGATGGGATGAAGTATTGCCAGATTGCCCCATTTCCTCTTTGTGAGATAGCATTTAATTTTGCAGGGACATTCGTGGTATTTGCTTCATGCAGCTGTTTTCGATGCATGGGGATATGTCACCCGAGTGAAATGACATGTAATTGTAGGGCAGCCAGCCAGTGGTTTCAAGGCCGTGTAACATCGTGGAATTGAGCAAGTTTTGCCGCTTTGCTTTGTTAGGACCCCAGATCCACCACATTGTTTAGGTTTCGTTTTTTTTTCAGTCTCTTGCAGCCGTGCAGCAAAGCAACGGGATAGCTGCCACCGGTCTTTCCATAAACCATCCTGGGCTCGTGAAAATAGGTCCAGCGGGAAAGTGCACATTATATTATGTAGATATACTGTATATATATATATTCTTATATATATATATTCTTATATATATATATTCTTATATATATATATTCTTATATATATATTCTTATATATATATATTCTTATATATATATTCTTATATATATATATTCTTATATATATATTCTTATATATATATATTCTTATATATATATTCTTATATATTCTTATATATATTCTTATATATATATATTTTTTTCTTATATATGCTATGTTTACATACATCACAGTATCAACATCTTGTAATGGACTTGAAGAGAAGCTGACTGCGGACTTGACCCTTGATGTGCTTTTTCAAGCGGTGCCTCTCACTCCAGAATACGCATCCAAGTCAGCAAGTGGTTCATAACCATGGTCATAACCATGGTCATAAACATGGTCATAACCATGGTCATAACCATGGTCATAACCTGTAGTATAGTTCTATAAAGTCTCAAAGTCTTACAAATAAACATATGTCCCATAAATATATGGACTATCTGTGGCTATCTAGTCAGTTCAGAGACGTTTAGGATGTCAGACTGCTGGGAATGCCTTGGGATGGTGATCAAACTAGACCTCACAATGCACATGACTGCTGGTAAGATTCTGGTACCCGTGAAGATTAGTTGAAAGTTGAAACTAGAAATCAACAGTTCGTATGTGGTCTCCTGGGCAGGATTTGTTTGACCCCTTCATTAACATGTTCTTCTTTGGAAGGATTGAAGGGCAGAGTACAGGAAATCCACGTGTTTATATATATATATACACATGCTTTATCAATCACACTTAGCTGTTGTTCATTTGACATATGTAAATAGCTCCGGAAAATCATCATGTTCAATAGTCATCGAACTAAATGTGCCATTCTCCATAAGTGTATACATATATAATAGTAAAAATAATCATAATAATAAAATAATAATAATAATGATAATGATAATGATAATAATACGAAGGTATGTAATAATAATATATACTATTATTATATATAATAATATATTATCATATATCATTAACAGATATATATTAAAAGTAAATCCTGGGAGCTTCTTTGCCCCCGAGTTCACCCCCAGCAAACCATCCCGACATCGCCATGTGTCGGCATTTCCACACATTCCACCAGCTTCAATGCCTTGGTAAAGCCCGAAGGCATGACGACACAAAATTCAAGTAGCAAAGGATCCACAATTACCATGGCATACCATGGCCATATAATGACCTGGAACATCCCTACCTAGAACTAAAAAATGTGGGCTTTGTATAGCTTTGCGAGGTTACTTACGTAGCAATCCATGTTACAACTGGCCCCCTTGAATTGTAAGTCCCCCAAAAAGACGGCTTATTTACCAGACCCACACATGGGAAAGTCGCCAAAGAATTTTGGTGAGTGGCAGCTTCTACCTTGGTCAGGGCCACGTACTCGCCATTGGGACCCTTCCACAAGTCCTGCACCACCCGTTGGTCAGTGTGGCAAAGTTTGCCATCTTGGCCTCTGTCGAGAAAGCAGAAGTTGTATAAGTTTGATGAACATCATTGAATATGGTGACTCTTTTTGCGTTGGAGACTCCAAGATCTACCAAAACCGATCCAAATGCTGATTCATTTGATTACCTAAAAGATATTAGCGTTGAAGACAATGGAAACCATTCTAGGCACTTCTTTCGAGGTTCCAAAATGGCTTCAGCCCCTTCCCGTTTTTGAAACGCCGCTGAAAACACAGGTCCTTCTTGCGGTCGATGATGGAGAGAGATCCGTCCTTGTTGATTTGTCCAATGTCACCTGTCCTGAAGAAGCGCTGTCCCTTGATGGTCACCCAATCCTCCTGGGATCGCCGATGACCAAAAAACGGGGATGTGTTGACTGTTCGCAACGTTTTTTTTTGTTTAATAGGACTTAGACATATATTTATAGTGGATATATGTGGATATATCTGATAATATAATTAATGTTACTGGGGTGTTAACTAGGATTTACAATGGATATATCATGATATCATATCTATAGTCTATAGATGTCTATAGTTAATGAAGGTTATAGACCAACTTGATCCAACTTGTATCTGGGCACCACCTTGTAGAGCTCCCAGTTCCATTTCTCAGGATGGGGAGCTGTCAGCGACCATGGTAGAGCTAGATGTGAACATCAGCTTGGTCCTCAAAATCCAGCCCTATCCAAGCCCAGTTCGGCTCCTCATTCTTCTTCTTCAGTTCCTCATTGGGTGCATGCTCGCTGATAAAATAGCCTTGCGACACTGAAGAACCACCTGCGCAATGAGTTGAGAGTGGAAGTTCATGGCATCCCCAAGACATACCAAGAAAAACCCAGAAAATTGATTCACCTGGGCATGGGTCAAAACCTCTTAGTACCATTTTTTGCGGAACAAAACCCATAAACCATCTATTTTACCTAGGGTACCATGGGATTTTGGGGGTCGAATCCATTTGACCCATGGATTCGGCGAAGCAACGGCCTGTTCTTCAGGAGCGCTCGGTCCAACCAGTTGATCTTCGATTTTCATCCTACGTCCCACTAGTTCATCATGTTATCGTACTTCATCATTAACTCTACCATAATTGGATGAATTTAGTTCTATATTCCCTTCTCACCAAGCTTCACCTCTATTTTTTATTGATTCAAACGTAATCCGAGGCTTGGTTCAACCCCTGTTTTTGATGAATAGATATGGTTCACAACCACATTGTTTATCCACTGATTCGGTTGCTTCCCTTTCCCTCCCAAGTAGTTGTTATCATCATTTCAACAGTAAACCTGCCATCATTAGGGTCTAAAATCTAATTTCTCCTTTCCGGCTACGATTTTCCTCCCATAGCCTATGAGAACTTCTCCGCGGCGTAGGCCAATCTCCGGCTTGTCCTTGTCAGAGTTGGAATAGCCTCCCTCAGGCCAATCAGCCAGGCGAATCACCGTGCACACCGTGGGCACACCCACCGAACCTCAAAGGACCAAATCGATCTGCGAGGACCAAGAAAAAAAGGTTGGTCTGAAAATGGGTTACCACCAAAATCCTCTGGATCATCACAATTTTCTCCAAACTGTATAAAATTGGATTGTACCACATGTTCGAAACTCACCCATATGGTTGGACAATTGGGTCCTTAGTCCGCCAATGAAGGGGTGCGAGTAGATAGCACATGGCTCCAATCAATCCACCGACCGGTTGATTTCCAGGATCCATCGCAGCAAAAAGAGCTGCGTTTCCTGCGTTTCTTCTATTCCCATCTTCATGACTTACATCCTGAATATGGTTGGCAAACTCGCCAATCCCTGGTTGATTCCTGGGAATCTTTGCGCCACACCAAGGGTTTTATACTTTCTACAAGGTACCCTTCATCGATACGTTCTACCATCTGAGAGCTAACAACTTCCTGCACATCACAAAGAAAACATCGGAGAAATCTGGAATCGATGGACTGGTTTAAGGGAAAAAATACAGGAAAACCCCATAATTCATGGGGAAATCTATGGTTTCCGGTTAAGATTTTTCCTTAAACAAATCCATTGACGAAGTTAGATAATGATTGGAATCCACACTTGGCAAACACTTCCTTACCCTGCTACTGCTAGATCGGTCAAACAATTTAGCACCGTCGCTTGATCGATCGATCTCTCTACTTATCTATCTATCTAAATATCTACATATGGCTCGAACTGTCTATTTTTTTTTTATCTATCTGTCCATCTGTCTATCTATCTATCTATCTGTCTGTCTGTCTATCTATCTATTTATCTATCTATCATTATCTATCTATTTATCTATCTATCTTTATTTCTATCAGTATACAGTATAAATATGTATGTAAGTATGTACATATGGACGACACATACTATGGTCGTCCATCACACAATGGGAATCCTGATCATGGGCTTCTGAGTCCCAACGGATCGTTGTTTTTTCCACAGCCAGCAACCGCCGATGCCAAATGATGCCAAGCATCCAGTGCTGTTGTCCGACCACGGCTGGATGACACTTCCGGCACAGGTCTCCGTGAGGCCGTAGCCCTGACGCACGGGGACGTTCAACACCTCGGTGACGTGACAAGCGTCGACATGGTACTTAAGAGGTCAGATAAAGGGTAAAGCATGCAATTTCGACCAAAATGGTTTAAAGATTTTAAAGTACTATACAAAAATATACAAAATATATCAACATAATTCAACATATCGATAGAGAGAGATGAGTCTCGTGTTTAAAACGAGTTCTGGCTTCACCAGCCAAGTGACGGTTTGGATGAACTTCTGGATTTCCGCTGAGAGGGGAGCCTGAGATAGTCCAGGGAGATCTGGAAAGGGAGGCTGGGAATAAGAACATCAATGCGTAAATAGGTAAACAACCAGAAATGAATGGGGACTTCTGACCATAAAAGAAATCCGGAAAGGTGTGGTAAACCATGGTGAACCGAAAGATAGTCCTTTGAAAATGTCGATAAAAATAGTGTCATTCACTCTAATTTACTAGTTCTGAGACCCAAAAATGCCAGTATTGATTGCCAAAAGACATGTTGCTTTGGCAGCTTTGTTTCAGCCATACCTGCCCCATTTACGACCAACCTAGAGCAAATAGAAGATTCCCTATGTTTGAAAGAGCTTGTTTACCTATTGGAGATTGGCCCATCATTTATTCCATCTATTCCATCATGGGTAGAGTAATCTGTTTTTTTCTCACACAATCTGCAACACTTCCAGCAAAGAAGCAGAACCTGTCACAGCCGCTTTGAGTCTGCCTCCCATGAGGTTCTGTACCTTTCAAGACAGGAGTCGTGGGTCAAATTTCAAAACCTTGGGACTCACAATTTTGGGCCATGTTCAAAACCAACTGTCCAATTTCCTTTTGGGAAAAAACAAATTCACCTATACGCAAATGATATGGGTGTTTCTCAAACATTGAACGCCAAAGGCTTTGTTTACCTCCATACATACGCAGCTGTGGTCAGCTGTGGTATACACAAGAAACCAGCCAAGTGTCAGCTTATATTCACATATATATATATTCTGTATATATACATAAACTCAGCAAACCCCCAAAATGCATGGCTAAGCTTACCATTTTAGAGTTTTCTATGTTTACTGTAATACAAACAAACATGACCGATTCTGTTGGTCCATTGGTATCACAAGTAGCTGACCACCAAGCTCATCACGGCCATAGCAGGGGACCTTCTTGAAGACCAAGCCGTTGTATACAAAGTTTGCTCCAATCCCACCCCGTGCAAAGGACCGTTCGCCGGACCTGAGGATATGAGAGAGAACGGGGATTCAATGGTCCACGATGGAATGTAATATGATATAATGGTATACGCTATACTACATATCTATACATGACATATCCAACACTATCAAAATATTACTGTACTATGATATGAGTTGATTTGAAAAGGTGGGATTTAGATGGATTTAGCCCCAGTTTATGGTAGGGGGGCATGATGACAAGTCATGGGATGGAATGGTATATACATCAGAGCACATGTCAGGTTACTTGTCAGAGCATATGTCACTGGTCATGGGAACTCAGGAAAAATACCTGTCAGAACACATGTCAGAGATTGTCTGATTGTCAGACTATGTGTCAGGACACATGTCCGAACATATGTCAGAATCAATGTCAAAATAAAATGACAGGATGTGTGTATATATATTATGCCTCAGCATGTTCGTCAGGATGGTTTCATATGTTTCTATGTGGGGATCACTCTGACTAACTGCGTTTTTAATCACGACACCGGCAGCTGCATCAACAAGTATCCATGCAGATTTCATGATCATCACTGGCAGCCCTGGCATCCTTGCTTTCAATGACTGGATTTAAGGGAAAACCCTGAATAAAGCGGTCTGAAGCAGTTGATGTTTCCAGTCTATTGCTGGCTGCTGCGAAATCTGATGATCGTTGCGACAAAATGAATAGCACCCCCCCATCCTCACCCTCTTGCTGCTGGAACTTTGGAAAAACCACAAATCAGCTGGAGTAATCTGAAACATAGATGAACAATGGAACAAATCATGTGGTTTTTCATCGTGCATATTCTATGCACCCCAGATATAAAGCAGAATTTCTTCCATGACCGGTTGGTTGATGATTGGATGACAGCAAATGACATCAAATGAGCAAACAAATACACAAAAACTAATTCATCGTATATCATAGCATATGATACTGTATACCATACAGTTAGAACAACAATGTATATATATATATCTCTTTGTCGTATTATATGCTATCGTCATCTAGCATCTATAATTATTATCATTATCATTGTATTGATAGATGATCAAAGTACATCATAGCAGTATATCATACCATAGCTAGAACATAATTTATTTTTTATTGTACTATATAGGATATCATCATCTATCCATTATAATGATAATTATAGATAATATAGATCATAGTAATACTATTGATATCTATCTATCCATTATAATTATCATCTATCCATCCATTTATAATGATCATAGTCATAGTAAATAATAATCCTTGGCAAGCTTTCATGACATGATCTTCAGATGCCATGGGTATCCATGGCTTCCCACGCCACGGTCGGTCATGCTGGGAAGCCCGGGCGCAAGTCCCCAGTCGAAAAGGGTCTGACCAATGTATCCTGCACCCTCACCTCGTGGCCGAGCTCTGGGTGACGCTTGTGGACACATGTAGTGATATCATATGTATAACATTGGAAGTATAATCATCTATAAGCATATCGTATAAATTATACATATTTATAAATATGTGTACATTAATAAGCATATTATATATAATCACATACTATAATGTAATATAATATAATAATATAATAATATAATAATATAATAATATAATAATATAATAATATAATAATATAATAATATAATAATATAATAATATAATAAAAAAAAATAAAAAAAAATAAAAAAAACAATAATACAATAATACAATACAATTATAATATAATATAATATAAATATAATATAATATAAATATAATATAATATAATATTAATATAAGCTAAGCTAAGCATATCATAGAACATAGAATCATATGGCATGAACAATGAGTGTGGAATAGTTCATGGGAGAAAACAACAATCATAACAATCTCTATCAATCTCTTTTGCTGGGTTCAAATTCTTCTCAGCGTCCCAGCAATCAAACAGAAAATCATCTACACATGGGTTTTGTTCAGACAGCCAACTTAGATGTCTTATATTTCCAGAAGCTAAAAGGTTCAAATCTGTCGTAGTGGACCCCAATTTGTTTCACCTGTTCCACTTACAAGAGCAAAGTTCAATAAAAAGGTTTCTGATGGTTCCTGCTATATCCTGTTCAACATCACCACAAAAACACATATATAAAATGCATCTGTATTACCACCTTCTCATGGGCTGAAACCGGGAGACAAAGGGCGTCTGCTGGGATCTGTCAGTGTCTTGACATCGTAGATTTCTGGGGTCATCATATAGTGATTTCCAAAAATCCTAACTAAATTGAGAATACTTCTGGAAATCCCATTCTCTACCTACATCAGGACCATTATAGATGGACTCAGTTTTGCGACTCAGCGACGTTTCGCAAGAATTCCCTTGTAGACCTTGTCCAGAACTGCAGGTGCAAACACCTCGGGATCAGCCGGGGCATCAGCCTAGCCATCTAGACCTGCTGTGGCTAGGGTATTAAAGATCCCCAGATAGTAGAACCCCCTATAACCAATCAACAATGGTATGTGTTAATCTGGTTGGTGGTTTCAACCCCTCTGAAAAATATCAGTCAGTTGGGAAGGATTATCCCATATATTATGGAACAGAAAAAATGTTTGAAACCACCAACCAGTAATGACTCAAATGTCAGCCCAGAAACCATAAAGTGAGGTTGCAAGACGATGGCATCGCCGGACGACTCTGGGCGTTTCAGCTTCACACCGGTGTCCTGGAGAAAGTCTGGTGTAGCTGGTGTAGCGCATGATTCAAACCATGTTTTTTTTTAACCGTTCGGGAGTTCTTTTGAATAATAAACATTTGAGAAATTGGGGGGGAAAGAAATTGAGATTCTCATGTTTTCGTATGTTTTGCTAGTAACAATAGGCGTTTATTCTTCATACCACATTACCCTGAGGCCATCTGAGAATGAAGTCCACGGATTTCATAGTGAATCATCATTTTCCTGGCTTCAAAAAGCCGCTAAATCTTATGAAATCCCATTGAAATTCCATTGAATTCCACGCTTCCCCAGTTTTCTCCGTCAAGGTGTGCGGACTGCCATAGCCCAAGGCGATACCCAACCCAAGGAGAGCCACCTAGCCGTGGATAGAATAATCATTGGGGATTGCAACTATAATAACTAGGGTTTGTAGGGGATATATCTATAGGTGGATTATCACGCAGTTTCTAACAATCATACCGGCACAGTTAACGTAGTAAACGTAATTCATGGCCCACAAGATGCAAACAAGGTTCATGTGTTTCACTAGTTGATTGGAACATTTATGTTCTCTCATTTTTGCGTCACTATATGTTGATATCATATACAATATTCCGTGTTTCCAATTCATATGTGTTGGGTTTTAATGAATCCTGTTCAATCATGGATTCATATGCTATCATATCAACATTGTAATAACATCTAATGGGATATACTTGGGATATGATGGGATATACAGGCGACGATATCATGAAATAGATATATAACCCTTTTTGGTAAGCAAGCACGGCTGGCAAATTTATAAATAGGTATGTTCATGGAGCAAAAACCGTCGAACTAATTTTGAAAGTGAGGTCATTTCCATCAAACCATGTGTGATTACTCGCGGGTACAGTAACCATCAACTTATGGGTGCTTAATTTAAGTAGCAAAAAGAGAAATAACTACTCCGATATGGATATAATTGGCAATACTGTATTGACTTGATTTGCATTGGATAATTGATTCAATTGATTGGACCTATATGGATATCAATACTATGTTAAGATTTGCATCTATCAAGTAATGAGGATATTGTCCTCCATTCAACTATCATAGACTCACAGACCCTGCCGTTGGGGATTGGATGGGATACCTTCCTGTTGGACCCATGGGAAAGAGAGAAAGCTAATGATCTATCTTATTCTGGAGGATATCAAGTTCCGCAAAGAGGGAGGGACACAATTGATAATCATTCAGAAGTAAATGGTCATATGATTGGGATTGTTAGAACAAGGCCTTGGGATGAAATTGATAAAATGCTCGCGAAACGGACACTGGTATATAATAATGATCAAATCCAGCAGCGATGATTGGTTGGTAAACTGACTGATTTATATAATGGGGATCATGAACGAAGCAAATATGGTGAACCCTTAGGCTTCAAATATCTACTCTCGCTCTCTCCCTCTATCTTTTTGGTATCCTTCTTTGCGGCACAAATATAATTTTATATATACATACAAAATAAGACCGTATAGTAAATGTAGTATGTTTGTAGCTGAAGTAGGTTATCGTTCCAGGATGTGCAATATCAAGCTTCTGGAAGCTTTTTCTTTAGTGTCCATTTCAAACGTCTCACCAAAATCTGCAGCATGGCCTACTTACGGGGTCATTCCACATAGCTCAAGGAAATAACTGGTGAGTGATCAGTGATTTGGTACAGCCCAAGATACAGGCTCATGTTTGGAATTATAATTGCGCAATTATCCAACCCAATTCAACACAGCTAAACATATATGGTATGCACTGTCATGAAGTATCTCAAAATATAACCAAGGATGTCAACTTTAATAATCCAATAACAGTGAAATTAAAAAATACATTAACACGTTTGGCACATCAAAATACATAAATTTGTTGGTTTGCTCACCACCGGCGAGCAACACCTTTTTGGGGTTTTCTCCTTATGATCTCACCTCAGCAGCCATTTCCATGATGTGTGCCAAGGGCAGGTATGCCAAGTACACATCCTGCGGCCGTTTTTGCTGAGGTCAATGACAGGAAAGTGGCTATCAGTCAAAGGCCTGGTATCGTAGGTACTCTAAGTCATAGCTGGCGAATGAATGTTTATATATTATTGTTTATTCGCCCAAATAGCTTTTGACCCATCCCCATATAAAGATTGCATCGGTGCATCAGTAATGACTTAAGATACACATTAAGGTTCAATCTTGGGAAACTTGCTCAGAGCCCAAGTCGATCCAAGTCTCAGGCCCTAAATGTTTTCCACCAACTCATGGGGCATTCAACTAATGTCAAATGGGTCACTACCCTCTGGTAATTTAACGTAGCTATTGAAAATGGCCATTTATAGTGGATTTTCACATAAAAAATGGTGATTTTCCATAGTTATGTTAGTTTACCAGAGGGTAATTAGTGAATGGTGGTGCTTGGCAAGCGCTAATAAAAGGCCAGCCAAAACAAAAAACAAAGCGGTCCCCGGCATTCACAATGCCATCGAATCGTTCCCCTGCACCAACGGAGATTGCTGTGAGGTTCGCGTGATTGATGAGCACTCCTGGCTGTCTCTTCTGGGATGCCCCATGATGCCCCAAAATCCAATGAATCCAATGGTTGTCATCCCGTTTTCCCCATTGAAATATATTGAAATAACAATTTTTTGGGGTCTCCTATATATTCTTGGACAAAGCCATATGGTTCATCTTCAGGATGTGCATGAGGGATCAAAAAGGTACCAGGGTCTGGCCCACTATTCGCAACTAATAGATGGCTCAAACCCACCTTGGGTACCCTAAAATTCGACGCCAAAGACTAAAAATGACCAGAATTTGCGGTCTCCTAATTTTGACTTATACCGCATACCCATATTGTTGCGCTATATCACGCCCAATTGGTCATTACATGTCATTACCCCCTGCCGCAGCGCCTTTGGGAGTCCCCGTGGTACCAGAGGTGTACATGATCACGGCAATATCCTCCGGATCGGGGCTGGTCGGCAACTCCTTCTCAGACCTCGAGGCACTTGGAGAGGCATGGTTCAATGATGTTCAATGTGCCCGAACTCTACAAGTTGGAGAATTGGTGCATTCGCAAATTCTACATCAGGATAGTGTTTGACCTAGCGCTATGGTATTGTGGTGCAGTCCTGGATCATTAGCTGAAGATAGCTGAAGTGTTTTGGTATAACATGTGCAAGGTTCATCAAAGGCTAGTCGCTGATTTTAACGTCAGGAAGTAGCTCCAAATACAAAGCCCTCAAAGCTACTTGGTTGGTGGTTGAGCCATCCCAAAACATCCTGGTCAATTGGGGTCTGATTCATTCATCCTTTTTTTTTCGGACGGAAGAACACATAACTGAAACCGCCATGCATAAATTGGTTGTAGCCCATTGCATCCAACTGTTCTTCTCCGCTGTTCTTCCGACTGGCAAGGGCGAGATATCTCCGTTCATCTTAATGAAACCAACAACCCGTTCTTCTCTTCCTCTCCGTTGGTTTTCCCATCCCCATTTCTGCAGGGTACAGTGTACATGTTTCATCCATAATGTACCCTCCTGTAAACTAACAAAGATGTGGAAAATCCATGAAAACCCACCATTAGTAATTAGTCGATCATTTCCTAGGCTTTCCACATGAGTTTTCCACATCTTTGTTGGTCCGTGTACCTTTGGGCCCTAGGCCTGAGAAAAACCTTGACATCGCCTCATGGGCCAAGGCGCTTGGCTCCGTTTTCGATGCACTCCTCGGGCACCAAGCATCTATAATATCAACCCTGGATTCAAAAAACCTAGGCTCAGTTTCATTGGGGCTATTATTTAAGTATCAAATTATCACTATTTGGAGGGTACCCTCATTATTAATACACCCTGGTTTGTGAATCCAGGCTTGACATCAATTTGATCTGGGAAATCACCAGGGACACCACGTTTTGTGACCGTCAGAAGGTCCGTAGAAATTTCACCGGTGTCTATTTCTGGACAAACCCACCCGACCTCAAATTGATGTATATTTTTAATATGTATATATATATAATATATACCTCTGGTAATTTAACATAGCTATGGGAAAAATGCCCATTTATAGATGATTTACCTATTAGAAATGGTGATTTTCTATAGCTATCTTAACTTACCAAAGGGTATATAATTACTTCATGCCAGACAAAAATTCACGTTTGGGTGTGGGTTGCCGCAAAGTGCGAAAACACCGGGCAGGCAAATCCATCAACATTGTTTGTGTTAGCATGAAAAAGCACTGGTTGGGATATCGACGTTATTCAACATGTCCTCAACTAAAGAAACTAAATTTCATAAGCTAGCTAGCAATTTAAAGGAATTGATAGTTGATCTGTTTAAATCAACCTTTTCTGGATAATCTGGATGATTTTCCATCCACGACCATATTCATGGCACGGATTTTTGGGCCGGGTTTTTTTCGTGTCCAGGTATCGTCAATGGTCTGAACCTCCACGCCAGCATCTTTGAGCTGTTTGGCCACAGCATCCTCTGGGGGTGTCCTCAACGATCCGCGATGTTTGGCCCGGGTTGAAAACGGGAGTTTCAAGACCTAAATGTCCCCTTTGAAAACTTGGTAAAACTGAACATGTATGTACACATATGTATATAATAATAGGTATAGTCTCGTCATAGCTGAATGCAGTGTTTCAGAACTTGTCATTAAATGTCCAAGAAGGTGCCCACATTTCACAGAATTTTTTTACGTTTCACAGACGTTTTCTACGCTTCACAGAAGTTGTCCACGTTTGACAGAGGTTGTCCTGGTTTCAATAGCGTTCGTATTGAACTGCTGTAGAATGGACAGCTCTCACTGGAAGTTCTTACCGAGACTATCATATATATATATATATATATATACGTACATACATTACATACATTACATACATTACATACATTACATACATTACATACATTACATACATTACATACATTACATACATTACATACATTACACACATTACACACATTACATACATTACATACATTACATACATTACATACATTACATACATTACATACATTCATACATTACATACATTACATACATTACATACATTACATACATTACATACATAACATACATTACATACATTACATACATTACATACATTACATACATTACATACATTACATACATTACATACATTACATACATTACATACATTCATACATTGCATACATCATACATACATACATACATACATACATACATACATACATACATACATACATACATACATACATACATACATACATACATACATTACATACATTACATACATACATACATACATACATACATTTACCATACCATACCATACCATATCATACCATTAAGTTACATGACGTGACATTGCATGACATACATACATACATAGATTACATACATACATACATACATACATACATACATACATTACATACATACATACATTACTTTACATTACATTACACTACATTACATTACATACATACATACATTACATACATTACATACATTACATACATTACATACATTACATGCATTACATACATTACATACATTACATACATTACATACATTACATACATACATACATACATACATACATACATACATACATTTACCATACCATACCATATCATACCATATCATACCATTAAGTTACATGACGTGACATTGCATGACATACATACATACATAGATTACATACATACGTACGTACATGAAATGACATGACATTACAATGCAATACAATTCAATACAATGCAATAACATACATATACAGTATGTATATAGTGTAAACACACGTACATGTATATCTATATATATATATATAATTACACATCAACTTTCATCAGACTGAGCAAGATTGAACAATGTTAACTTGGTTTGTGCATTTATGAATCTGTGCACAAAGATTAGGGGCACATCCTTGTGTACATTCCTCCTTGGTGTTGTCAAGCTTCATCAAGGATGAAGATTGCTGCATTTTAAATGTATACATATGTGAATCATCGAAACAGATCGAAACCATATTTTTTTTTTATATTTTAGTTGCAGCCAATTACGTCCCATTGCTCTCCCCAATTATGTACTATCGGTTCTGGTATTCCAATTGTTGCTGATGCATGCAACTGTCAATAGATCATGATATACCCAGTGTACTGTACTTCCTCCGGATATTTCTTACACTTATAACTATAATATATTGTTTTCCTAAGGTTATTTCTTACAATTCTGATTATGAACGATCTCTTAAAAACAGTTATAATATAGTTATAATCATACCGCCAACTTACCTATCTTGAGGGCCCCAGTCGTTGTGCTTCTGGTCAAGCTATGATATCTCCCACCATGGCATTGCCGACCAAGCGGCATGGTGATGATTCGCTTAATGCTCTTACACCTCATCTGCGAGAGTCTGGGAGCTCACCATGAGAGATCCACGAGAGTTCAACAAACTGTACTTGTACTTATATAGAAATAAACACATTGTGCATGCAAATGTATATGTATGTATATATGTGTATATATATACATACATACACGAACAATTAGTGTGTATATGTATATATATATATGTATATATATCTGTATATATATATGTGTGTATATATATATATATATTTGTGTGTCAGTATGTGTGGGAACAATTTATATACATACATATACATATACATCAAATATATATATATAAATATCATTTACTATACATATATATATATACACACCATATACACTGTATAAAAATATATACAGTATATATATACACAGTATATATATATACACAGTATATATATACAGTATATAGATACAGTATATATATATATATATTCAGTAAATATATCATATACTGTATTTAACATATATATATATATCATATACTGTGTTTAACCTATAAATATATGTGTTTATGTATATTTTTTAACAAATATTTTTCCATATGTTTGTCATATTTATTTATTACATATAGCTATCATTTTTTTAATATATCTATCTATATATATAAATATGTAGATGTATATACATATTTATTTATATAGTTATCATATATATGTAGCATATATATTTATCATATATATGTAGCATTAATATTTATCATATATATATATCTCTCCCAATATATATATAGATATCACATGTATTTGCATGCATCATTATTGGGTTCTATGGCATGGTTGTCATTATTAGAATTATATATAAGCACACATGTTATACTGTAGAATACTGTATCATATCTAGGAACATGATAATATATATGTATATGTATATTGGGTTTTATTCTATTTTATATATATCATATCATATTATCATACATATATATATACATAATACTACATTACATTGTACAATGATATTTAACCTTACATGATATTGAACTGCATCACATGCATCACATCAAATGATATGATATTACAAGCAGTTATATCGTTATGTTGCATTATACTATATCATACAAAATTATAAACCACACACTATATCATTGAATTAAAAAACCAGTTGTAATATGATACATATATACATATCATATATCATATATCAAATATCAAAAATCAAAAATCATATAATACAATATACACACATCATATATATATATTAGTTCTAGCCATAGCTATCATTAGTTTACATGTTCTATACGTACTACAATTTAAATTCTAAAACATACTATAGTGCGTTCTATTTTTCATTTATTATATGTTACATGTCACAGTATTACATTATATCATATCGTATTGTACTAAATTATACTAGACTATATAATATCAGAATATATCAAATAAGATTATTTTGTCTTGTATCGTCTTGTGTGTTATTCTATCAATTAATGGTATGTGTGTTAAATTTCTATATTTCTATAGTTTTGTGCATTGAAAAAATGTACATAATATGTTATGACCATTACACATATCATATGAGACATGGAACATTAGTATATACATGTGCATCTGGACCATGTTCAAATTCATAACTTTTCTGTACAAAAGCGTATCATTTTTTCCCGCAGCCCTGGTGGTGCCACTGACTCATGTCTTCCAGTGGGCGAACTGGGTTAGTTCATCCTTTGCATTAAGATTTAAGAGGATGCAAAACCGTTTGAGCCATTTTGAGCCCATACCTCCACAAGACACCAGCCCCAACAGAGTCCAACTTCATCCTGCTCATTCCTACAGCAATTTTCAAGCTAAGTTGCTGCGGTAGAACCTTCAGCAACGTCTTCAAAAGCTTGGCATCAACCACTGCAGTGCTTGCCTGTGTCTCATTGAATCCATGGCTGGCGCCTTCCTCACCTGCCATTGAAGTCAGCCAAAGATTTCACATATCACTGATATCACAACTGTCGATAATGACTACCATCCCCAACAAAAAGTTCAAACACCCCACAGAAACCATGGTTTTGCAGGGAAATTTCACTCATATGGGACCATTTAGGGTGTCTTCAATTAGGGGGATGGGACACATATTCCTATCTCATCTGTATCCAGTCCGCCGGCTTATTCTTCAACAAAATGCTTCTCAATAGGAGCCCCAAAGCATTTTGGCGGTTGGAAACTCTATGTGAAACCACCAGAGACAATAAATTGCTTACAAGAAGCTTCAATAGTTATCTGGTTGGTGGATACCTGAGAAATAGGCTGGACATTGGGGATCATCATCCCGTTTCTATGGATGGGTTGAAAATAAATGAAAAATAGAACGTACCCTCTGGTAATTTAACATAGCTATTGCAAATGGCCATTTATAGTGGATTTTCCCATTAAGTATGGTGATTTTCCATAGTTATGTTAGTTTACCAGAGGGCATTTGAAATCACCAGTCAGTTCTATCCATTCGTTGATATCCCTTCTTGCCGGACGTCCAGCGGGCCTAGGGTCGCATAAATGGTCACCACCTGCAGGGTAAGCTGTCGATGGTACGCTGAAAAAATCCCCCAGAAACTTGAATGGTCCTTTGAAAATTGCGAGTTAATGGGATATCATGGTGATCTTATGGGATATATGATATTTGCTGTATATAATACAACCAACCATCATTGTTTGGGATTATCTGAACATGGGGTATCCCAAAATCTCATCATCATTTTCCCCGTTCCAATTCTTGGACAGGCGCCCAGTCATGAAGTCATCCGGGCGTCATCCCCAGCATCCGGGCCTGTCCCTTCAGGAACCAGGTGGCAAACGCAGCCACCATCCAGTTCAATTGGGTCTCAGCAAAAATCACCACCCGAGCGTTTTCTTCAACACCTGGCAGATTTTCTCGGTGTGAACAAAAACTGATCGAGCCAGCCATTTGTAGAAGAACGAATGAGTTAGTTGGGGTTACGTGATGCTGATCAATCTGTCTTGAACACAGTAAGATAATAGAGTTGAGTTGAAATTAATGTTCTTGGGTTAGATATTCTTGGATTAAGTTAAATAACATATATACTTGATATATCTTAACATAACCCAAGATTATATAATATATATCATCACAATCCAAAAGCTGTTTTTTCAATCAAGCACTTCCAGCTTTTCGCCCACTTCGCTTCGCCTGCAGCCGCCATACCTTTGGCCAAGTTGGTCACACGTGTGTAGTATTGATTCAAGGACAGCCACTGATACCTTCGCTCGGGGCGCTGAGAAAAACAGCTGTCCGACGAAGCCAAGAAATGCAGTCAGCAGTCAGTTGAATTCCTGATTAGATACTGCAACTTAATAAAAATTGAATATGCGTACGTATACTTCAACTTCCTTACAATGGATACTCTACAATTCGACCTCGCATTCAAATACCGTCACAGGCCACCATACAGAAGGCCCTTTTCTTCTGACTCACTGCCACTGTGTGTACTACTACACATAGGAATATATAGGACTGCCAATGAACATTATTTGAACCTTGCTTGGGGTGACCTTCTGCTATTGCACACCACAAAACAAGCCAATGACAGTCTTGATGCACTCGGGGTATCTCGGGCTAGCAGAATCAAATATAGAACCCGAAGACGGAAGAATATGGCAATGTTCAAACAACCATTATCTTCATTGGTCCTTTTTATCTTTTTTGTGGGGGCTTAATGTCACCTTTTCTGGACATAAACGATGGGTTTGTCCAAAAGTAGAGGATTTCGCCCAAGATGTGGCAATGTCATGCAACGTCAATAATTGGGGAACATGAAAGGAAACACCATTGGATGGTTGGATACCCGGTGTTCAAACTAAACCACCATATATAGAGCAGGTCTTTCCACAAAAAAGACAATGAAACAGAGTAGAAATTTGGCAGGGTCTATACACAGTTTCATTTCACAAACTCGCAGACTTGTGAAAGCACAAAATTGTGAGAGAGCTTGAACAAGTCAGAGCAATGCCTGTGTCCAACTGCAGGCACCAATCCGATCTCATGCCATATCAAATAAATCCACCTATGTGCCCATCTGACCTAATGGAGCAACGCAATATTTTAGACCAAGCTGCTCATTCTTCAGTTCAATCTTTTCGCGTTTCGATCCACCCTCCTCTGCTGGGGTCATCATCCCACAGAACATACAAAAAATGCACCTTTAGTTCCGAAGCCATTGGTAGCAAGAGCTGCGTTACATGCTTTTCAAACGTACACTGGGGTGGGTCGGGGTGCGGAAACAATGGTGCTACGCTGGAGATGCCGTTCTGCTGAAGCAGAGGTGTTTCCAATGATTGTGGGGTGAAAGCATCAATACCACTTGTTTCATCCTGGGACCTCTTTGAAAAAATGGCAAATGCGTGCAAACCCAAGTGAGTCGTCAAAGTCAGGTAAGTCACTAGAACTCTGGCACACCGTTTTAGTTGAACGGTCATCTTCACATGAACGGGATTGCCCCCAACACTCCAAGGTGACAAAATCGCTAGTTTTTGTTAGAAAAACTAGACGACAGATGGCCCGAGAGCGTAGAGGAGCAGGGTCTTCTAATGTTAGTATTGAGACACTATATTACAAGACAATAAATTAAGATCCATTATAGGCAGACGAGAACGAGTAGTATCAAGACAATATTTTACAAATACCAGAAAATACTGTAGTTTGCATCGTATCCTTCGACGAATAGTTTTTCACACGCAGAACCTTTTACACACAGACGCTTTTGCACACAGAAGCTTTTACACACAGAAGCTTTTACACACAGACACTTTTACACACAGACCCTTTTACACAGAGACTTTTACACACAGACGCTTTTACACAAAGACGCTTTTACACACAGAGACTTTTACACACAGAGACTTTTACACACTGACGCTTTTACACACAGACACTTTTACACACAGACGCTTTTGAACACAGACGCTTTTACACACAGACGCTTTTACACACAGACACTTTTACACACAGTCCTAGAGGCAACATTCCCATATTCAGAAAATCTTCGCATACCATGTTTTCATCGTACTCCAGACCTGGGTTTTGGTATGTTACTTTGATAGGCATTTCAGCTCAATCTGGAGGGAACAGTTGGCCCACGGCGAATCCACTGAATGCCCCTCCACAGCTTTCTATCCCCTGCGTCGTTCCAAAGCAGCTGTGGACGTTGAATGAATTGAAGGCTGCTTTGATAAGGAAGTTTCCTCATTTGTCTACCGAAGAAGGACAGGGTTGTCAAAGGTAACGGTTTTAAAGGTTGGCTGAGTAAAAATTAGCAAGTTTCTTCCCCGGGACCTCACCCAAGGTGAACTCGGAAAAATAGAACCCACTGGTGTGCCCCTGGAAGTTTGGGCTGGCTTTGGGATTGGAATTTTGGTTCTGGCCCCGAAATTTCCCTATGTGTTCTCTATACCAGCCACGCATACTCGGAATTCTTCGCATTCCACAAATTCTTTGCACTCCAGCGAGGGCATCGCACTCCACAGCTAGGGACGTACACATACTGTAAAATCCACGCGCTCTGCAAGATCTTCGCACTCCATAAAATCTTCGCACTCGGCGATTTTCTCTTTTTTTCAGTGTTTTTTTTTTCTTTTTTTTTTTTTGGCTAAAATCGCCTGGAATCACGTTTTCTGGAATATGGGCAAAGTAGCGGTTTCGCGTGAGACGTCTGTAGTTTCACATACTATCGCATTCCAAGCCATTTTGGCCAAAAATGACAAAAAATAAATAAAAATAAAAAAAAGCTCAGCAGGGTGAAATGTGATAATTTTCTGGTATATGATGGGAAAAAACTGGTGTTGGATCCATGGGGAAGGTCGAAGGGGGCCACGCATACTGTTTTATTTTCGCATTCCAGAAAATTAGCGCACTCCAGGGGTGGCATCGTACTCTATCGGTGGAATTATTTTGCACGGAAGAAAACAGGATCGTCGATGATTTGTGTTCCCAGATCCTGTTGTGCAGAGCTCTTTGCGGGGCCACAAAAATGTCAAGAAAGATGGGGATGGCGCTGCTGACGAAAGGCCAGCCAAGCGTGCCAGAACATAAGCTTAAAGCTTATGAATTGGGTTTTGAGATCCTGAAAAGTGTAGATGACAAATTCCCATAAGAACATTATTAATCCATTTTTGGAAAGCTCAACACTATTATGACATTTCCAGAAATTGTTGAAAGTAAGGATCTTCTTTGGGGAAGAACATGTGCAGTCGACAACGTACGTGCCAGGAGAAAAGGAGTACTTGGCAAACTGTATGATATACAAATTTCACCTGAAAGGGGTCTTCGCACTTCCCTGAAATTTCCCAGCTATTTTGGCATGGAATATGTTCGGCCCTGGAATATGGGCAAGAAATTGCTAGAACAGTCCTTTTACACACAAACACTTTTACACACAGACACTTTTACACACAAACACTTTCACACACACAGAGACTTTTACACACAGAAGCTTTTAAACACTTACACACAAACACTTTCACACACACAGAGACTTTTACACACTTTCACAGACGCTTTTACACACAGACGCTTTTACACACAGACGCTTTTACACAGAGACACTTTTACACGCCGACACTTTTACACACAGACGCTTTCACACACAGAGACTTTTACACATAGAAGCTTTTACACACAGACTCTTTTACACACAAACGCTCTTACACACAGACACTTTTACACACAGACGCTTTTACACACAGACGCTTTTACACACAGACGCTTTTACACACAGACACTTTTACACACAAACACTTTCACACACAGAGACTTTTACACACAGAGACTTTTACACACAGACGCTTTTACACACAGACGCTTTTACACACAGACACTTTTACACACAAACACTTTCACACACAGAGACTTTTACACACAGAGACTTTTACACACAGACGCTTTTACACACAGACACTTTTACACACAGACGCTTTTTACACACAGAAGCTTTTACACACAGACACTTCTACACACAGACGCTTTTACGCACAAACACTTTCACACACAGAAGCTTTTACACACAGACGCTTTTACACACAGAAGCTTTTACACACAGACACTTTTACACACAGACACTTTTACACAGAGACTTTCACACACAGACAGTTTTAGACACAGACGCTTTCACACACAGAGACTTTTACACACAGACGCTTTCACACACAGAGACTTTTACACACAGAAGCTTTTACACACAGAAGCTTCAAAATCGCAATTTTACCGCAGTTTTTGGCGATTGAACCTCATTTTCGTGCGAAAGGGTTGCGACCGGACAAGTGCAATCGCACTTTTACCTCAGTTTTTGGCGATCGAACCTTATTTCGTTCGCGTGAAATCGCAATTTTACCTCAGTTTTTGGCGATCGAACCTCATTTCGTGCGAAAGGGTTGCGACCGGACAAGTGCAATCGCACTTTTACCTCAGTTTTTGACGATCGAACCTCATTTCGTGCGAAAGGGTTGCGTTTCGTGCCGTCTCGTTGGCACTGCCCCGCGCCTTAAGAGAGAAATTGAAAAGAAGGAGAGAGCAAGAGGGCAAGAGAGCAAGAGGGCAAGAGAGCAAGAGGGCAAGAGAGCAAGAGGGCAAGAGAGAATGTGAAGATCTGAAGATGTGAAGATGTGAAGATGAGAAGATGAGAAGATGTGAAGATGTGAGGATGTGAAGATGTGAAGATGAGCAGATGTGAAGATGGAAATAAGAGAAGATGTGAAGATGAGAAGATGTGAAGATGAGCAGATGTGAAGATGAGAAGATGTGAAGATGTGAGGATGTGAAGATGAGAAGATGTGAAGATGAGCAGAAGATGTGAAGATGAGAAGATGTGAAGATGAGAATATGTGAAGATGAGCAGATGAGCAGATGTGAAGATGAAAAGATGTGAAGATGTGAGGATGTGAAGATGAGAAGATGTGAAGATGAACAGATGTGAAGATGAGAAGATGTGAAGATGAGAAGATGTGAAGATGAGAAGATGTGAAGATGAGATGTGAAGATGAGAAGATGTAAAGATGAGCAGATGTGAAGATGAGAAGATGTGAAGTGAAGATGTGAAGATGTGAAAATGTTTGATCAGACCCCCACTATTAGAAGAATCCTTCGCTCAGACGCTCTCGGGAAAAAAAAAACATTTTTCCCCGCTTTGTGGCTATAGTTTATCCAGAATGGGTTGGAGCAACCGTGATGCAGTGGTTATATTGCCAAAGGATGGCCATCACCAGGCCATCCTCAGCTGCGTAGCTATCAGCTGTCCTCAATGAAATGAACCTTGACGACATCACGCCATCCAGCAGCCTTGGATTCTCCATATTTCTCCTGGCGAAACTCAAGATTTTCGCAAATCCACAGTGCTTAGTCGTCCCAGAAAAGGAAGTTAAATCCTACGCAATGACACTAGAGTCACTAGAGTCACTAGAGGAAGTTGACCATTTCATATTTGGATGGAGAACCGAAAGGGTCAAGCTGAAGTCATCACGCTACCTTGACTGTCAGAAGTTTGGACTGGTATGTTTTCTTCAATTGGCGAGAGGTAACATTGACATCGAAAATGCGACTCTCAACTAATCTCAACGGGGTTCTTTTAGTGTCTTCCAATGGCAGGTGAGTACCACCAAAATGACTCCTGAAGGAACCTTGTTTCATCCCTCAAAAAGATGATTATGTATTGACCCATCCTGGCCCATCCTCATTCTATGGTTGGTTTAGATTCCAAAGTATTACTACTTCGTGTGGTCCATACTTTGTGGCTTTGATGCCTTGGTTTTCGTGAGGATCTCCAAGGGTGTCTTGGAGCCATCCGCTGGACAGGACCTTGGTGCACAAGGCGGCAAAAAACGTGCTACGCAACACCTAGAAACACGGCTTAATTGCACACATGTGTATATATATATATATATATCATATGAATATCATTATATATATATCATATGCATATCTAACACATATAGACAACATATACACATATGTATCATGTATATATATATATTATACATAGGTAATCTATACAAGCTTTGATTTAGGTTCAGATTCTGATTCCAGCTACGTAAAGAACCTTAGATTCAATGAGGAAGAACAATTATATATATATTATATTAAACAAACACGCATAACTTAATTGATAATAAAAAAGAGTGCATATTTTTGAGTACACACGCATGTATTTGCAACACATCTATATTATCTGGCCAAAATAAATTGTTGGGTATACTGTGTCAAAAATTGAACTCCGTTATTGGTGACAGCAATGAGTTTTGAGGCAAGTTTGGGCATTGAGAAGTTACAGCTGCACCCAGTTTCTCTGGAGAAACTGCCTGAAAATTGATTTAAATTGGAGGCAGCCACGAAGCAAGCTGCAAATAAACACTGCCAGGTGCATAACAATCAACGCTCATTACCTCATTTTGCCCTACCCAAGTAATCCCAAGTATACAAGTTTCTCCTCCAATCAGGCAACTAAACTCACCCTTTCAAAGGCCCAGCCATGAAAACAATTGCGTCTTCCGCCGTTTTTGCTCCCAGGGACGGGTGTGATTTTTGAATATGTTTGATTTCATTGAATTTCAGCAATATCTTAGGCAAATCTTGGTAAATGGGGTTACCAAACACTTCCTGTAGAGATACAAAGTTCATTTCATAGTTATTGTAAAACCGGTCCAGTCTTTCCAATAACAGGCAATATTTTTCCCGCAAAATAGTACCACATGACATTGCTACTAAACTGCTAAACCTTCTATCAGGATAAAATGCGGCTTTATGAACCCCTTGGCTAAATGGCTTCACACTACACTAAAGAACAATGAACAACAAATCTGTACAAGATCTTCAGAATATGAGTTTGTCTGAATAGAGGATACACCCAAAAAAAAATGGTCTATCGGCATTTGTTTTCACTTTTAAATTGACTGTGTGGTGGTAAGTCCGCCCCAATCATATTCTTAGTTATATTATATGTCCTATGATTTCCATTCTATTTCCCATTAAATCATATTAAATCCCAACTATACTCCGAGCACCCCGGCTGCAGCTGTCTGTTCTGTTCCACGTTCCAAATGCATGGACCGAAGCCCTGTTCCGGCTCCGCCGAAGCCTCATCGATGTCTCCCCACCTGAGACGAAACGGGTCGAAACTGGTCGAACTATGTCGAAGTTCTTAAGACTTGGTTACCTGGTTGTGCAGGGGTTGACATTTTTTCTGGTTACCCTCTGGTTATTTGACAGTTTGAGCTGTCTGCTAAGATGATTTATGATTATTAACCTGTTAAAATTTGTGCTACGTTCAGTAACTAGTACATGTTTTAATGGATCCAAATACCCTCTGAGGGGGAACTTGGGGCATGATTTGGGGTTAAGTACCTCAGGAAGTATGTGGATCCATGGGGCATACCATTAAACACTATTCAATATAATCACCAGTTTAAAATAGTTTAAAGACTTACCTGGTAGTCCTCAACCGAATCGTTTTTGAAAAAACACATCGTGTAAAAAATAGTGTAACCCCGAGTATCTCCTACATTATCATACGTTATCCTACTCTATGATTCATAGAACCATCATGAACCATCCAGTTCAAAGGGATTCTGCAGCTATTTGGGGTCCAACATGGTCCAACATGAGGATGTTTCAAAGCTTAAAACTCGGGCAGTCTCTGGCAGTTGCGCACTTGGCCAAGACACTTCTCGATTTTGCGGAAAGGGTCTTTCGCCATGAGATAGCTGTCCTGAAACAGGTTCCCTCAGCAGAACGTACTCTGAGTCGAGCTCCGAAATAGCTGCAGTCAGGAAAAACATGGAAAAACAAAGTTGCCGCAGTGAAACCTGCTGGCCTTAGCCCAGTGGTACAGCATGTTGCAGTAGGTTCAACGGCAAAAATCCATGAAGAATCGGTTCCGTATGGCTTCCTTCACTGCCCAAATACGACTTTTCAGCTGCTTATCAGCTGGCCTGGTAGTTGTCAGAACCAATCTGACAGGGAGGCATCAGCCGAAAGAATTCAACAGCTGGATGCTACCAAAGTCTTTAACGATGAAACTGTTGAGGAACTTGGCCAGATAAAATGATGACCGTGGCTTCATAGTGACGCACTTCCCCTTTTGTAAGTGATAGTTCTCCTTTCCAAAGAAACCGACAGCTGGGGAAAGGCAGAATCAATCTGGAGATGGGTCTGCATTGGCTCCCATAAACTTCCATCAAGGATCCTGGCATGTCAAGCAACCGAGCCCACAAGAGAACCATTTGTTGACTGAAGGGTTCGATACCCATTAAAAAAGAGCAACTGCCCTGTTGGACAATGGTTGATCATCCTCCTTTTTTATCCAGGGAAGAATGTCCCTTGACACCATCGCCTTGGGTGTCAGGGGAGCATCATCCACCGGAGTCCAGGATCTACTTCTAGAGCCTGGCACAACATGTCGAGCGGAGATTGGGATTGAACAATGGCTTGGTGAACCACATGGAACACGTGGAGTTTTAAACCTGTTTATATAGGGATATCTGTATACATACAACTACCGGTATGCGATACCTCGGAATGTTTAGGGCCCCATCAACCCAGTTCCTACCCCCCACAGCGGTGCCTTCGCCGATGCTCCGATCGGACTGGGATTGGGATCGACCACTTCTGGACACGACAGCCTCAGCTGCCACAACAGCAACGGCTGCGGAGCTTCCAATGGAAACGGGAAAACTATAGGGAAAAAAATATGATTGAGACTTTTTAAATGTTTTCAAGCCAACATATAGGGTCAACACGGGGGTTTGGGGAAGACTCTTAGGAACTTTATTGCGAAGTATCCGCTGAATCATCTCACGACTGCCATGAGGATCCCAACGAGTAAGTTCCTTTGTCCCTGCCTTCGGGTCTTTGGGGCAAATGCATCCATGGAATTCCATGGAACCATGCACCCTCCAGCAAACTAACATTGTATGGAAAATCCATGAAAATCCACCATTTCATGTGTAGATCATATCCAAGGGGAACCCATGATTTCCATAGCATCCACTGGCCATCGGTCCCACGGATATCTAGAACAAACCCAGGGAAAGCCGCAACCATCATTAGCTATTGAAAATGGTCATAGAAATAGTTGATTTACAGTACCCATTAAAAATTGTGATTTTCCATAGTTATGTTATGAAATTTCATGGTTGCCCGTAACTTCTCCTCTACTGTACATGATTGATCAACCCTGATAGATCAATGCATCGCGAAGGATGTCCGAAAAACATCACTCGGTCCTAGGATTCCTGGACTGGTTAGGGTTGGTGGTTTTAACCCCCCTTAAGAACATACGCTCGCCAGTTGGGATCATGATCCCAAACAAGGTTCACAACAAAGGATGTTTTGCAACGACCAACCAGATCATCATTGATTAGAAACCCATTATAATCCAATGTTGGTAGATTATATAATCATATAACCCATTATATAACCCATTATAATCCATTGATCATCATTGGATTGATTATATATCTCCCCATGTTGGATTATTCAATCCCCCATAAATCATAACATGTTGGTTAAGCCCTGAGTTCCAGACTTCTTCTGTATTGATCTTCCAGAAAGCGAAACCTGGTCGTGACTGGTGTGACTGGTCATGTGGCCATTGGAAATGATCGTCAAATGGGGTAAATTGGTGCTGACAAAACCATGAAAACTGCGGATATTATAATTGCTATACTGTATATCCATGTATATCCATCAAAATGGTGAACAAATACATGACCTTAGCCTTTGGAAATGACTAGGGGCTAGTGATTTAGCTGGTCATTGGAAAAATCTTGCACGTACTATTACCGTTTGACTATCAGATCAATCTGACCAAGGGACAAGCCAACCTAATTCAATGGCAGCGGCTAAAAACGGATTGTACACCCCATCCGTTAAGTTAAAAATAGTTATGTAAACATTCTTTGAGTTGCATTCTAATCTCCAAGTTCTCTTCCGTGTCTTTGGATACAAATCCAAAACATATCTACCCCTAGGCCCTAAGATGCCCTAACACAATTAGATAGCTTAGTTTTCCAGTGCCAGATGCCAAGCATTTTTCCAAGTTTTCACCCGTTCCCGCCGTTCATCTCCAAGCGGCTGTGATCCGTCCGCCGGCATGGGGAGATCTGACGCTCAGTGCCGGTGACCTGCTGACTGTGATAGCCTCCCGGTAAACTAACATGGCTATTGAAAATGATTGAACATGGCCCATTGATAGTTGATTTACCTATTATTTAAGTATCTAAAATGGAGAATCATAGTTATGTTAGTTTACCAGAAGGTAATCCTTGTGAGTATGCACGCATCCCGTTCTTGTGCCACCAAAGTTTGACCCCATATCGTTTCTGGACTCCGAGGAGTTCCCTATGAAAAAGGCGACCGTCTTTGAACCAGGTCGATAGTAGCCTCATGTGTAGGTTGTAGTAATTGTAGTAGCAGAGCTAGGTGGCCAGGTGGTTTGTAAAAAAAACAGGTGGTATATCCGATAAAATGATAAGCCCGTTGAATTGTGGATGGTTTGCACAAACAAAATCAGATAAACCCACCAATCAGCATCCACTGCGGCCTTGCCAGCGCCCTCTTCTCTCGAAGTACTTCGAGTTGAGATTGCCTTCAATATGTCCATCTGTCTGTAAGTATGCATATCTGCATATAAAATAGGCATGTATTTCTATGTATGCTTCTGTATACGTATTCATAGCTATGTATATATATATATATGTTACATAGATACAACATATATATATAATATATATATGTAGTAGGTACGAGTATGTGATATATAATGATACAATATGAACATGATGTACTGTAGATATGGCAGGGCACTTCCCCAACGGCTGGTCCCTCCAAGGCGAACTAAGCTCCCAAGCAGAACCACTACGACCTTGAGGCTTGTCAGCAATATGAGGGTGAACATGCCTCAGAACCGGAAAAAGGCAGGTTTTTTTATGGCAGACATGTTGGGTCAAATTTCGAAAAAGCCATCTGCTAAAATTTCGAAAATCTTATGGGTCTTATGGGAGATTCAAACTGACATGGTTACAAGTGGGCTTCTGGACTGCAAAAAAAAAGGAAAAAATTGCTTAAAACATCCATCTGCCTTGTCGACAAGCAGTGTTTCTCGTTTGCACAGGTCCACATCGTCAGAGTTATCTTTCACTCCAACAGTGTTGTGCAGGAGGCTTAGCCTTCCATTTCATCCGCTTATGGATCAAAACCCTACATTTCCCCCCAAGCAAATGGAAAAAAACACAAACATATGGGGGTTTCCATAAATGGGGTACCGTACCCGTACCCAAAATGGATGGTTTATAAGGGAAAATCCTACTAACATGGATGATTTGGGGGTACCCCTATTTTAGGAAACCCCCATATGGAAAAATCATAGGTTTTGACCCATATCATCCACATCCTCTGCGAGATCTTCGAGATCCTGTCCCTCTTCCTGTACATTGACAGGCTGGACAGGCTTTAGATCACCCAGAACTGCAGGGCAATGCATCAGTCTTTGAAGTTCACAGCCCTGCAACTCCTGCAGAAGTGTCGAGGAAAAATGAAATAAAGAAAGCGTGGAACCGTGGAAAAACACAATCATTGTATATCATATATATATATATGTTAAAGCTTCACAGTGACGCTGCTCAAGGATGCAGGCTGGCGCTTTTTCTCAGCGCCAGGATGGCTTGGTGGTGGTGGTGCAAGTAGCAGCTAGATGAATGGTCGAAGAGCAGGGGCATCAAGTAGCCAGCGTAGATGGAGCCCAGAACGTAGAGCTCGGCAGCGACAAGGAGGATGCCCACAGCGTAGTGCTCCAAGGCCATCAAAGAAGAGCTGGCAGCAGCACCAAAGTTCCTCTACCGCCATCAGAAAAGGCGCACATGGGTGCAAAGTACAAAAAAGCCATAGCAGCCACAACGAGGCTGGAACAGCGTTGTAGAGTCATCCCGAACTAAAGGCCAGAAAAGCAAAAAGAGAGGCAGCACTTCGAATGGCTCTCCTGGAAGACAAAGGGAGCTCAGTCAGCAAGCTAAGCGCTGCGACTTCCTGCAAATAGGCCTCAAGAGTAGTTACCTGCTTTAAGCGCATAGCCCAGAGCAGGTCGCTGATTGAAGCTCCTTTCCGGTAGCTTGTCACAGCACCTCCGCCTCGTAGCCCGCCAGGGGTGACATGAACATTTGCAGGCACCTCCAGCAACTGCAGGATAAAGTCCCATCTTCTGCGAAAAACATGAGCACTACCAAAGAAAAGCAGCTCGTCCTTGTCTGCACCTTGGTAGATCAAATTCAAGAGCTTTACAGCGTGCAGGTTGGTGATTTTCAAGTGCTGTACTCGAGCTAGTTGCCTGTAGCTCGTCTTCGACCTCCTCAAAACCAAAAAGGCAGCATCGCACTCGTACAGCATGTCGCAGGGCAACAAGAGGTCTTCCCTGCGGCACTTCAACACTTCTCCGGCACGAGCAATGCCGAAGAAGCACAGCAAACAAACGCCGCACCATCGCTTCCACTTCATGCTCCAAGCTAGTGCGATCATGGCCTCAACCAAAACTTCAGGAACCGGAGTACGGTGGGTGGTGGGCTCAGCTTTTTCCCACCGAGTAGCCAGGTCCCAGCATATTCCAGCATAAGGCCTCAACTGCGGAACTCTCCGCAAAGCAACCAAGATCAGGTGCCGGTAGTAGAGCAGAGACCCACCACGACCAAATTCCAGATCTCCAAAGCGCCGAACGGCATACGCAAGAAAAATGGGCACTGCCAAAAATAGAGCCAACACATCGGACTCCACATACTGATAGCACCAGACCAGGAACCTATCCCATTGCTGGTCACCAAGCCGAATGCTGCTCCAGGTTTGCACAGGAGCCTCTTCCAGGGAGAAACCTCTTGGATGGGCTATTTTGCGAGGTCCAGGGTGGTCAGCTTCTCCGATGCGCATAGAGGAGCACCTGGCACATCCAGCTATGTTGAACTTTCCAGTACCTCGCTTGGCCCACCCACATGCATCCAAAGCGGCTGAAGCAATCATCCGGCTGAAGCCACGGGGATACGGCTGCGCAACCAAAGTCCAAGGGATCCTCAAAGTGGGGTGTTGGCCACGCAGCTGCTGATGCCCTCTGGAGCACGTGCACAGCATGCGTAGACCTTTCAACTTTGGAAGGTTTGTTGCAACTCTCGTTCTCTTTCTCCATCTGGTGCCAAAGCGGCAGTAATCCGCCCTGAAGACATGCTCAGAGCCGGGGTTCCTATATTTTCTGTATTTCCTTTGTCCCCAGACATGGGACGAGTCAGGGTTTTCAGTCCAAAAGAAAACATCAGCGCTCTCAGCATCATCCACACTCTTCTCGCAAAGCTCATGCAGTTCAGAGCCGAAATCAGCCATCTCATTCCCCTCCATCACCTTCTCCTTCATGTTCAAAGTCATCCAAGGCACCCCCCGCGGATATTGCAAAGTGCGGACCGCAGGAGTGACAGCACGAGAGAAGGATTTGCATACCATAGCAGACCCAACCAGCATGACAGCACGAAGAACCACCAACCTGGTGATTTTTTCTCTGTTAGAGGCCAGAAGGACATTCTCACTTTCACTCCTGTTGATCTCGAAGGTCAAGACCCAGGGGCATCCTCCATCAGCAAGAGCACGAGCCACTCCTCCCTTGCCACTGTACAAATCCAAAGCGCCCGGCTCCAGGAATTCACACACGCCTTTGGCAAAGAGGAACTGCTGCAAAGGAAAACTGCGAAGGATAGCTAAGGCCTCAGCCTTCAGAGAACTTTCCTCACTGACGGGCGTCAGCGCCCCACCGATCTCACAAGCTCCCCTTTTTCTCTGCCAAGTCATGGCCCGGAAGGCACGCCCCGTTCTGATGTCCACAGGATCTCCCAAAGAAGCAAGATCCGGAGCAGCTGGCGGAGCCACCATGCTCTCCACCTCCTTTAACCAGGAGTCAAACCGATCCAATCGGCCGTTACAGACATCATCCCACCACCAAGGAACCTCAGCATCTGGAGCGTCAGGTTCAGCATCTCTGGTGGGCCCATCGGCTCTGTTCAGCTTTGAAGGCCAAAAACCATAACCGCCGTAAAGATCGGAGCCGAGTATGGTGGGAACGCTCCTCAGCAGCTCGGAGTTCAATGCTTTTGAAGAAGCCCTGCCTTTGACCAAGCTTCCCAAAGCCACCTGAGAGTCGAGTGCATAAGGCACCCGCACACTGAGCTGCTTTGCCCCAATGCGACCTTCTTCAATCAGGTGCGCACGAAGCTCACCTATGTTCACATGAATCGGCCTTGGGTGCTTTCGCCGCCACTGCTCCTGATAGGGCACAGCACGAGCCAAAGATTCCCAAAAGGGGTGAACATCATAGACATCACCTCCAGGTAGTTCATCCTCCTCTTCCAAAAGTTCTTTGCTACGCAGCCAGGCTTTGCTAGGGGGGAGGAGTTTCGTCCAACAGCTCTTGGTAAGACTCAGCCTCATTGCCTCCCTAGCAACCTGCACGGGGATCACACCAGCCACGGCGGCCATGCCCCAATCTGAAGCATCAGTCGCATGGAGAGCCCCAACCGTCGTGGCTCTCAAATTCACTACAGCCAAAGTGCTCAAAATCATCATGGTGAAGAGCTCGTCAATGAGGGCCCCAGAAAGCCTAAGCACCTGCTTGTCGGAGCTGGACGCGGCAATGGCATCGAAGACAAGGTTCATGGCCGACAGGAGTCTTCGCCTCAACGACAGTATGGAAATATAGGATCCGGCCAGAGAACGAAGCAAGCCAACCGTGGAAAGCCCCAAGGCGCATACGCGCACCGTGATGAGCAGCAAAGGCCAAAGCCTGGTTTCGTTGGCACGAACTAGCCCCTTTTGCCCATCAACTTGGACTCCCCAAAAGGAACTGCTCAGACTGTTGTCGAAGGCTTTCTTCTCGTTAGTAGGCAGTCCGACCTCTTTATACTTTGCCATGATCAGCTCCATGCGCTCGTCCAAGAGAGAAGCACCAACGTAGGCCCCTGCATTGACGTCAGCGGCAAGCACCTTCTGCAAACAAACAAGGTCATCGATCACCACGCCCACACTAAGTAAGCCTCTCGGGCAAGGCTGATGCATCATAAGGAGCTCCTCAATCGCAGCACCTCCACAGGACATGACCAGCTTGATGTGGGATCCCTGTGCAAATTCACAGGCGTTCAAATCGCCCATAGCCAACGTTGACAAGCCAACGTAGCCAGCTTCCGTGAACTTCTTCCCAAAGATGAACTCGAGGTCCTCAGGCTCCAGCCTACCGGCCAGGTAGTTGCGGCGACATCGCTGCGGGGAAACAGTGAACTGGTAAAAGTAATCACGAATGTCTCTGCCACTCATGATAAGGCACTGTGACTCATCAAGCTCGATGCCGGAAAGACAAGTGCTGCTGCTCATGGTCTTGGTCCAAGTGTTCAACATCTTTTCAACCGTGTTTGGGGGTCTTGCATCAAGGATTAAACGGTCTCTGTCAAGATCTTTGGGAACACAAAAAAGGCCACACTCGAGCCCAGGACGTACATCATCAGCTGTCAGAGGCACCAAACGACCACACGCAGCCATCTTCTGAAACAAAAGATTTCGTTCATGAGCAGACCCACGTATGCTAACTTGAGGGGGTTCATCAACGACATCGTCACGAACACATTCTAAAGGGAATTCATAAGCATGAGCCGTTTCCTTGTCGAAGTAGGGGACAGGGTTGAAACATGGGGAGCCGACAAAGTGAAGGCGATCAGCTTGCAAAGGCTTAGCTACTGCACAATCACCACCTTTTGATTCACCATCAAAAACTCCAAAGCCCCCTGAAACTTCTTCCCAATCATCACCATCATTTTCACGCCAAGCTCTAGTCGGAGAGCAAGTGTCCGCCCCATAGGGCGCAGAAGCGGTGGAGCAACAAAGGAGCGCACGGTGGAGAGCATCCAGCTGGTCAGCCGAGGATTCCGTCCGCAGCGCAGCTCTTGCCATTAACTGTGCATCCACCTGCAAAAGTGAATTCATATCTTCGCTGAGGTGTTCCAAGAGGCGAACACGACGCCACTGCCGGGCAGAAAGTCTCCGGCCTGGCCATAGTAAACCTGGACAGCTGTGAGGTCTTCCAAGGTGAAGCCAATTGAGAACCAGCACCTGTAGAACCAGCCGCCTCTTCCTCCATGAACCACCAAAAGCAGAGTCTCCTCCAAAAACTTCTGGATATGGAACGGGCATAGGCCAGAGTCCCCTCAGCGAGTGATCCTCTTCATGAGGCCGTGGCATATTGCTGAGAAAACTTTGCACAAAAGTAGCTAACTTGGCCGCGTACTTCATCACGACACGCAGCCACGAATTAACAAAGGCCGGAACCTTGACAGTGGGCGCACGGCTGCCCGGGACATGAACCATTTTCGTGTCCAAGCCACCGGAACAACCGGAGGGGCACACGTCAGCAGCCTTCAAGGAACTCAGGCCGTCTCGGCCGCTTCGCTCTGGCTTTTCCCTTTTGACTTCGGTTTCGGCTTCGGTCGGCCGGTGTCCTTCTCGGTCTCCTCGGTGCTCTTCTTTCCCAGGGCCTTGCGCTTCTGCACATAGTCCTCCGCGTCCTTCAGGTGGGACAGCATGACTTCGGCCCACCTTGCGTCCAGGATCTTGCTGAAAGGGCTTTCTCCGTCTGAAATGGACGGCAACGTATGGGACGCCAATGCAGACAATGGAGGCCCTTGCTCGAGCATAAGCTCCGCACCCAGCGCCCAGTTGCCCCTGTCGATAGCAACCTGGTCGATCATCACCAGCATCAGGCAAGAGCGAGCTCTCGCATGGGCCACCCTGCCATTCACCAGGTCGTCCAAAACCCCAGCTGCCGACCATGCAAGGTAAGCAGAGCTCTTGTAGGCGCCGATACGGCTCCGATGCTCCACCCAAGCTCGGGCGTTGAAGTCCTTCTTCGGCATACCCGGCATCACTGTCTGCAAAGTCAGGTCCTCTAACATGAGCTTCTCGATGACGTTGCTGATGTCTTCCGGTGCTTCCTGCAAAGCCAATCTCAGCGCTCTGCGAGCTGCCGCAGCTCGCTTGCCAGTGGAACCTGTGGAGCTGTCTGCCCCAGTGTTCCCTCCCAGGTTCTCGAGGGCAATGTCCACCTTGGAGGATTTTGCCCTCTTGATCTTGTCTGCACTGAGAAGCGTCACCAGCTCCGTCAGCTTGTTCAGGGCCCCTTCCATAGTCCCGGGCTCTTGATCCCCAGTTGTAGGAGAGCCAGAGTCTGCCTCTTCGATTTCGTCCTCGCTTTCTGAAAGGACAGTGTCGGTCACCTTTCTCGCAGGCTTCCTCAAAGCAGGCTCTCGAAGTTTCTTTCCTTTTGAGGAGGCACCCATCAGACGTTCCATTTCTCGCAAGTTCTCCTCTGGAACTCCTGCAGACAGCACAGAGGCAACAACACTTGGGTCTAAAGAAGGAAACTTGGCAGCACCGTCTTGTAGATGGGCTCCAGGGATCACCTTGGGTTTTGCGGCAAACTGCACCTTCGGGGTCGAGGGCTTTGACGAACCAGAACTCACCTTCTCCAGCACGGTCTCCAAGCTCACCGACATCTTCCCCAAGAGATCCTCCAGCCGCGACACTCGCGGGCCCAAGGCACCAGCTGCGTCTCCCAGAGCGGCTGAACCATCTTCTCCTCCTCGCCCACTCTCTGCGCTCAGAAAGGAGAAGCGCTCTTCCAGAGCTTCCCTCAAAGCAGGGGCGAAGGGAAGATACCCATCGCTCTCCTCGTAGAGGAAGGGGTAGCACCACCATCTCGCCAAAGGTCTCCGCAGTGATGTAGCCAACCCAAACCTTCATGTAAAACGCCAGCTCCCGGGTCATGTCTTCCACCGAGGCGCAAACCACCTCTATCAACGTAGGCTTGCTCAGGATCGGAGGCAAGGTTCGTTTCGACACCGTGCGATGCCACACCTGATGAGGGAAAGCTGCCAGATAGCGGCCATCGGCCACACGGCTCACTAAAATGCACTGAATTGAAGCTCCGGAGGCCACTTTGAGCGTCCATAGATCGTATTGGAACTCAGCGCTGCCGTCTGGCAGTGCCACAAAAGGTCGATTAGCCAGGGCTTCGCCAGGCTCTGCAAGCTCCGCTTCTTCGGCAGAGTCACCTTCCACCGCAGCCATCTCTAACGCCCAACGGGCCAGCCCACTCCGGATCGCCCTGCAACTCGACAAGCCTCACGCTCACTTGGAAGGCCGACAAAAACTGAGTCACCTGCGGATCCAGCCTTTTTCACAAGCTCTTTGCAAGCAGCCCAAGTTCGGCACACTCTTACAGGCCGATACTCCAATCCCTCGTAATCCTTGAAGACCAGCCAGATCTTGCTGGGCAATTGGATCCGATCTCGTCCTGAGCTCCCACGGTGGTCGCCCCCCAGGCAGCGCTTGATGAACTCCGCAATCTCGTCGCAGATGATCTCACGCTCGAGCCAGGTCTGACTTGCCCTGCTGGAAGAAGCTCGCTCGGGGTCAGTACCTTCAACCACAGCACCACTAGCTTCTTCTCCACTCCCAGAACGAGAACGAGATGCGTTCTCGTTGAAGGCCCGAGTTGAAGGAGCCACCAAGGAGAAGCTGCCTTCTGACACTCGGGATGACCTCAAGGAGGAAGTTTCACTCCTACTGTCTGCTTCTCTGGGGTGGATTTAGTAAGGTTCTTTGTGCTGATTGAAGGTGCTTCTGTGATGAAGTTATTGGCGTTGCTTTTATTTAGTGGGTGGTAATGTGGATTTAAAACTGAAGAATGGTGTTCCGGATGTTTACAAATCGATCAGTTATAACTAGAAAACAAATATGACTGATGCTAAGCGTCACTGTGCAAAGATCCGATGTGTATAGTAGGTGATTCTGGTGTTTTTGTTGTGGCACAGAGCCCCTCCCCGCTCTGCGCGGTGGCGCCCTCCACAAACTTTACAGCGGCGCCTCCCATAAATTTTAACAAAGGAGGCAACACCTCCTTGAAAACAGGCTTGTGCGCAGGAGACCTTGCAAGGCCTTCCTTATAATGTCTGTCGAGCTATGATCAATCAATAACTTTGGCGTTGCAGGAGGTTTCGATATTAAGGGCGATGTCCTCCTTGAAAGTTTCCGGGTCGTTCTCGGGGCCACTGTGTTTATGCGAAAGCGAGCAGCACCAAAGGACATTTGTTCAGCTCACATGCCTCGGTCTCGAACCTAACTAGCAGAAGAACTTTGGTGAAGTCGAAACTTCATATGCACCAACAAGTCGTCCAGGCAAGCGAAACAGCCTTCGAAATGCGGCGCCTGGGGCAGCAGGTCATGAGGCATGGCGTTGATGGCACCCAAAAGAAAAGAAGCAGCGCTATCCAACTCACCAACCTTTCCTGCAAGCAAGTCGCGCGATATCAAAGCTGGACATTTCTCGATCTTCTCTTGCATAGGCTGGATTTGTCCAGACCTGGTGTAAAGGTGAGCGGTCCATGTACAGTCTGTGGGCTCTGTGCCAGGGCGGTCCAGCGTCATCTGAAGGATGGTCAAAAACATGATGGCACAGGCAAGCGCACATGACCTGGTGCGGTCTTCCTTGAAGAAAGGCTGGCAAAAAATCAAAGCCTCACGAGCATTTTCCATTTCGAACGCGCTCTTCTCCTTGAGTGCTGGATCCCACCGCAAGAAGGCTTGGACGCCCAACTGCAAGTCAGCTCTGTTGAGGACACCTTGGGACAATCTCTTCTCACCTGCTGCTGCCATGTTGCAGGTTAGACTAGTTTTGTGAGCCAAAAAACCTGGGTCGAATGGGTCGATGTGATGGACAAAGCAAAACCGAGGTTGAATTGCATTGCGGCAATGTTCAGCACTGAATGTGCAAGCATTGTGGTAACTACGGCTAGCGCAGCTGACTCAAATGATTTTCAACAGGTCAAACTGGAAACATGCCGCCTATTCTTCAAAGAATGCCGTGTTGGGGCGGAGCTGCACAGCATCTTCACTCACTGCCTGCTCTTTGAAACGTCGGACATTCTCTGCATGTTTTGCCCAAACTCCACCATTCAGGCAAAGCGCCTGTGAAGACACCCCCGGGCTGCCAGAAGCCAAGTTGGCCATGAGTGCCGGGTCTTGGCTGCCATTAGCTTTCGGAGTCTTGGCGGCAGCCTTGGCCTTGGGCTCAGCAGCTTCAGGCAACAGCTCCGCGCCTCTCTTCGCTGCTGACTTCTTGGGAGCCATGGCTACTACGCACCCACTCTGCAGAAACTCAGCCGTGGGAAGTAATAACTAAGTTGGAGGTACACTCACAGCTGGGCCAGGACTGCAAGGATCTTAAAATGTTTCCTGCTAAAATCAAGACGGTTGTACCATGCCATGCGTGTGACCCGTACTAAATTCGGGCCAACTGCAGCATTCAACGCGTATTTGACTGCCATGCTCGTGACCCGTACTAAATTCGGGCCAGCTGCAAGAGTCAACGCGTATTTGGCTGCCATGCTCATGACCCGTACTAAATTCGGGTCCTCTGGAGAGTTCAAAGACCAGGACTGCCATGTTAGCACATGGTCAACCGTGTAAGAACACGGCGGCCAAACGCGTATTTGCCTGCCGTGCTACCACCTGGCAGACCGTGCGCTAACATGGCGCAGCCTCCTTGATAAAGAAAGGAGGCTGCCATGTTAGCACATGGTAAACCGTGTACGAACACGGCGGCCAAACGCGTATTTGCCTGCCATGCTGTACATGGAGAACACGTGCAACACATGGCGGTCGAACTGCTTCCTGGAAATAGTAGGGAGAGGCCTTAGTAGCGATCTTTTTTAACTCAACTTGCTGCCCGCGGAAGGCAAACATAGACAACAGGAGACTGCATCGTCCACATCGGCTTGACAGTGACCCGGCTTGCTGTGAGAGATGACTGACTTCCATTCAGACATGGTTGGCGAGAAACCACCAATTTCCTCAAGCGCTGGCGCTTTGCCACCGGCCATACTTTCAGCAGTGCGGTGAGCAGGCGAAGCAGCATGTTTGCGGAAACGAGCCACACGAATGTCACCACTGTTCACTTCATACCTTGCAAAGTGATGCCTGGAAACCGGAAACTTGGACATGGCTTCAGGACTCACTTCCTGAGCATCATGGCACAGTCGGCAGCCCAAGCCCCAACTGCCACTCTCCATATTCATTTTGGCGTCCAACCATGCTAATTCTTTCTGCCATACAGGCTTATATTTCACCCATGTGCATCGAGCACATTTTGCACCTGCAGAGCAAGCTTTCACATGTGCATCATCATCATAGCCGCCAAGCGAACAGTTGCCCAACTGCTCTGACATACTTGCTGATCCCTAGGTTTGAGCCGGTCAAGCAGAAAGGGAAATGTGTGCGGCTTGCAGCTAACAATAATAATGACTGATCAACTGATAGGAAAGCCTGCCAAGCTGGCTGCCGCCATGAAAGAAATTACTGAATGACACTCAGCCACCGTTCAAAGTGACCCCTTCGGCCATTTTTTCCCCTCAGCCGCGTCCCCCCTGCGGCGATGAGACGTTGATACACTCCGGACAACGGTCAGATGCGACGTCCAAAAATGATCTTCAGCAAGTATCTGAATTTCAGTCTGGGAAATAGCAGCTTCAACAGCGCAGCTCTGCTCGGATCTTTTTGGCTAACTGGCGTGTCTCCGAGTTCTCAGCTGTCAGTGTTAAACATAGGGGTTTAGTTTAGTAACAAAACTTGAGCAAAACGAGTCGAAACTTCTGGCGGCAGTCAAGATGCGCTGTTCATCAAATAGCCATGCTTGTCTTTGAGCCCACCCTGCGGAGAAGCTGCTGTTGAACCATCTGGGCTGAGGTTGCTGCATCCTGCTTCCATGGCTTCTCAGAATTGCAAAACAAAGTCGACCTCTTTGGGCTCACCGGCATGAGGAGCTGGCCAAATCTTGTCGCTTGGCTCGTCTGACACATGGCTGAAAACATTGGTTGAGAAAACGCTGCTACTGACACAGGAGACCTAAGGAGCCTCCTTGCGTGACTTCCCCCTAGTAGCTGCTGGTGTTGACCAATTGTCCAGGAAACTATAGAAGCCTCTCTGCGCAATGAACGTGGCAAAAAAAAAGAAGAAGTTCACAAAACACTTTTCTCAGGAGTGTGTACCTCCTTGGCCAAGGAAGCTTATATGATGAATGTCAACGATCCTTGCTCAGGAGGGTGCACCTCCTTGGTCAGGACACTGATGGATAATGAAAACATGTCAATGATTGCTGCGTGCACCTCCTTGGTCCTGGTCAGGAGGTGTGATAATGAAAACTTGTGAATGAAATCCTTGCTCAGGAAGGTGTACCTCCTTGGCCAGGACAGGAAATCTGAATTCATTATGGAAACACTGGTAAATGATCTTTGCTCAGGAGGGTTTAGCCTTCGGCAAGGCATGTGACATATGAATTTACATGAGTCGATCATGGAAACAGTAACATCTAAACAAGACAAACATGTTTGAAGCAATACGTTTTCTCCAATATGTTAAATCAAGAGAGTTTTGGGCAACACATACATATCCCTGAATGACTTGTAACATATGTTAAAAACCAACTCTATAACCATGTCTTAAAACATAGAAGCACCACCAATCAGCGCAAAGAACCTTACTAAATCCACCCCAGTTCTTCAGGCACGCTGCCACGATCCCGAATCACCAGCTTGCGCAATCGGCGCACCTCAACCTTCAGGTCGGCTATCTCGTCACGTAGATCGTCCACACTCACCTCAACGGCTGTGATGCGGGCGTCCCCCATGCAAAGGCCTCAAGCGAGGCGGTGCAGTGGTCGTGTAGGCGAGGAGGTCGATGTAGTGTGGAGGAACCTCCTAATGGCCACCTGATGCAAGTAGATCCGCAAACAGATCACAGCCTCTAGGATAGGTCCAAGCAGCAGCCCCAGAAGCACGCCCAGCAGCACGCTAGGCCAGTGAAGTTCCCAGATGCCGCGAGCGGGGCAGAGCGACAGCACGGGTGGTCCGGGCGAAAAACCCTCAAAAACCTTCCAAAGCACTGCCAGCGAAGTTCCTGTTGAAACTCCAGTGGCTAGCGCTTGGCTCATGGACCAACAAAGCTGCAGCCACAGTGCAGTTGAACATGAGGGGACATATATAGTAAAGCTACTCAGCTACTAGTTAGTTGTTTGGCTGCCATTTGCATCCAAATGTCCTCTCTGCCGAGGCTACATTTGCCCGTACTTTCCATTTTTGATCGGCACAGCGCCACTCTTCCACTATTGGTTTGATGACCCCTTGTGCTACTGATAAAACTGTTGAGCCCGTCCCAAAACAATATATACGTAAGCTAGCAAAAACAAATGCTGGAATTCAGTATGGCCTACTGTTGGGGTACCACTTAATGTAAATTAATTAATGCAAATTAATGCATAGAAACGATTTTTTTCAAACATGAGGGATTACCGAATATTTGACCACCCAGAAATGAAGTTTAGAATCGGTCACCCCAAAAATGGATGCCCACAACGACTTGAGACATAGCTTATGACATCCACCTGGAGGCTCTAGGTAGACACACAGCTGGTAACGTACTACTATTGTTGAAAATGCACAAAACATAAATACAAAAATGCAATACTACTATTCATTCAAAACTTAAACAAAATAACAGTAATAAATCAATAATCTGTATACCTACATGGAAAAATACAGATGGTGTGATTATACTATTTATTATGTTATTCAGTATATTATTCATACTGTATAATATATATATATATCACGTTCAACAGTAGACACTAAAACATATCATATTTTACATCTTACATATATTACACACACGTACATAAAATATGCACACGTACATAGTAATATATATATATATATATATACAGTATATACGTAGTATGAGTGTATATATATTTATATGTCGGTATATATCTATATGTTATATTATGTGTATATATATACATTATGCATATATATTTATATATCATCTGTATCATATATATATATTGTGGTAATCAATAGACATATACATGGATAATGCAACACATTGTAGTGATATGTATTTATATATAATAAGATATACAATAACGAATAATTGTTATAAAACTATACAATTATGTATATATATATTGTGTGGTATGTTTTATTGAATGTATGTATGTACACTATACTTACAGCATGTATACACACACAAATAAATATATATATATATAGCATCTTATATAGAATATTGTGTACATATATATATAATATTATATAATATTCTTAATCCCTTCCTCCTAATACTAAACCCCCCCCCCCTAATACAAAACACGGCAGGTAGTTTTTAGTATTAGGGGGGTATTTATTATTAGGGAACCAAAATATTGCCAAAAATGGCAGTTCGAAGCTTACCCCTAATACTAAATTAAAACCCTTAATAATAAAAACCATTTTTTCCGATCTCAAAATCAATTAAATTTCCTTATATAACGCAATTAAAATATTGCCAAAAATGGCAGTTCGAAGCTTACCCCTAATACTAAATTAAAACCCTTAATACTAAAAACTATTTTTTCCGATCTCAAAATCAATTAAATTTCCTTATATAACGCAATTAAAATATTGCCAAAAATGGCAGTTCGAAGCTTACCCCTAATACTAAATTAAAACCCTTAATACTAAAAACATTTTTTCCGATCTCAAAATCAATTAAATTTCCTTATATAACGCAATTAAAATATTGCCAAAAATGGCAGTTCGAAGCTTACCCCTAATACTAAATTAAAACCCTTAATACTAAAAACCATTTTTTCCGATCTCAAAATCAATTAAATTTCCTTATATAACGCAATTAAAATATTGCCAAAAATGGCAGTTCGAAGCTTACCCCTAATACTAAATTAAAACCCTTAATACTAAAAACTATTTTTTCCGATCTCAAAATCAATTAAATTTCCTTATATAACGCAATTAAAATATTGCCAAAAATGGCAGTTCGAAGCTTACCCCTAATACTAAATTAAAACCCTTAATACTAAAAACTATTTTTTCCGATCTCAAAATCAATTAAATTTCCTTATATAACGCAATTAAAATATTGCCAAAAATGGCAGTTCGAAGCTTACCCCTAATTGCTAGAGTAGCCAGGCAGCTTGGAGTGAGGGATTGGGACTAGGCCCCCCTAATACTAAACACCCCGGGGTGAACTAGTTTTTAGTATTAGGGGGGAGAACCCACAAATGGTAGGTTGATTTTTAAATTGTTTTTAAAGGGGATCAATTAAAAGTCAAATTGGCCAAACTGAAATTTTCGGAAATTGGAGATGGATGCCTGTTTTTAGTATTAGGGGGACGTTTAGTATTAGGAGGAAGGGATTATATAATAGTATATTAATTATATGTATGTGTTGATGGACCTTCAACTCGCAACCCCTTTACTTCCCCCTACTCCCCTCCTGGTGTCTCTGCTGCAACGGCGAAGGCGACCGCGCTTCATAGACGTAGCCGGGGGGCGCCACGACGTCCAGCGAGAGCTGCGAGACCAGGCAGTTGCCGTGCGCGAAAAGCCAGGAGCGCCGCAACAGCACGGGGCCAAGGGATTGGCCTGGGAAATGGTGGGGAGAACACAAGGAATAACTATTGGGCCTGGAAAGCCTAACAATGAACATTTATCATGGAAAAATATGAAGATATGAAGGTTTCCTAGAATGGGGGTACCCCCAAATCATCCATTATGAATATATAAGATTTTCCATTATAAACCATCCATTTCGGGGTACGAGTACCTCCCATATCAGGAAACCTCCATATGATCATATGGATCATATGGGATTTAGATGGATTTAGTATAACTACCAATAATCCAATCAGAAAGGGTGAGGCAGAAATGTGGCAGACATTTGGGGTCCGACCCCTGGTTTCTTGTATACAGAGTGGCACCTGTTGGCCTGGTCTTTTTTGGTCTCAAACTTTAATTTAAGCTGTTGGTTTAATACTCAGAATACCAGCAAAAACTCAGGATGGTTTGACCTGCAATTTCATGACGGGTTTAAAATTTGTGATGATTTGTTTGGGTCCTTCATCAATAGATCAATAGGGCAGCAAGTATGAGTGTGTGGCCTGCAAAAATAGGGAAACGCTGAAATAGATATAGGGATACAATGCGAAAGAATCATGCTTGGGAGAACTTTCAGGAGGATGATCCCCAACAACGGCTGTGGCTCAAAATATCTTCAAAGAAAAAAGAGCTGCTGGAACATGCTGGAACTGTATTGACTGTATAGATATGTCTTGATAATACGATCACCAATCTCCACTAAGCCTAAGCCCTATTATCATTAAACCCCCCATCAATGCCCATCAATTTGTTGCTGTGAATTACAGTTGACCACAATCCAAATCTATTGGTGACAGCACTTGGTTATACAGCTAAGGTACCCGAATCAAGTGGTATACCAACCTATTGGTCACAATTCTTAGGTCTTAGTTGGTATTAAGTGGTATCTGTACCACTAAGTATCTTTCGGGTACATATTGGTGTGTTTGAAAATGGGGTATACTCCCCGAATGGTCATTTAAATCCATTGAATAGGGAAAATTCATCAACAAAACTGATGATTGACTCTGGTTTTTTGATGTTTTTTGGGGTACCCGTGGGTACCCATATTTTTTTAACAACACTAAGACCGAGAAAAACCTGCGGCGCACCTTCCAGAATGATCTCCGGCTCCTCCGCTTGGGGGCAACTGAGGCGTCCCACCACGGCTCTCGCCTCATCTGGGATCTGCTCCACATTGCTGCACACGAAGACCATGGCCATGGCATCTTGGTTCACCTGGCGAAATAGTTACGAATGATTTCAACTGGGTTTAAAGCATCTTTTGAAAAGAATCAGTGAGATAAGTGAGCAAAATGTCATAATATATCCCTCAACAACCAGCCCAAATACAATCTCAAAGGGTGTGTGGTGCTAAATCGTGGGAAAACAACTTAGTTTTGACTTTTGTCCCCCCCGCCTCATCCTGATCTTCATCTTCATCAGCTTCGGGGTGCCAGGAGTACACCCACACCAGGCATGCAAGTTCCAGGTCCATGCGTTTGCTGCAGTGAAAATGCGCCAGGTACTCATTGGTGCTGCCAGGTAGGAGGCAAGATGGCACACCTGTCGTGTTTTTTTCCAATTTGTGTCCAAGGATGAGGTTTTATTTACTCCCATGTGATGCCCATCATAATGAGAAATTATGATGATCATCTGATAACTTGTGGGATTTTCGGGGTAGCTTAGTTTCAACCAATGTTGCAGGTCACAGACATGTTCCAAGTGTTTCCTACAAGTAGGACGGCAAAGAAACGGGCCGGACAAGACACACCTCTCGGTGGTCCTGATTGCATCAAAACACGCAACCTTGCATCCTTCCATCTTCAAAATAGTGTGCCATCTCAAAACATCATTAGCTTCCTGAGTAGGTGGTGCCAGTCCACCGAATGACTTCAAAATGTCTGCCCATTGGCTTGTCGTTTGTGAATCAAAGATGGCCATGGGAAATCCCCTATGAAGGAAGTTTGAGTGGAAACATCATCTATAAATGTGGGATTTTCCATTGAAATGTTTGATCACCGGAGGGTAATCAAATAAATAAAAAAGGTTGATGTATGTCATTTTGAGGCAATATTGGGGAAATGTGTGGACTTTCCGAAATGCAGTCATCACTCCATGTTCCTGCGGTCGGAGACTAGTTAATGTTTGGACATAAAAGGTGATGTAAAGGTGATGTTTATGCCCGTCATCATGATCCTAGTCATCTTGAAACACGCATCGTTCTTTCCCATCCTTGCTCATTACTTGGTAAACATGATTGTTGGCCACAGGATAGTCTCAGTGAACAAATTCAGATTGTAATCGCAATAAACAGACCCGATGAGACTGTTAACACAGCCATATACAATCTATCAGTCTATCATATCGCAATGGTGACAGTGAATGACACTGCAATGATACTGTAAATGACACAGCCAAAAAGAAGGATCATCCATTTTTCATCCTCATTTTTTTCGACGGCCCACCTTGAATGCCGACGCGGCAGGAACCCCTGGCATTCGGCAGCTTCAACTCACCATTCTCGCCAATCTCACCCACCGGCGTCCCATTCAAAGAGACAGAGACACCAGCTGCACCAGTGCTGCAGCAGGTAGAATGGACATGTAGACCTTGGATTGAATCTTTCCATTTTTTCTTCGGGTTTTGTAATGGAAGTGGCACAAATAAGCACGAACATCCTGAACAAAATGGATCAAAATGCAGTTCCACATAGTTTGGAATTAGTGATGTTTATGTGATGTTTAAAAGTTTAAAGATAAAAAACATTTACGGAATACACTCTCTGGTGAACAAACATGGCAGCGAAACATTGAAACGTTGCCACTTCTGATGACTATCTACAGATTATGAGATCTGCATCGGGGTTGGTATTTGGGGATGACTCTTGGGTCATAGTTATGTAAAGTGGTGCTGCCCAACCCTAACCACTACAAAATTCATGCACAGAATACTACAAAAGTGCAACTTTTTTTGGATAAAGGCTTACTACACAACCAAAGGATTTGAGAAGAGGCCCTTCAAGATCCTCTTGAAAAACCAAGTAGATGTTTGTAGTGATTTTTAAGTAGATCCCACTGATCGAATTGGAATGCCTCGTTTTTTAGCATTTGCATTTTGTAGTGATCCTTATCGTGATCCAAGAGACTCTTAGAAATCACAGACCCAACGTGTCAGAGCAGCGGACCTACAAAATTCCAGCTCTTTTCAGATCGTGCAAGACGGTGCAAATGCTTGATTTTTTAATGTTACATTTTGTAGTGACTGGCATTGGCTTTCAGTCAGGGCACTTCAAAGGGCACATGTTTTTGCTGTTGTATTTTGTTGGGCACCAATGTTCATTTCATTTCTGCGCATGTTTTCCTTAATTTGTCCCAAATACAGCGCAGCAACATCCAAGCGAAGCCCGGGAAGCTATTCCACACATCTCCAAATCTAGCTGCATGGACATGATGACATGGACGCATATTTGTAAGTGACAGCAAGCGGTGATAGCCCAGAAAGTCGCAATTCTGATTTGGGCAAAAAAGTGAACAGAACTGTCTTGTGAAAGTAAGAAACTAAACAACCAATGCAGGCGCCAGAAAACCTGGTCGTGTGCGGTCTTGTGATGATCGATGACTAGGCGGTTGCCATACCGGTAGGGGAGGGACAAAGATTTCTTGAAGTTGATTTTGTAGTGTTGGAACGCTGTGACTTGATTTTTGTAGTGGACCTTTTTGGGTTTTGGGGATGCAGCGGCCAGTGTAACTGAAGGATATGTTTGTGTGGTGTTGATTGACTTTGCAGTGAAAAGCAGAGTGGGAGCATCAATCGAAATGGGTTGTCCAATCCTTGGTGTGTGTGTGTGTTGTGCATGTTTCTCTCAGTTGTTGGGTCAAAGTAGACGCGACAGTGGCAGCGCAAATTCAGCAGTGATTGCACTCCAGCACTGCGAAACTGCCTTTTCTACAAACTGCAACGGCTATTATTTAAATTGGAAACTATACTCTGGGGAAATATTATGAAATATGTGTATTGAACTTGGAACTCCACAACTTCACTACAGTACTTTTAGGGCAAATCTGAGAGTGAACTTGGATATCCACTTTGGGTCGACTATTATCTCGCACACTTAACCACTACAAAGTACTATGACCCAGCCCATGTTTGAATCTGAAAACATATATGATCTAGGGTTACTATAAAATGCAAAGGCACATGGTCCTGAGGGGACTGTAAAAACCATTGAAGCACCTATTTTACAGAGGACTCAAGCCCACTAGTTTTACAGATGAAATTCCAACCAGGATGGATTTACAAGAACGCCACGGTTGCCCAAAACATACCTTCAGCAAAACACAGGTATTTTTAATGTCCCATTTGAACATCACCCAACCATTTGGAATATTCTCTCAGACTCAACATCTAAATACGAGGCTCGAAATTCCTCAACATCCAACGTTTCTCTGGGTAAATCTGCAAACCCACCAAAAAGGAATCTATATTTGGGTGTGGCTCCACTTTTCTCTAGCCTTACGCCCATCTCCAGCATGGCCATATTAATGGCCATGGCACAGGGTGCTACCGATGCCGCTTCAGCATCCGGCGCAGCCACCAATCGCGCGAGCCATAGAGCGGGAGCATCTCCATTCGCCAGCCGTGCCAGGCGAGTTACAACACAGGAGTTGGTGGTGGAGGCTGGGGCACATTGTAATACCACCTGAGCCAACAAAGGTTAGAGTTCTGGGAGCCAAAATTGGGAAAATTGGATGTGATTGGATGTGTGATGATGTGTGTTTATGTTGAGTCTTATTATTTTATATATTTAATAGTGTGCATCATGGATGTTCATGGATGTTTCATTGTGTTTAAGTGCTTTGCAAAACGGGGATGTCAATCATGTAAATGGTAAACGCGCAAACCATTTGCGGTGGTGATATGCTCTGTTGACAGATCGTCAAGTGCAAGTATGCCCATTGAAACGAGTTTAAAAAGGGAGAAGGACATGAATTGCTTGCTAGTGCTTGATTAGAAAAGACATGTCATCATGTATAGCGACCAGTGTCTCTAAACATCTCTATAAACTATTATAAACTAATATTGGGTGGTTTCCACCCTCCAATCCCCATCTTTTATCATCTTTTCATCCTGGCCTGCCACGGTCCAATATTGGCCACGGGATTGGCCAACGCCTCCGTAAAGGGGCAAGTCCCTCCATCTTCCGAGGACCTGGAGCTGCCACTTTGATCCTTCAGCCCCCAGCCATGGCGGCTGAGAGCCCCCGCCTGCACTGCCAGGGTGTGCTCCGCATGCCGCAGCTCGCCGTCCCAGAGCCAGACCTCTGCGTCCATGGCTGGGGCACCACGAGTACAGCGCCACTGGGCCAAGTCACCACCCACCAGCCATAGATCTGAGGTGCCTTGGCATCCGGCAGATGGTGTGCGCGTCCCTGGGGCTGCAGTACATAGAAAGCGCAAGCGATCCAAGGGAAACTCCACCGGGATGCCGCAGGTGGTGGCACCTTGAATTTTTAATGGTAAATTCAGGCCTTGGGAAGGCAGGAAACTGTGCTCCACCAGCAGCTGGTGGTCTCCCATGCGCAAACTGCAGCTGACAGGTCCCAGGTCTGTCAGGCCAAAGTGAACTCCGTTCACAGAAACTCGGGCATTTGGAATAGAACTCGCACAGCAACAAGTGACGAGGGAAATCTGAGCAATGGGAGTTCCCAAGCGACCCACCTCCACCAGCCTTCCAGTGCCCTGAACCTGTACAGATTTGGCGCCCACTGAGCAAGATCTCCAGCCATTGCAACTGACAAAGTCTGCCTGGAACGAACAGTTGCCCGTTCATTGTCCATCCGTAAGAAGTATCTGATTTTGAATGGCCCAATTGTATCCAATTACTGAGTATTGGATCAATACCGGGTGCGGTTTGGGGATGTAGTTGCCAAAGTTGGGACAGTGATCGTTGCACGGGTTGATAGTTACAGTATACATTAAATTCGACTATAAATCTAAATAATAATATTATTGTTGTCTGTAATTGTACAGTATACTACATTTCATATCATTTCATACTTAGATATGCTTAGAACATCTTAATTAGACACATGTATACACATGTCACATGGCACATAATTACATGAAAATACAATGAAAATACAACATCTCAGACCATCATCCAGGCTGCGTCTGCCAAGGGGTCTCCCAAAGTGCGGATGAAACCATCTGCATCGGCGCGCACGGTTTCCCCGCTGTTGTATTCCAAGCTGCCAACGAAAGGCACCAAGTCCGGGATGGGCTGTACGGCGATCTCCATATCCATGCGAGGATCTCGGCAGTAAACAATGAGTTCCTTTTCAGTTTCCAGTTGCCACAATTGTACACAGGTCTCAGCAATAAATGTGATCTGTGTATCAGGTGCCATGATCTCCAGGATTTTCTCCTGTCGTTCCATGTGCAATGCCGGTGTGACGCGCTCTGCTCTCAGGGTAACGGGAGCAAATAGCGGCACCAAGAGATGAACGGAGCCAGTTTGGTCAGTCGAGTTCTGTGCCACTTGCTGTTCTGCACAGAAAACACTAAGGGCCACCCCTGGGATGGGAAAGCCCAGGTCATTCCGCACTAAAACCTCCACCGGCACTTGAGGCATCGACAGAGACATGCGCTTCAGAACGGCTTCATTCGAAGGCCAGGCGCGACTTTTCAATTTGGAGGAGATGCAAAGCCCAAAGATGTTGGCCCCAAAGCCTCGTTTGGACAGTGGCGCCGCACCCCAAGGTCTCAAGGGACTCATGCAGCACATGTAAACCTCCAAGGAACCAATGCGATAATTCGGCCCAGGAGGTGCTTTTGGTGCTGGATCTGCATCAGTCTGCTCAACCTCAGCATCCACCCCATCCGCTTCACTGCTTGTTGCCAGCGGCTCAGCTAACACATCGACGTGCACTCCTTCTGGGAACTTTTCGAGGATGGATTCCGTGAGTTTCTGGCACCGGCTTTTGTAGGCCGTTTCATCATGCCGCAGGCTGGAATCATGATGGGCGCAGTCTCGGCAGGACTCGATGATGACCCAAATGAAATCCTTGGAATTCTGTGCTTGCAACTGTCGGATTTTTTCTGCCACATGCAATGCTATATCATTTTGCACGCCCCCTTCAGTGTGTTCTTCATGCACTCCAAGCCCTGGTGGAAGCCCAGGTCGCGTCAACGTCTCTGCAAATCGTTGGGTTTTTGGCGCTTCGTCCTCTGTCACCACCTCTGCCTGTGGCTCCGGGCGGATGGGTTTGCCGGGCGACTTCCGCCGTGGCGCGGGCCGTTTCGGGCGCCTTCCCGAGCCCCGGCTGGGAGGTGCCATCCGACCCACCAGCCGTGGTCTGGGGCGCTGTGGCTTGACCCATCCTGGGGTGGGTTCCGAAGCCAACAAGGCCCGGACATCGTCCATGGGCAACGGTGGCGCTGCAGCTGTGTACTGATGGTGAAACATGACTTCCACCTGCGACACCGGGGCTGTCAATGGGACGCTGGGATCCCCCGCTGACTGGGCACGAGTTGCTGGGCCCCACCAATTCGGCCGAGCGTTGGGACGCTGAGCACCGCTGGGTGCGGTGCGGGGCGCGGCGCCATAGTCACAGGAAGGCTGGTCCATGGCATCAGTTGGATCCTGAAAAAATGTGCAGCGGACCTCTAGGGGTGACCCGCCAAGTGGTAGATTTTGGATGAACAATTGTAGACAAAATCATTCTGCCGAAATCGTTTCCTGCACTTGCTATCAATCGCACTATAGTCACTATAGTGTCATGCTTGATGCGAGACCCTTTTTGGGATGTTTGATGGATACTCTTGACTCTCGTTAATGTGAGTGCTAGTGCTGATTAAACAATATATGTCTCTCTCTGTGTCTGTTGTGGTAACGGTTCTTGACACTCGCCCATCTGCTGTGTGAGCGGCCGCTCTTAGCGTGCCAGCTTGGGATAATACTAAAAGACAAAAACGGCAGGTCTCCATGTATCACCATCTCAAAACATTCAAAATCTCTCAAAAAACATATGTCCATGGATTGGTTTAAGGAAAAACAGCAGGGAAAACAATTGTTACTCCTGAAAAATGGTAAATCTATAGGGGTTATCCATGGTGATCCTGTAGATCTTTTCCTTCAACTGGTCCAGCGAGCCCATCCGGCCTTTGTCCCGGTTGATCCGAATGCGGAAGAAACTTCCCTTGTTTCCTCAGGAGGCTGTGGGTCTGCGCTGCGATGCTCCCGACTCAGTTGATTAATGCATTAGGGACGGGCGAATGACCACTTAATTAACTCGTATATAATATATTCTTACTATAAATTATATATGAACTGTTTATAACTGTTTCATATGTGATATTCCACAGGAAAGATATATCAACCATGTCCAATTTTAGTTTCCATTTTTCAAGCACGACTCTTCTGCCGCTTGCTGCCAAGAGTCCCATATGGATCATCACTGGTGAACAGCCACAGTTTGCAATGGAAAGATCCACCCATTTTTCATGGGAAAATCCACTATTTCTATGGCCATGGCTTCAATAGCTATGTAACAAATTACCAGAGGGTAACCATTTTGATTGTGTAATTCAGCTACATCCCTCTGTTTGTTGGCTACAAAGCCATATGTCTGCAATTTTGTTGATGATATCCCTTATTTTCATTGGTTATATCATCACGCTGAGCGAGCGTTTAGTACCATGTGCAAGTAGTAGCCGTGCGTAGTCATGTTTACTTGCCCGTCTATATAATATTGATCTTGGTTTCTGCAACCCCACTTGTTCTAAGAGTAACTCAATTCTTGTTCGCCCAATCACCCTTTTTCCTGGCAAGTTCGCACGATCGAGTTTCAAACGTTCGCATATTGTTTCTGAAAAATCACACTATATCACACTGCTCCTGATAAAATCAGATGTTTTCTTCTCAAAATCATCCAACCTTTCTCCGAAAAATAAATCCGATCGAATGTCACCAGGACTTGGCCCCCAGACCCATGGAGCAGTTCCATGACTTCAGGAGCCATCTGCACCCGTGAGGGATCGTTGTTCAATATGGAGGGATCCTAACATGTTAAAATAGTGGTACCCCAAAACAATCCAACATCAGACCATTTATGACCATTTTAGCATTGAAACCCATGGTTTTAGGGATGCCCAATCTTAAGGAACACCCTTTTTTGTTCAAGTTCAAATATGTTCAGCCATACTTTTCAAGTGCTACTTGCGATTGGACTATACATGACCTGGCAGAGTCATTGGCTGGGCATGGCCATTTGTTCAATGTAAAGATTTAAGGCGAAAAAAAACTACGAGTCTGGGCTATTTTCGACTTGTCGTGTACTGTACTGAAACACAACCCAAACATGTAAGAGCGTGCTGCAAGAAACGCAACGAACAGCTGTGTCTTCGGTCACAAATTGAGGCCTTTCTTGCGTATATAGCAGATCTGCTGTGGTACTTGCCAAGGCATAACCTGTTGTTTCTTCTATGCCCAATTTGTATTGATCGGTCAAGGTATGATTTCACAAAATATGAAGTCATCAAAACATGGCAAAATTGGATCAAATTGCTCGATCTTCAGCATTGATATCAGCATCCCACGCCAGCCTTGTGAGTGTTGATTGCGAAACGCTTCAAACTATCCCTCTCCTGAAAACGGCAGGCATGAAAATAGCAGGAAGTCCGCATTGATCGTATTGCACTAGAAACAGATGCTATAATTCATTATATCCACTATATCCCATCACAATCCCCAAAAAAACATTACATCCCGTATTTTCCCATGATTTTCCCTTGAATGGGACTCCATCAAACTCTCACGAAGTGACAAGTGTGTCATATCATCCTCCATCCGATAATACAATACTAAACCCACCTTTGGCTGGAGAGCAATACTGTCACTCTGATGAAACGCTACTGTAGTATGGGCATTGAGATCATGAATTCAAATGGGAATCGCCAATACAAAAGTAGCTCCATCATCATCATCATCATCATCCTCATCATCCTCATCATCCTCATCGTCATCGTCATCCTCATCATTATCATGTATAACCAGGCCACCATAGCTGATTGTGATATATCATGATGCATAGACCCTCCACTGGGATGACCGAAGCTCATGGCAACGGCGGAATCCCTGGGCATTTTATTTAGGAAAAAAACTCGAGCCACACTGAACAAAAACCTCAAGCCAAACTCAGGTCATCAAACCAATTAATTGGTCATATAGAAAACAATTGAAAACATCTTGAGGCATTTCACCTCATTTCACCATCAAAATGCGTCCTCCCTCCCCCCTTGCCACACCTTCTTGAGGTTCACGGCCACACCCCGGTGCACCACAGTGGTGCGCTTGCCAGCGCCGGATACTGGGAAGAACGACCAGCTTTTCGGGGAGGGTTCTCGGTTGAAAACAAAAGGGGGTTTAACGGTTTAACCATCAACAACCATCAACAATATGGGGTTTTCCGAAATTAGGGGTACCCCAAATCCTAATTTCAACTAGTTTAAATTAGTTCAACCTATTTTACTATTAAACCAATGGTTTTAGGGCATCCCCCATTTATGGAAACCCTCGTAGGATTTAAAATAATTGGATCTGTACTGAGATTTATAATCGTACCGCATAACCAACCATATTCTGTTCAGGAAAACTCGGTTTTGTTTAGCTGAGTTGTTGGGGATGAGGCTTTTTGGTTTTATGTGCCATGTTGTTTGTTATATAATGTATTATATTTATATACTGTACTCGAAACGTCTTGAAACATCTTGAAACCGTATTTCGGCTTTTGGCATCTATAAATCATAAACACTCAAACATCTAAAAAAAACGATCATGTCTGAAAATCCGATCATTCTAATGAACCCATGGATGTATTGTCCATTCATAAAAGTTGTAGTCAAAAAAACAGAGAAACCGCTGAAAAATCCCATATCTTTCCTGCCGAACTTCCGAACAATTCGTGGCATCTGGGGGAACCCGACAGCCCTCCCCCGCCAAGATCGACTTGGTGGTTCGATAGGCCACCTGACAAAAAACACAAAACGGGCACCAACAACGATGGTCCAATCTTGGATCAAGAACGCTAGGATTCAACATGTTTTAACTTGATTTCAACAAGTAGACAAGTCGGTGGATATATGGATGACCCACTTGATGTAGGCAACAAAAACTTGGGTTTAACCATCGAACATGTATTTTTGGTTTACCATGTTTTACCAACATAGGAGATATATCCCAGAGGATCCATGTATGGAATATTCACCTACATTGACCCCTAAAGTAATTTAAAATAATCCCAATGTAGGTAAATATTCCATACATGGATCCTTAGGGTATGGCTATGGGTTTTTCAGATTCTCTTTATGTCATTGGGGTACCAATATCATTAATGGACCTTTATTACCTTTATTTATTATGATTGCATATGATTTGATACCCTCTGGTAAACTAACATAACTATTGAAAATGGCCATTTATAGTGAGATTTCCCATTAAAAATGGTGATTTTCCATAGCTATGTTAGTTTACCAGAGGGTAAATAATACATTGCTATGTTTCAGTTTCAGACCTTCCATCATTTGAGGATTGACCGTCATGACGCATCCCCATGTGATTGAAGGGCCTCAGGAACCCAGTCGCGCCCTTTGCGCGGCGTTGCACGAGGGGTCTCCGACCTGGATGCTTTTCATGCTTCACTTTGGATTGCCATACCCGGTAGCAGAATCAAACATCTTGGGAAATTAAGTTAAATTATGTTCATGCCAATATCTTCAAATCCTCATGTTTCGCGATTTAATACCACCGCTTTGTTTGATTCTGGGTTTCTTGGTTGAATCCAAATGTTCGTCGGTGACATGGTCAAAATCCCCGACCGTTTGGTCAAAATCCGTCGCGGTTCAAATCACCGGCTTGCATGGGTGAACTCCCACGTTTGTACGCTAAAATCCCACAATGTTTGTTCAAGAATCCCCCTCTGGTATCCTCTGGTAATTTAACAGGTTGCTATTGAAAATTGCCATAGAAATAGTTGATTTACCCATGAAAAATTGTGATTTTGCATAGTTTTTTGTATGTTTATACCAGAGGGTATCCCTTCTTTTTCGTCCCTGAACTGCCTTGCTCGCTGTTCCTGCGGGCTGGACAACTGAGTGGAGAGATTTGCCTGGCGCGCGTTTTTTTTTCGTGGGAAAATCCATGGAAATTGATGGCTGACATTGATGATCAATGGAAATCAAGGGAGACTACATGGAAATCAATGGAAAATAAATGGACAATTCAATTGATGTGTTGTTTGATTAGGAAATAGGGAATTTATTAATGATATATATAGTTTTTTGCACCCGGACCCAACTTTGACATTTTTTGTGCTCAATGATCCGATTTGTGCGAGCTATAGTCTTGAGACAATCTATATTTATAGTAACTTTTCCATTGCCAATGTTGGACTACCAAAGGGGTACCATTCGCTTCCTATAAATATGAGACATTAAGCATCATTCAAACATTGTTTCTGGCATATGGTAAAGTAAGGTGCAACGCTAAGCATCACCCATGGTGGGCTGATTCCCAGTATTCACAATGGATGTGGCCTCTGGCCGCGTCAGTTTCTTAATCCTTGCCATTTGGCAAGGCCAGAAAAATACACGTCTTTCTTCAATAAAACCCTGGTAGATCTGGATAGATAGATTATTCATATATTTAGAACATTTTAGAACATCCCTAAAATTGATGGTTCCCCAAATATGCATCATTTGTGTACAATTGTGGTAAGATCAGGTTGCCTTTCCGGCAGGTTGCTACAAGCGACACAGATCTCATTTGTCAGAATCCTCTCTCCGAGGTGTGGGTAATCATACCCATAGGATCCATATATGCTATATATGGTAACATGGATCCCATCAATATACCCCATTTTGAATGTTAGCATATATACCAGCACCATGGATCCGTCATGGGATATGGGTTCATAGCATCGGCGTATGCAAAAGGTGAGACTCTGAATTTGGCGGGCTCTCAGCGTATATCTTCCGAAAGCTTTGACCTATTAATGTCTTTTTGAACCGAAATCATGAGTACCCAAGAGTTCAATGTCCCATTCAGGTACCTAAAATGGAGGTGCTGTACCATATCAGGCCACACAATTTTCCCTTGATTCCACAAGATTTCAAGAAACCACCGCCTTGTTGGGTGCCAGGACAGTTAGCAAAGCTTTCGACCTGATGGAGGTCTTATTAGGTTCTCTATGTCTCTTTAATGGTATGTCAAATTACAATCATCTTTTCAACAACTATCCACTACTAGTATTATGATGTATTATGTATACTTATAATGACAAACCATATCAAACCAATTCAAAGCATGTTCTGTTTGGAAGGGGTTTGGTATTTGTGAAGTAGGCCAATGAATTGTGGGGATTATACGAAGGTTTTTCAAATCACAGCATTTGGGTTGAAGTGAAAGACCTAAAGGGAGTCACTGTCCAAAGTTGAGCAGTTGGTGGTTCGATTGACTCGCTTTGTGCTGGTTGCTATCATGATTTCTCCCGCGGTGACTTTGGGAACATCAAAATACATCCATAAATCCTTCGGTCAGGACTGATCAACTGATCGAAAATCAGTAGCCTTGGAGGTCCTGACACATCTTGTGACCGAGGCTTTGGCCATTGGTGCAAGCTGTCGTTGCCTCCAACGTGAATGCCCACCTTTTTCCCCTCAGTGCTGATGCCGATGAGCAAGAGACACACTACATATACACGACATATTGCTGTTCTCCAATGGGTTTCCAAATTTCAGCTTGGAACTGTGACTTGGCCTTGTGTTTTTGTTTTACTATTTCGTCAGATTTGCTGCTTTCAAGAGACAAAGCTTCCTTAAGGTTCTGGCTCCAAGGTTCAGGATCAAGCCTCAGCACATGACTCCAGCAACTACGATCACGTAAGCCATCCACTTTACTGAAGTGCAGTGGGAAAACTGAAGAGAGAGAGAGAGTTTCCATCTTTTAGCGATCACCCACTTCAGTCTGAAAATGGGGTACCTGTATTCCGCTTGATCCCCATGGTTTACCATTATTCTCCCAATCGAAATGGCCATAGCTCGCAGGTATCTTGCAGGTACATCATGTTACATCACCCATTTCTGGACAAGTCAACATATCATGATGTACTTGATTATATGATGTATATCAATATATCTTAATAATCTATTAGTATTGTATGTAAATATAGATCAAGTTGGTTACATTCCCATTGTTATATCCCAACTACAATGGGTTATAATATCCCATTATAATGGGTTACATTCCCATGGGATATAGATATAATGGGATGTATGTATATCTATATCTATATCTATATCCCATTATATCTATAGATATATCCCCAAAATCTACCCATTATATCCCCATGATATCCCATGATATCCCCAAGATCTACCCATTGAAACCCCAGATTTCCGACTTGCGGCGGCACCTCCACTCACGGTCTCCACGCCGCGAATGCTGGACATCAAGATCCGACTGTCCTCGGAAGTGGCGACCTTGAAAAAGAAAATGGTGGAAGCACATCTTGGGATAAAAACACCTGGAAATCTGGGAATTAACATGTTAATTCATGAATTAACTACTAGCCAACCAATCTTGGCATTACATGTACCGATGAATTCTTGGGAACAAGAAAAGATGGACGATTCCTGGGATATGTTCACGTTGTTTTCCCCAAACCAGACTAGTTCGGCCATTTGGGGATGACGTAACTTCCCCAATTCCAACCAAATGGATCCAACTGGGTTTTGTCGCAAACATTCACTGGATTAGACCTGCTACAGTTCAGTAATGGTTATATAACCCTAAATCTTGGGGGATGCTGTAGATTTTCCCTTACCATTTTTAGTTGTGTAGCCATCCAATATACTTTCAGGTATGCCTGTTTTCAGAGAAACACAAGTGAACTGGATGTGACTGGATCCTAAATGGGACATGATGACAGGTCCATAACCGAAGAGGACTTTGATAGGTTGGGATGGTCATAGATAATGATACAAACCCGCTTCCTAACCATGCGCTAAGTTCGGGTATCATCCCAATACCAAGGTCTTGAAATTCGTGAGGATTCATTTTTTCCATCTAGAGCTGGGCATATCCCCGACATTTCTTCAGCATTGGTATCATCCCAGTACAGTCTGTCGGATGCGTTTTTGGATTTTTTGCACAGAGAACATGCAAAATACTTCAGGCAATTCCCTGGATTCCCTCATCCCTTTTAAAGAGATTTAATGATGTAGCCTGGTTGGTGGTGCAATAACCATCTTGAAAAATATGAGTTCGTCAATGGGAAGGATGACATCCCATATATGAAATGGAAAATAAAAACCATGTTTGAAACCACCAACCAGTAGCCATCCCCAAGAGCCCCAGTCGTCCGTCCTCCTTCACTCCAAAGCTGGCCTGGAGGAAGGTCTTCTCCCACGCAGAAAAAATCATAGAATACCCTACAATACCCTACAAACGAATATAGTGCAACAGAATAAATAGATAATGATAATATTATAATGAATTAAATAATATGATAGAATATATATATATATATGAATATACTGTATATATACAATCATGTAACATAAAACATCATACAATGTCATGTAATATGATATCGCAAGATACAACACAATGGGCACCAAAATGCATCAAAGGGTCACGGCAATTGTCTCAGCAGCCAATGGGACTTTGTTGGATGATACCCACTACACTTAAGAACGCATAGATTTACTGTATACAGTATACAAAATATACCAATGGATACAAACTATACATGTACTTTATTGTACATTCATTTCTAGTTTTTGTATAAATATGTACAGGGAAAAATGTGTATGCATGTATATGCATGTATATGCTGTACATTGTTTGATCAAGGCCCCAAGCAAATCTACGGACCTGCAAAGCACTCCCCCAGCTATCCATGCGATCCTGGAGCAGTGCTGAGGGTTCCCCAAAACCTCAACTTTCTGGGAATTGCCAGCCAGCTCCTTGCCATCTAGTGAGGTCACAACCTCTATCAACTGAAGGTAGTAAGCTGGTTATTGTATGTTATTGTGCCTTTAAAAAATCTGGCTGACAAGTTCTGTGTGGTATGAATATACCTTTAGACGGAGGTGCCATCGCCATTGTCTCAGTTTCTCTGTCTTGAAGGCAGGACCTTGTTTTGGTCAGCTCACGTTACGTTTCATGTGTTGTTTTCACAAACAACATTATATCATATAGTATACATATTACATATGTATTATATTACATATGTATATTATATCATATAATATAAATATATATATATATATGTGATAAGATATAAACATGTATAATATATAAATATGTGATAAAATATATAATATGATATATATATATATCATAATATATATAATATATATAATATATATAATATATATATTATATATAATATATACAATATATAATATATATTAATATATATATAATATAATATATATATAATTTATATAATATATATAATTTATATAATATAATATATATATAATAGAAATAATTTATATAATATAATATATAATATATACTATATATTATATATATTATAATATATATATGTATATTATTTAAATTATATATATATTATATTATATATATTAAATATATTATATATATTATATATAATATAATGTATAATATATAATATATATAGTATTAATTATATATTATATTATATATCAAATATAATATATAATATATAATTTATATCTATATTATATATTATATAATATATATATATATTATATAATATATAAAATATAATATATAATATATAATATATATCTATATTATAAATATTATATATTATATATATTATTTATTATATATTATATATAATATAGTATATTATATATATAGTATATTATATAATATATAGTATATTATATAATATATATAATATATATAATATATATAATATATAAAACATAAATAATATATATATATAACATATATAATATGTATAATATAATATATATATATTATATAGTATAAATAATATAAATAATATAACATAATATAGTATAATATATAACATAATATTATGATGTATATATATATTATATATATATTAAATAATATGCATTATATATTAAATTATATATTAATATATATATAATAATATATATATATATATCATAATATATATTATAATACATTTATTATCATATTATATTATCTATATATCAAATAATATTATATATATTATATATATATTATATATATATATATTATATTTATATATATGTATATATGGCTATGATGTGCAAATGTCAAAAGCCTGGATTCTTACCGTACAACGGAAAGTCATAGCTGGTCATTGGACACTGGTCAGAAATTCATGGGGAAGCCCGGTTGGTAGGGTGATGAGCACCCAAGATGGTTGAGAGAATCATCTTTCCTATGAACATGATTGGGAATGTTGGGTAGGGTTTAGCCAATGTGGGTGTGTCTGAAAATTGTGAAATTATAGTATAACTTATTTTTATGGTCATATATGTTCATTCAATAGGGAACATGATGATAAACCATGGCTAGCCTATTTTCAGACAGCCTCTTTGCCTGTCCTTGAAAAGGATTGTTAGCCGCACGGCCAATCGCTGGTTATGCTGAAAGCCCAGCAAGCCCCAGTGCACCACCTTTTCCTCAGATCCGCGTTCTGCGTATGCGCATGCGCTGGCGCATATGGGTACAAAAGAACCAGAGATCCAATGAGATTCCTATCTAAACTCATCAATAATAATCTGAACTGAATATAATTGGAATACATTTACCAACCACTAGACAATCCTGATGAAGAAATGACATCTGACAAAATGGGGACCCTTCGAAACTCTGCCCCTAGAGCCCTTGACCACTCTCAAGGATGTTGCTGACTTGTGTTTTGCCATGGGTTTTGCTGACTATGTGGGGATGGGTCAAAACCTATTATCACCATATTTTGGGGGAATAATCATCCAGTAACCATGTATCGTTTGGAAACCAGGGTTTCGTTTGGGTACCAGGGTTTTGACTCATAACCATGCTGGAAATATCAGCTGGTTCAACCCCAGACTCAGCTGCTGACTGGCAGCGTCTGCAACCAATGCTGAAAGCGTTCATCGTTGACCTGGGACTTCAATTTGTTCATCGGGAACTAGATAAAAACCATTGATAAGCTATGTGTGCACATAATTAATATGTGATATATATATATCATATATATATCTGTGTGTGTGTCATATGCATATAAATGATCATAGCTACATATATATATATATATAATAAAGTCGTGTGTGTGTGTGTCTCGGAAAATTGGGAACACCTATAAAATAGTAATGTTGATGGAAAATATGCTGGCAAACCATGGGATTTTGATGGATTTTGATGGATTTTGAGTATCCTACTTTCAGAAATCCAGTTAAGTTATAAGTGGGTGAATGCTACTCACATACCAACTAGATGCACTCCCAAGCATGGAGAAACGGAATGTGTGAAACGACAGTATTGTTTCACCACGCCAAGTCTCAAACATCCGTAAGAAACAACTGAACTGCAACAAATGCGGAGTTGTCCCAAAATAGAGTATCCAAAAAATGGGAACGGTGAATCCTCATTCTCCCAAATTCCATGAAATTCATTCGTATGAAGTGGGCTAAATAATCCTGCAGTTCCAGATCCCCCAAGTGACGGTGGAAGAACAATCTTTTTTGGGTCGGACCGTCCAACCTCAGAAGCAACTTCTGTCTTCTCAAACTTCCCCCTCTCTGCAGATTGACCTCCTTCCTGGGCAGACACCCCTGCTGGTACGGCCGGGACAAGTGGTTGTTGGGTTTATCACACTACATATGCGATGATTATGTGTCTTATACATGTCATAAACATACATGAGTTGTATATGCGTACATTCTGAATATCTCTGAAGAACCAAGAGGGAAGTGCGAAACTCCCATTTTCATCTGTGTTCCATAGGTAAAAATAATTTTGAAATGGTGGAATTTTGCCAACTTCCAGGTCAGTTACCCTTCCAGGGTACAAAAAAACACAGCATCCGGGCAGGTGCTCAAGTAGAAGGTGGAGTCTACCTCTTTGTGTGTTGGAAATCAAAACAAAAACAGGAGAATCCAATCCTGAGACCCCAAAAGAATCCGTATAATCCTATATATATATATATATATGGCTATGAGTCAAAATTGTGTATGGAACGTTCCGCGCTGTTCCGGACGTATGGAACGAAGGGGTTTCGTAACTGGTCTTGTTCCGGACCTTTGGAATGTGATGAAATATAAGCTGTGCATAAATATAAATATATGTATACTGTATATATGTGTAATATATGTATATATAATTACATCTCAAGGATATGCACGTTGAAGCTACTACCGCTGGCTGCCGCTCATTTTTACTTCTCATCTGCGCGGCATCCTTGTTGTACACCTGTTCAACGCAGGTTTGCCTTGCATGGCTAGTGCTCGTGCACTAGCTAGGACATAACTGGTAGCCAGCCTCACCCACTGGCTACTATGTGAAGCTGTCCGCTCAGCTTCAGACCTGTCACGCAGGTCCCGCCCCCTACTCTTAAAACTCACAATTCCCACTCCCTATGGGGTAGATTGTGTCCCCGCGTAGCAAGACTCTAGGCTCCCAAAACCCACGCACAAAGGATGGCTTAGGAGCAGTCTATGTCAGAACCTGCCGTTTGTTCACGCGGAAGTGGGTCATGGATGGTACATGGGTGGTCCGGGTCTGGAACGGGTATGGAACGGTATGGAACGGGGTCTGGAACGAAACGGCCCACTCCAGCACAGCTCTGTCACCACGAAGCGCATCTTTATCAAAATTGGCAGTGTGGAGCGAGAGTAGCGCAGCAAGCAATTCTTAGACTGCCAGCTGGCAACAGCCAAGCGCATCTCTATCATCAAATATCACAGCTGTGCCACAGCGGGCAGCAACTGTAAGTGGTGCAGGCGCAAACCTGCCACAGGTTGAGAGGTTACAAGCAATCCATTCTTAGACTGCCAGCTGACAACAGCCAAGCACATCCCTACCATCAGACAACAAACGCTGCAGGCACAGACTTGCCAACACAATCACAGGGCTTGGGCATAGTAAACCTATTCTTGCATGTACACACTCATGTATGTATGTGCGCTCAAGTACGCGCGTACAAATGTAAAATCAGACTGCACATATTCAGGTGTATATATATAAATACATACATATATATCATAACGTATGGATCAGAGGTATGGAACAGAGGTATGGAACGGATCCTTCAAGGAGGTATGGAACGGGGGTATGGAACGGGGGTATGGAACGGGTGTGGTCCCGGAGCTTGTTCCGGACCTCCTATTTTGACTTGCACCCATATATATATATATATATATATACGTATATTAATAAGGAGTTTGAGTTGGTTCCCAACAGTATCTGTGGTGTTCTGCAATCATTCCTCGATCAATCTCCGGCTGCGACGAGGTCTCAGACCTCACCCCCCAAATGTAGTTATTTCATGCTATTTCATGCGAAACACAACGGACTGCCACCCAGGGGCCATCTTATGTTGGGTTCCATCTTGGTAACGATCCCAGACAGCGGTTGCCCCAGAAACCGCCTTCAAGAAGGGACTTCTTCGGTTGATGAACTGCCCGGCATCATCAATGTTGCTGGGCGTCTCAGCGAGCCCGCGAACGTGCGGACATGTTTGGAAGAATCCATGGATCACTCGCTGATGATTTGCCATGATTTCCCAAGTCAACTGAGTTCCTACAGTAGAAATCGTGGTGACGCAGCGAATTGAAGAAATTGGTCTTTGGCCTCTTTTGATAAACCGAATTAGATGTTTTTTAGCTGCATCAAGCCTATTCTTATCTGTTCTTGGCTAGCTAACCCCATTGTCGTTTCAAGATTTTCAAGTTCCCATCTTAGTTGCTACAAAATCATAGAAAATCCGCAAACATTACGTCCAGTGCCCAGCACAGATCCTCTGAGCTCGCTACTTGGCTGGCATCATTCCTGCTGTTTCGAGTCTGGGGTTTGACCCCAGGGGGATGAAAATTGGCCCAAGAAATTCTCCAACATCAGTTAAGGATATTACAGTTAAGGCCCTTTAGCAGTTATAAGCCGCTTATAAGCCCACTTATGGAATGTATAACCCCATTTATAACATGTCATGACCATTTTATAATTTGTAAAGGGTCTGAACTGGTATGACTCTGTGGATTTAGAATTCGTCCCTTTTTTGCGGCTGTCGGCAGCTTCAGCGCATCAGATGTGCTGTGGGGATTCATGGTGGATGTTCAGCCCGCTTGGATTACCAAAGGCTAAAAACTGATTGAACCTCAAGTAAATTGCTTAGGCCGATTCATCCCAATATATTCCTCCATTGTCCCTATATGACCGGTGACGGGTTGTAAGAACTCATGTGGGAACTCGAACAGAAAATCGATGAAAATCGCGTTTCTTGAAATTACAAGTACCTCTTGGCAGCCTTATACTGGAAGCCTTGAAGCATTGGGGTTCACTATGGGTTTTACCTTGATATATGATGATATATTCCCATTTTTAAGGATGAAACGCCAACCCCGAACCAGCTTGGGTGGACATTCCAGTTGGCATGTTGCAATGCACGTCCAAGTCCCAAACAGATCAACGATGACCCGTTCATGTTCTATTCAAATTGCTTTGTCATGGGGTATCTTCCGTTTCTCGATAACCCATGATAAACCAACATCTTCTTGTATCCAATCTAGATCATGGCCAATGGTAGATACCCTGCATTTACTCATGTTTGTCTTCTTGAGCTCGCTAGTACATATCCCTATTTACAGCAAAAGATTGAAGTACTTGGCCACTACACGTCCAAGGTTGACCCAGAAATATCGAGGGCTTGATGGGGGCCCCGCAACATCCCACAACGCCAGGGATCTTAGGATGGATTCCTGGACAGTCCCTGAGAATCGCACCCGGGGTGGAAGAGCAATTGGAAGGCTGACACCCAGATTTCCATATCCTGAAGCTGGCACGGTGATTGCCACAGGTTCAAAACCTTTTGGGATGATCGGATTTTGAAAGTTTACTTGGGACAAAATCATGTTCTGAAGACCTTCAATTATAAATCTGAACTTAAGTTCACATTTGAGAGGCCTTGAGTCGTTAAAATTCCAGTTTTCTCCGAAAATCCAATTCATCTGGGGGCCAGACCTCCCCAACAGGAACTCGAACTTCCAGACCTGTTGGACCACCGGGATCAAATCTGGGCGAATTAATCTTACCCTCTGGTAATTTAACGTAGCTATTGGAAATGGCCATTTATAGTGGATTTTCCCATTAAAAATGGTGATTTTCCATTGCTATGTTAGTTCACCAGAGGGTAGATTCTTTTTTTAAATAGCTGGGTTGCATGTACCCTCCGGTAATATGGCCTGCTGGAAAATCCCTCATAGTTTATTTTCCCAGCCTGTAAACCTCCATTTAGTTCGGGGAATTCCCATTGCCACGTTTGATTGAAAGATATATCTTACAAATCCGTATCTATAATACGTACATAATATATATATATACATATATATCCCCATTATTCCCCATGAAAACAACCACAACTAAAAGAACTGCGTAGTATATATCCCTATGGCAACAACATCTATACAACTGCCTTTCATTAATGTTCCTTTCTTGATGGATGTAATATGATGTAATTATATAAGTGGTTTAGTAAGTTTAGTTGGGAAGTTTTGTGTACATGTATATTAGTCCACAAATAACTGGGGATATTCAATGATATTCCATAAGTGGGTGATTACCATTTGGCATGCACCCCAGCGTAGTGATGATGAACCCCATGAATCAAGCTCCGCAAAATTCTTGGGAAACAAGAACCTGAGCAAAAAGCAAAACAGAGAGTCTGAGACCATGTCCGGAGGTAATCTTCACTTGATTTGGGTATGGATCAATACCTATACATACCATTTTTAGGGGGTTATTCACATCCATAAATCCCAGCTATTTTGATGTTCACTACAGGGGTACACGGTTTTGACCCATCCCCATTTGGAAGTTGTTTTGCTTTCTTCTCTGACACTGAAGTAGGTAGGAATGTGCTTCTGACTCATGTCCTTAAAACATCTTGGGTCCTGGATGTAGACTGCACTCATCTACCCTCTGGTAAACTAACATAACTATGGAAAATCACCATTTTTAATAGGTAAACCATCCATAAATGGGCCATTTTCCATGGCTATGTTAAATTACCAGAGGGGTTGAGTTATTCGTGGGTTACATCCCAGCAACAAAAACTGGGATGCACATCCAAGTGAATGCCCAACCCATTGGCAAGGACCCATTGGGTATAACGCTATGACCAAGAAACTGCCATTGTGCAGCTCGAAAATGAAGGCTTCTTCCACCACCTGGGCCGGTCTAGCGAAATGGCGGCAGGCTACCCACGGCAGTGCAATTGATTCTTAGTTTTACATGTGTCTTATTGAGGTATGCAACGGAACGTGGCGTAACGAAACGTAAGGATCGTAAGGTAATGTACCGTACTGTACTGTGATGTCATGTATATGGAATTATTTAATGTATATGGAATGTAATGGAATGACATGTATGCAAATCTATAAAATCATATATGTATGTATAATGTGTATCCATGCGTGCGTGTATTTGATCATCCAGTTCTGAAGGTATTTCCGGCAGGTCAAGACTAGGGTCCCAATGACAAATTTAGCCTATAGTCCATGGCCGCAGTAGCATATAACATCATATAACCATTAAAACAACACATCAAACAGGGTTTGTTCTTCACGTCTATAGACAAGTCTGTTCTTTTTTGGGATGTTTACCAACAGCTACAGATTTTTCACGGACGAGTACCAGAGTTTTGACCTGTTCCCAAAACACCGCCAAGGCAACCGGGCACGAACGGCTTTCACGTCCATGGCATTGACAATACCTAAGAGCCACGGCTCATTAAGCTGGCACTGGACAAGAGATGTTGGAAACGACCGTGGTGTCCGTAGTGATTGGTGGAATTTCCAGAGACCACCACTTGGAGATTCTTGGGCTCTCACCTCTTCAAATGTGTTTGGTTTGGGGTTCACCATGGTTTACACCACTACTACAGCAACTAACAGAAAGTTAAAAAGGCTTTGGGGTTTTAGGTCTTAGGATGTCTTAGGTTTACAAACCCTTCTTGTTACAGCAATACACCAGGGCTTCGTCTGAAGATAGGATATTCCCAGATCCCATGGTTATCCCCATGATCTCCTGATCGCAGATCGACCAGCACCAAGCGGGTATCAATCATGTGGTAAACCCAATGATAAATCACCCCCAATGACTTATCAATTTATAAATGAATGGTAAAAACCACCCAAAAATGGTTAAGGTTTGAGGTGTTGAGTTGATTATTTAAGGTTTATGATAAACACTATTGACATCCAGACACTATCAAATACTCGTGCGATATGTATCTAAGTGCCATAAATCGATATAAAGCCATCGGTTTACCACATTACCCAATGATTTTCTCCGGTGAAAATCCATCAAAAAAAGAACGAAAACAAAAACACCATGAATTATCATATATTATCATAATCTGATGAATTAACATGAATTTACTATGAACAACCGCATTCTCCGATTCTTCCGATCTCCATCCCCGTGTTGCGCCCCGTGCCTCCTTCATCACCGCGTTGGGCACTGGCAGCATCTGTGAAGTGCTCGAAGCGGTCGCTGAAAACCAAGAAATATCGCACCTGTCCAAGGAACGAAGAAATGCTGGGGCGTTGCTGAGTTGATGATTCCAGTTTGGATATTTCAAAGGCTCCAAAATGCTGATTTCATGGGTTTCGAGTTGATTTTACTGGAGTTTTCTGACAAACAATGATTTGTACGCGCAAAAATGGTGATTTAGATGGTTTTAGGAGCAAACGTGTGTGGTTTCACTATATTACACTATATGATTTACTTACTGATATTCAATGGATTCGTTTAAGGGCTGCAAAAGAGATGTTTACCATCAAATATTTAACTATATAATTATGGGTGTTTCCAGATAATTTCACAGAATTGCTTCAATGGCAATCTGCAGGAAACCACAGTATTTGCAGGCACACAGAATGAGTTCCTTGCCTTTAAGCCCAACCATTGATAGAAGATTTGCTTCCACACCACCGATCTATCACTGGATGTATGCTGCTGGATTCAAACCATCACAATTTTGCGTTCCAAGATGTTCAACCCATGAATTTCGGTGTAAAATGGTGTAAAAAGAATGGAGTGTTCTCACCAAAGCCGAGGATGTCAACCAGTCATTTTCATGAATTTTCTGTTCAGTGGTTTCAAACCATGCCAATCAAAAAAAAAATGGGCAATCGGAAAACATCATCTAGGGATGCAAAAAAAGGCAATGAAATCACTCTCCATCTCTCGGCCTGCTCTGAGCCGTCTTCACGCACCTCAACAGGTCAAGACAGCTTGACCCAGAAATGCTGGACATTGCCGGGGAGTTCCCACAGACTCTGCAACGGCACTTGGAATGCTTTTCCATACCAAAGACCTTTTCTGTGGCCATGGAAGAAGTGGATTGCCATATCTGCTCATTATGAATCCCTAATTTTGAGGGATTTCTTCAAGGAGTGAACAAGTGCGCCATCGTTCTCAGGTGTGACATGTGTGTCAATTTAAGCATCAAATCATCAAATTTAAATCGGAATCTTAAGATGATGTGTCCTACAAGATGCAATTTGTATGTATGCATGTGTAATATATATAATTATATATAACCCATCATCAAATGATTGCGTAACGGAGTTGCTCGGGAGCCAATAAGAACACTCATTATGCCATTATGCTATTACAACTGGTAAGGACCCGTCCTACGGAAAATCCGTGACCCCGCGCCACTTTGAGAGGCCCATGATGCATTGGCTTCGCATTACCTGCAGCTTCGATACGTGACTTCCACCACAGTTTACGGTTTCGCTTCATTGAACCGGCTCCATGGTTGTTGGATGCGCTTGGGTTGGGTTGTATACTATTATATACAATACATATATACATAAGTATGTATTTATGTATATATATATATATACCATTAGTGAAAGCATTTCTCCGGAAATTCTCAATTGGCTAAGGCGCCCTGTGCAAAAACGTGGGCATTCCTAGGTCCGGAATGGTGACAGGTCGCGGCATATCTTGCGCCACTGTCTGCGAACTTCATCGCTTCCTCAAAGTTTTTAAGACCACGTAATAGTCAAATTATCAAAAATTAAAGGCGACACACTACAAATATCTACAAACATGGTTATAAATGATTGTAAAAACACACATATCATAAAATCCAAGTCACTTTTTCTAGACGCCCAGGTATATGCGTTATTCCCTACTATAAGGTGCTAACTAAATCGGCCGGAAGGTTGAAACCACCCATGCTTTCTTCCCAATGGCAGCAGCATGTCTCTGCACCTCGCTTTGGTAGTCGCACCGGCGTATCTTAGGCACCGCAAGAAAATAATGTCAAAGGATGGCATGAAGTCTATGCATAGCCAGTGTTTTGAAATAGTATATCATGTATGAGTGTATACGTGTAAAAAAAAATGATGAATTATGATCATACATAAAACATCCATCGGAGAATCATATATATATATATACCAAACCGTATATATTAATCATTAATATAATATGATGTAACCTCTGGTTATTTAACATAGCCATGGGAAATCACCATTTTAAATAGCTAAACCATCTATTTCTAGACCATCTATACCATGGCTATGTTAAATAACCAAAGGGTAATATGTGCAATACATAGCGTGACCGCAAGTTGTTCAACTTCGTCTCTAGGTGGGTGGTCAACATTGGTCAACCGGCCGCCTGTCGGCGAGCGCAAGTTCCTCCAAATCACCTGGCTGAAGTTCTTGGCACCGGGCAACTTTTCCAATGTTGAGGTTGGGCCCTGAGCATTGTGTCTATTGATAATATTATATATATATATACTGTATTACATAATATATCCTGTATTACATCATATATCATAATATGTATATATATATATACATGTGAGCTCCCGTCAATGTCAGATACATCTCAGCAGTTGCTATTATCGGTTATTGATTGTTTTTTGGGAGGCAATATTGCTTGAATTACAGTAAAAGGGTTTCGTGTACATCTCTGACAAAAGTGCTTCTGCAATACTACAGTGGTCTTCAGCCATTTTAATCGTAACTCGTATCTGGTTGGTGGTTTCAACCCCTCTGAAAAATGATGGAGTTCGTCACTTGGGATGATTATTCCCAATATTATTCCCAATATGATGGGAAAGTCATAAAATTCCATGGTTCCAGTCACCACCAACCAGGTATATATATATACCCTCTGGTGAACTAACATAGCAATGGAAAATCACCATTTTTAATGGGAAAATCCATTATAAATGGCCATTTTCCATTGCTATGTTAGTTCACCAGAGGGTATATATAATCATACATATAATCAATAACATCCAACATAACTTCATCCAAGACTCTTGGAGCTTGCCGTCAGGGAAAATGTCAAGGGTCCGTCAAGGGTCGACGGCTTGGGGTGGTTGATATTGCCAAAAGGCTGTGGCTGCATGTCTGAAAAGTGGCTGGTTGGTGGTGTAATAACCATCTTGAAAAATATGAAAGTCAATGGGAAGGATTATCCCATATATTATGGAAAATAAAAAATGTTCCAAACCACCAACCAGGTGGAAAATATACAGTATGCATTGTGGGCCTAGAATTAAGATTATTACGTCATCGTACGAGTACAAGACGAATGATGATCATCCAAATGGCATTAATTTCACGGGTTGGAAGTTGGCATTCCAGCATAAGACAAGTCAAACCCAACTTTTTTCTGCAGGTCATTTGGGCTAAGCATGACACATCTGCAGGTCATTTGGTATACAGATTGATCTCAACGAACTGCCCACGCTGCTTTAAACTTGGCAGCCCAACCGTCTTGCCCTTGCCGTCCCGGGCGAAGGTGGGGGTTAAAACCTTGGAAGAACAACTTGCAAACCAGTCATGAGATGGTTGATTGGTTGAATCGTCAAGAAACAGTTTGAATTGTGAATTTCCAAAAAATATTGATGTCTCAATCATTGAATCCAATCATGCCTTCTATATCCTTCTATGATTCTATGATTAGACGTATCAAAGGTGCAATGACACAAAGAAGTTTCAAAAACATCTCTGCAGTATGGATGCTGTGTCTATGGGCACTGGTGGTCATCCAACCACCTATATATATGGATTATATACATAAGATGTATGTAAGTATCTATCCCAGTTCATGGCATTTCATGGCACTTATCCTGTGTTGCGTGTCTGTTTGACTGTCTGACTGTGTAAGCCTTGAACTCTCGAGATTTTCAACAAAGTGGCAAGATGTAAAATATCTATATTAAAATACTATATTAAGTATACATCTATATTATATAGCTATTATATACAGTATATACATGGATTATATATACATAAGTGGCTATGTTCAAATTTTCACTTTCATAGCTGAAACCATATTAAATCAAACTAAAATCATCTCTTCTATCTCCTGTTCTCTCATCTTGGTCCCCACCTGATGGGTCACACCTGTGAAACCACCCATATTTGATATGGAAAAAGATCCAAATGGGTTGGGCTAAGTTGGTTACTCCCTTTTGAAGTAGAGGTTACTCCATGGTTATTCCAAAGGGGATCACAAAAAGGTTTCGACAAATAGATATCTTGGCATGACATCGAAGTCATCGTCGCGAAGCGCTCGGCCACCGACCTCCGCAAAGCAGGACCTAGTTTCGGCGGTCCATTGATTTTTTCCATACCAGAAACTTGTCTCTGGTTACTGGTAAATGGTTAGATATACGTGTATATATATAATATATTATAATATTAAAGAATGATTAGTACACCAAAGTGTCTCATTTGTCTTTGGTTATAAAGTATCTGCTTACTAAATTCGCTAGACTTGTCTCTGGTGTGTGTTAAATGATATAAAATGATAATAAATAATTAATAAACCATTTACTAGCAACAGAGGAAAATAGGTAATTCTGTCGTAAATGATACAAACTTACTAATCATGTGCTAATGGTAAAATTCTCCATTTATGATCGAGTGATCGGCAGTTGTTTTAAATCATTGAACCATGACGATTCATAAACCAGATGTTCGCAAAATGGGTAAACAACTAACCATGGTTGGGTTGTGTAGGTAACCAAACTTCATCTGATGGTTGAACCATGCCAACACATTTAGTTGGTCAATTCATCCTACTCGTAGGTTGGTCGAAAACACTGCCAGTTGAGCCATGGTCAAGTTAAATGGGTTGATATGGGACTGGTCATCCATCCCATTTCGTGGGGATTGACGACCATCCCCGCAATATGGAAAACTGACTTTTGTCACTGGCTCATGGCTCACATAAGTTGATATTCGAATGAACTAAGCCATACTAAATCCCACATGGATCCAAATTGGTAAATTGTCTGAAAATCCAGGGAGATTTTTCTGCCCCATTTCGAATTTGGAACAATCCCGGTCTCAAGACGAGGGATGAGGGATCCAGGATACCTCAATCTATGGCATAGAATCAATCTATGGCCATATTATGCCTCTTTAGAGGAAAAACTATGAAAAACTACTATAAACTAACCATGACGAATTTGAGACAATCGAAATTCCACAAGCCAACAACTCTTGACCAATTTTTCAACTGCTGCATCCCGTATGTTGGTTGGTTAAAGCCCCATTTCGATTCCACACATCCCAGCGCCGCATATCACAGGCAGCGCTCCCAGCGGTTTTCGGCATTGCTACCCTGTGCACCGGTGTGCCAACGTAACGCAGGGATGCTGCGGTTGTCGGAGATGAAAATATGATGTAGCATATTCCATTGAGATCTTTTCCTAGCCATTGGAAGGCACTGAACTCAGTACTTCGCTTTGCTGTCAGATCTAGTAGACTACGTCACGCTGGCTGTCAACTTGCATCATTGCTTCAAGCAAAAGTAAGGGCTACTGAGCTACCGGATGCTCCACTGTACAAGCATCACATAGATTAACTGCTCCACCATTCCGTGAAGTCCAATCCTTTCAGGCTTGAACGGCTGAAAACACTGTCTGCTCGCTCACTTCGATTGAGGAAATTGCAACTGCCGCTTTCTTTGACCATCAGAGATAGCTTCACAAGTTGCCGAATTGGGTAAACTTAGTTCCCCAACCCGAACAATTTGATTGGTTTCGGTATTCACTATAGCGTATTGACATGTAATGTAATTTATTATTGACTATCCCTCCTACAATTTGAAGTTCCCAATTGGACACCCATACTTCCCTCAGTGACATCTACGAAGTGCGAGGCGAAATCCATCGTGAAACGACTCTGAAAGCAGGGCCGGCATGGCAGCGCTCAGGAAGATGCCAGGCCGTTCCTCACGGTTGGTCGTTGCACATGAGGATTATCTCAGGGTTATCCCAGGTACAGGTATAGATGAGTATAGATGAGTAGGGATGGAAAAACGTTTGAAACCATTCAGAATCCCATCGCAATTCTGCTAAACAGAGGTTTTTTCAGAAGTATGGATGAAAAGGAAAAAACATGTGAACTGAGTTGTCGACTAATCAAAGATCTCACCCAACCTCGGCGGGGACTTGCATGCAGTCTATGTTGTCAGATGCTGAATGGTGTCCATTTGTTGAGTTTTTCATAGTCTCGCATTTTCATCTGGTCATATTCCAAGGCTACGTATGATGGTTAAGAAGTCAGGTTTGAACTTCTGGCGACATGCAGAATGGGATAGCTAAACAAGACCAAACAAACAGCTCAAAAAAGCAGCTCACAGATGGACTCAGTTCAAATTCTGCAGCCAAGAAACAGTAATCCTCCCAGCACGCCTGCTCCACCGGCTGCCAACATAGCACCGGTGCCACCACCCATGCCACCACCCATGCCACCACCCATGCCACCGCCAGTGTAGCCAGGGCCCTGCAAGAGCGACCCTTTTCATCTCCACGGGTTTCCCACTGCTCGTTGAAATTTTTGATGTCTACCATGGACCCAAAGCACCCCTCAACCATGCATTTCCAATAAACCCTTCGTTGGTGGTTCAGCCACTCATCCAAAACCTTTTGCAAACAAACTGAAATATATTAAATCCAGTTGGATCCTAGACAGGGATAGAACATCATGTGAAATCAAACGTATAAGCCAACAACTTGGCAACATGTTGGCTATATTTGATGATATCGTCATCATCCTCATCCTCATCCTCATCCTCATCTCCATCCTCATCCTCCTCCTCATCATCATCACTGTCATAGTCAGTGGCTGGGCCCCCCAACCGGGGTGTATGCCGGCCCGGGCCCATAGGCAGGGCCGGGCCCATAGGCGGGGCCAGGGCCACAGGCAGGGCCGGGGCCATAGGCAGGGCCGGCACCATGTAGATGGGCACCGGGCGAGCTGCCAGGGCCATAGTAGGGAGGTGCCATCCCTGGCAGGGGATTGTTGCTGGTGATGAACCAGAAACAAGAAGGGAAGCCGGAGTTCATGTTTTCTCGATGCTTCTTGAATCATCTTTAGGACCTACAATTACTTGATGAATGTCGAAGTTTCTCACATGGACATTCAAGCCATTTCTGAGCCTAAAAGGTTTGAACATGTTTGAACAATCTGACCAAAACTATCCAATCACGCCCTTGCCTAGCCTGGGCCATCATGATAAGCCACTGGAGCTGCTGCGGGAGCATGGTAGTGGCAGCCAGGGGTGGCTGCAGGCATTGCAGATGCCTTGACTCATTAGGTGGGAATCTCTGATGGTAGCTCCTTGGCTCTCCATTTCTTGATGGGAGTATGGCTATATATATATACATACAGTATATACATATATCATACACACACATATATTATATATATACATTTATTTATAAAATTATATGTATATATATATATTTTTATTTATATATATATGTATCATTTAAATATATGCATATATTATACAATTATATACATACAATTACATATATATATATATATATACAAATATATATATTTATATATTATGATTATTATAGCTCATCTCCTGCTCTCTCCTAGCATTTCCTAGTAGAAAAGCTCAGATCTTGAACTGCTTTGAGGCGTCCACAGGTGCGGAAGGCTTCATCCCAGGGGTGAAGCCCACCACAGCGCCCTCCACCACGGGCGGCCTGGAAAGTGGCGAGCCCTGGTGAGGTGAAAAATAGCTGGTAGTTGTGGATGTTCATCCCCCAAAAAAATGGTGGAATAGGGATTTGATATATCCCCAACTGGCGAATCAACTACAATGTGGTTTTAAACTTCAAGCGTTTAACTTAAACAAGCACGACAAGTTCTTCTCAATTCAGTAATACACAAAAGCCGCCACCTACTGACCAAGGTAGTTGATGGGGGCTGTGGCCACCTCACACCACTCAAAATGGCTGGTCTTGTTGAACACTGCATGTTGCGTATCATTGAGTACCTGTCTATGGGACCCCAATTCATTGTGAATCAAGCCTTGGGATTCTATGATTGCCGTACACAATGACGAACAGACAACAACAGACAACAGCGCGCAGTTAAAAGCGACTGAAGCCATAAACATGTAAACATGGGGAGTTTGACCAGAAATGTTTGGCACATGTAGGGAATCAAGGAAAATCGGGGATTTAACATATGAAACTTTGAGATTTGGGCAGGGGTATTCATTCGCACACGTCTTGGTTTGGGCAAACCACAATTCTAAGAAGGGATGCAAACAAGGTCAATCCCATATTCATGAGACAGTACTGTTGGGGAGGTGACATGAAAATTAATCCTAGACCACTGACCTAGACCACTGATCACAACAGCCAAATGATGAAGACCGATCGATGCTGAATGATACACTATGAAGGGAATAAGTCAGCAATGGCTGAATGTTGAACGGTGAATTACAAATAAAGATCTATAGTTAAATCATAACAGTCTTTTTTGAAACACATGTAATGCTTGCCCTTCATCATCCCTCCATTCCTACACTTAAGGCCCTTTGCCAATTATATACAGTATTAATAGGTATAAATGGTGTTATACATTCCATAAATAGGCTTATAAGTGACTTATAACTCATACTAGTAACTGGTAAAGGGCCTTAACTGTAGGTGGCGTTCATAATGGCCCCGTATGCTGCACCTGCCAGTGTCCACAATGCCATGCAGTGCTTGCTCTGCGGAGGGTTTGACATAGTCCGCTTTTGGAGGCTTGGCTGGCTTAGCTTTACCTGTTAGAGGGAGGCAGGTTGAATTGACCTTGAAGATAATTGATTTTTTTCCCGAGCGGGATACATGTTTTTGTCCTCCACGTTTGGCCAAAAGATAACCCATTTGATCCAACGAACCTATTGCTAGGGTCAGCTTCGTGTCCCCTTTGATACCGAAGCCTTACCCGAACATGGATATGAAAAACCGACCATGAATGTAGATCATGTATTCCTTGGGTGTCGTCACGGGTTTTCCATGTCGTTTTGCTCATGAATTACCCTCGAGTAATTTAACTATAGCCTTTAGCTATTGATGATTTCGTCGTTTTTGGCTCATTTGGATGGTTATGGTTACCATCTGGTAATGACTAACAGTTTGCTATTGAAAATTGCCCATAAATTTAGTTGATTTACCTTTTAAACATGGTGATTATTCACAGCTATGTAAACGTTTACCAGAGAAAAAATCCCAGGGATTCCCATCCGTAAATCAATGGCGTGCCGCCCAGGAGCCATCTTCGTCTCTGACAATTCGAATCGGTCGCTCCTTGCCTGGGGACGGAGGATTTTTTTAGATCCCACAGAAGCATCTTGGATAGTCAGAAAAGAAAAAAATAGTAAAAACACTGAGCATCACAGCTTTCAGTTGGGGGGATGATAGTTGTTCGATGATGTTAGATGAATATGATACTGAATATGCTATGTATGTTATTCCCCCATTTGTGGCTCAACATTAACGTAGTATTGGCCCACCAGACCATTGTGTAAGCTATATACTTTTCACAACAGTACCCTACATTCAACTGCGGTGTGATGAATCCGATGTTTACACTCATGAAATGCCAATGGAACAAAGTTGGAGATCCATGTTTTATTAGTTGGACCTTGTGTAAAACTAGATTCGGCCACCAACATTGACTTCTCATAGCTATTAGATGCTGTTACTAAGTCGGGGATGCGAAGTGTTGAACTAACTTCTTGAAATAGCAATATGACACCCAAGAAACAATTACAGTCACATTTCTTGTGGCCTGTCCTCTGGTCCTGATTTGCACCTGAAATCCAACAAGGGATCCCCTACCACTGTGTCTGATGTATTTGGAAGGCTAATATTGCTGTATCATTGCAAATTTAAGGTCAAATGTTTGGGATCCAGTTGAAGAATTCTGAACCCCGAGGAACCGCACCTGTCTTGACATTTCTCTGTATCATCTTTACGAAGTCGACGTAGTAGTCCTGCCAGTTGGATTGTTGCGTCCCTCGAGTCGGACCCGGACATAGGACGACCCAACAGGATACGATCGAATTCGATATGGCAGATATATGGTTTTGCCAATGGTGGGCAACCGGTTTGAACGGATGATCATCATGTTCCCATCAATTTTTTTTGGGTATCCCCAACATGAACATCCCATGACCGAAAAAAGACGCGGATCTCTCATCGATTGGAAACACCAAGGCGTGACGTGTCCTGCCCCCTGGACCGGAACTCCGCACTTTTCTTATCGCTCATGAAGGCCTCCGACTTCCGGACGGGACTGGAGAGGACTGAGAGGAATTGGTTGCGGAAGCCATGGCTATTTACCAATAGTTTTAGGGCTTTCCTGTAGATGTTTTATGTTTTCTTCCATCAATTCTAGAACTGAAGAAGTTCAGTAGAAGTTCATCACTTGGGATTGTGACATCGTTGAGTTAGAGAATTATTTGGGGGTGAAGAACTGACGTCACGAAAAGAAGAACGGGTATAACCATGGTACAAGCCCCAGAAGCTGAAACATGGGGCTCCTATCCTATAGCTATATGGTTGTGTAAGCATTTATTGGTCGAAGACGGTAGAAGTGTACCCCAAAGTATGTAGATGATTGAAAACACTGAGGACATCAATCTTTGACTGGGGTCCATACCTCATCACAAATCTTTTCTTGAGTGACAGATTCTCCAGAAGATATATATCGCCAACCAATACAAATATCTAGGTCACGGGAACTATGAACATGACTTCAGAATCAAGAACCCCTCAAGTTGCAGAACAAAATGGCCCCTTCTTCGCACGCACTTTGGCAGACCAGAGGCTTTTTCCACAATGTACGGAAAACATTCCATCAGCACACTTTTTGCAAAACTCTGGAAGTTACCAAAATCTGCTGTCTATACATACAGACCCAAAAGAGTTCTGCATGATCCCTCCTTAGAGTAGAGTGTCTCGACAAACCTTCCAACTACCTTTGCCCCTCCCAAGATACTCAACATACAAATACAATCAAATACATACACTATCTAAGGATCTACGATCATGAAAACTACTGGTTACATCTGGTTACACTAGCTGATCAACCGTTGAAACTGGCCATTTTAGACATCGAACCGCGGGGTGGGCGCGCCTTGAGTAGAATTTCATCTTCACCTGTGGTCTTTTGATCAGCGATCTTGAATTCTTGAATTCTTGAACCTAGAGGTAATCCCCATTTTGCAGACCCAAAGGCAATCCATGATAATCCTCTTTCTTTTATGCTTGATTGAGACCCCCGAAGAGTAAAATTCTGTTTGAGGGTTGGTCCCATTGGACCCCAGCTACAAACTGAGTAACTGAGGTCCCAGCGATCCACAAAGTCTTCCCACTTGTCACCTAACTTCAACCTCAGCCATGGCAAACCACGGACGGCCAGACAACTCTGGTAAACTGGGCAGTGTTTTCGCACGATTCAGGCAATTCAGAGTTATTTATTGGGGAAAACCATACCTAGCGAGCTAGTGCTGATGATTTCGTTGAGATGTCCTTTCGTTCACAGTAAAATTTGTTTGGAATATTACGAGTACCTACACGCTTTCACGCTTTCCATGACAAGCTAGATAGTTCTGGTAAACATGAGACAACTGCACATATAGAATATATAATTGTAATACTATCACATAGCAAACTCTTGGACTCTCCTCCCCAAAAAAATGACTCCGGGTCTTTGTGGGAGTGCGCTTTTTGGCAATTTTTATGTATCGCATAACATGAGTCACTTCAAACATATGTTTATGTGTGTCTTAGTTTTGAGGCTTAGCAGTTGTAGAGCTATATAAAAGAGCCTGGAAATATTGTTTGAAGTTTTTGTTGGTTTTGCCCAGGATTTGTCAATTCTTTGGGGTTGTATGTGATTTTAATCAATTTGATTGGGATATATTGAATTCATCATTTTTTAAAGATTTCTAATACTCTGTAAAAGTGCCCTTGGGAGTGCACTAACACCTTTCAAAATACTGTATCATCTTAAATCATGTGAAAACTGCACTCCCAGGAGGACCCGTTCTTAAAAAAACAAACTCCCACCGGCAATCACAGGTCACCCATCTCTGAGGTTCCAACTGAAACTTGGGCATAACCACGACGCGGCGACGCGCTGGCAACTCTTCTGGTCACCCAGGTGTTTCCACACCACTGAACCGAAAAAAAAAGCGTCCCGGGCCCAGCTAGGAGGTCACTTCTCAAACATCCCGGCGGGTGGGAAACTGAACCCACGTTTTGTCTGTTCTTGGCGTTCATATGCTAGACTTACAGTAGCGTAGCATCATGTATGTGAGGCAGTGCAAGAAGACGTACAGTAGCGTAGCATCATGTATGTGAGGAAGTGCAAGAAGACTTACAGTAGCGTACCATCATGTATGTGAGGTAGTGCAAATGAACTTAGCCCACCCCACCCCACCCCACCCCATGAAACTCATAGAAACATGCAAACGCTGGTTCGGTTTTCTACCCGTAGGCTCAAACTTGGACATGGCTGAACTGACCTGTTTGAATACCCCGAAACACCCAGTAATGTGAGATAAATGCTAAAAGAACATCGCCCATGCATCAACCCTTCAGCAATCGGTTCACCCATATTTCCGTGGTAAAGTGCCAATGCAGCTGTCTGTTGGACCCCCCATTTTTCATATTTCAACCCATATGTGTTTGACGGTTAAACATGGTTGAACCATAATAAACCATGTGTATATATATATATATACATATTCTATGCTTGCTGCTTGTTTGATGGTTTAATCCAAAATTTTATGGTTAACCATGTTTAACCCCCCAATTTAAACCGTAAATCCCTACGTTTGATGCTTCACCTTCCGATGTTTCGCCCCCCTTTAGGCGGGGACTGCCAAGTCTCAAAGGCTTGATGCACTTGCAGCTTCATGGCGTTAACGCTTACCTGTGATGATGGTGTGCCATTAATGGGGAGGACTGAATGTGGAAAAAAAAACTGGCTATGTTGAGGACGGGGAAAAACACACACATATAATATATTAATATAATATATATATGATATTATAATATTATATATATATATATGATACTATGTAAATATACAGTACATATATATATATATTATAGACATTATACTGCATGTGAGCAACAAACAGGGTGGTATAAATCCGACCATGATATGTATAGATACAAACATATATGCCGTACATCATGTATACATGTCATGATGTGTCATGTCATGCCATGTCATGTAACATCATATATCATATACCGTATATCATATATCACATATCACATATAACATGCCATATATGATATATCATATATGTCATCGGTCATCTGTCATATATCATATCATATACACATCATGGGATACATAGACAACATGGCACATGATTGTGTTCAGAAAATGGGGGATATGTGGGGCTTCGGGATACTCCAAGAGATGTCCACGTTGATATATCCTGTACTATATTTTGGGGTGCCATATTCTGGAGAACGTATTTTTTGATATCTCCCCAATATGGTGAGGACATCTTACTGTTGTACTTGAGTGATATCCGTAAATATCGAGGTTCTGAGTGTAGGCACTGGTAACTAGATGTAAGTAGTCTCCATGAATAATGCCCAGCTTATGTCCCATGTTCAATGGCTTTCCAATTTCACATTCTTATACTATGTTAGGTCACAATGATAAACTATCCTCTTGCCTTATTAACCAGGAAGCATAACATAGTATAACCATGTATAACTCCCTATCGTAAACAATGAAATAAACAAGCACAGGGGTTTGGTCACTGGTATCTTTCCCTCCTTATTAGATGTTCATCCTAAGCTGACGATGGTGACGCTGGGACCACCTGGACAGTATATAATCCCAGTATCTTTTTTACCTTTAGGCATACTGCAGAGTCTCTGCTCGGTGCGTGCTGAGACGAATCAAACCGACCCTGTACTACAAACCGTAATAGTCCGGTTGGACCAGGTCATCAAAAAAAATGTCTGTGATGTGTTTTTCCCCACCTGCCAGGTGAGGGTTGTTAGATTTTATGTCAGTTGCCTCCTCCTGCCTCGTCCTCTTCCTCCTCCTCCTCTCCTCCTCGTCCTCCTCGTCCTCCTTGTCATCCTTGTCGTCCTTGTCGTCCTCGTCGTCCTCGTCGTCCTCGTCGTCCTCGTCCAACTGCGACCCGCGATCCACAGTGTTCTCTGCCGGACCTCAACCACGACCATCCACGCCCAGTGTTCCCTGCCGGCCCTCAACCACGACCATCCACGCCCAATGTTCCCTGCCGGACCTCAACCACGACCATCCTCGCCCAGTGTTCCCTGCCGGACCTCAACCACGACCATCCACGCCCAGTGTTCCCTGCCGGACCTCAACCGCGAGTATCCACGCCAAGTGTTCCCTGCCGGACCTCATGTAGGAAGATATGGGATAAAGAATGTGCAGAAGAAAGTTAGAAAGAATGTCAGAAAGAATGTCAGAAGATATGCCAGAAGATATGCCAGATAGAATGCCAGATAATATGCCAGCAGATATGCAGAAAATATGTCAGAATATATGCCAGAAGATATGCCAGATAGAATGCCAGATAGAATGCTAGAAGATATGTCAGATAGAATGCCAGATTGAATGCCAGAAGATATGTCAGATACTATGCCAGAAGATATGCCAGATAGAATGCCAGAAGATTTGCCAGATAGAATGCCAGAAGATATGCCAGATAGAATGCCAGAAGATATGTCAGATAGAATGCCAGAAGATTTGTCAGATAGAATGCCAGAAGATTTGCCAGATAGAATGCCAGAAGATATGCCAGAAGATATGCCAGATCATATGCCAGAAGATATGCCAGATAGAATGTCAAATAGAATGTCAGAAGATATGTCAGATCGAATGCCAGAAGATTTGCCAGATAGAAGCCAGAAGAATATGCCCAGAAGATATGCAGATCATATTCCAGATGACATGCAAATAGAATGTCAGAAGATATCAGATATAACCAGAAGATTTTGGGCCAGAAGAACATGTAATAATTCATGGTGGGGAAATCACACGAAGTACAGTATTTTTGTTTTTTTTATTTTCCCACATGCCAGGGTGAAAGGGTTGGTTAGATTTTATGTCAGTTGCTTCCTCCTCGTCCTCCTCGTCCTCCTCGTCCTCGTCCTCCTCCTTCTCCTCCCTCTTCTCGTCCTCCTTCTCCTCCTCCTCCTCTCCTCTCTTCTCCTCTCCTCTCCTCGTCTCCTCTCCTCGTCTCCTCTCCTCCTGCTCCCTGCCGGACCTCAACCACGACCATCCCCGCCCAGTGTTCCCTGCCGGACCTCAACCACGACCATCCCCGCCCAGTGTTCCCTGCCGGACCTCAACCACGACCATCCACGCCCAGTGTTTCCTGCCGGACCTCAACCGCGAGTATCCACGCCTGCCTGGACCTCAACCACGACCATCCACGCCCAGTGTTCCCTGCCGGACCTCAACCGCGAGTATCCACGCCAAGTGTTCCCTGCCGGACCTCATGTAGGAAGATATGGGACAAAGAATGTGCAGAAGAAAGTTAGAAAGAATTTCAGAAAGAATGTCAGAAGAATGCCAGAAGATATGCCAGAAGATATGCCAGATAGATGCCAGATATGCCAGAAGATATGCCAGATAGAATGCCAGATAGAATGCCAGAAGATGCCAGATAGAATGCCAGAAAATATGCCAGAAGATATGCCAGATAGATATGTCAGAAGATATAGATATGCCAGAAGATATGCCAGAAGATATGTCAGAATATGCCAGAAGATATGTCAGATAGAATGCCAGAAGATATGTCAGAATATATGCCAGAAATATGCCAAGAATGCCAGAAGATGCTATCAGATGCCGAAGATATGCCAGATAGAATAGAATGTCAGAAGATATGTCAGATAGAATGCCAGAAGATTTGCCAGTAAGAAAATGTATAAATGTCATGGTGGGGATCACACGAAGTAAAGTAATTTGTTTTTTACCCAGATGGGATAATCCCACCTTTGTCTAGCTGACTTATGCATCATTGCCTCAGAGTTTTCACAATAATTAATCTGGCAATATGTTGGATGTATTAGGTGTTGTTGGTGTTGAACATCACTGGGATTTTCTTTTGTTGGGTGGGTTTGTTGCTTACAAAACTCCCCATATCAAGATATATCCAGGATGTATCTGTTCTTCTGTCCAAATTTCCGGCAACAGAGCTGCACCTTTTTACCGGACTTCTCAGCTTCCTTGGGGCTGTCGGCTGGCTTCTCTTGCAGGTCCTCACATGATGTAGAATCAGCAAAGGGTGCTTGAATACCAATAGCACCAAAAGAAAATAGTATCAAACATATAATAATATGTGTTGTACAACATGTGTAATTATTTAGTTATATATTGTATACATATATATATACATATACATACGTATATACATCTATATATATATACATATGTATATATGTATGTATATGGATAGTTACATTTATGTATATATATATAATATACATATCATTGATTCATTGTAAATGTATATGTATATGATTGTATATGTAGATAGTGATGAAGAAGCCATGGTGATAGTTGTCAGATCCATTCCCCCTCATGTCGTTGGGTTTTTTTGTGGAGATCTTGGGGGCCCATCCAAGTTGGCTAAGGATTGACGAGGGATCCATGGCATCCAGGCACAACTCACGGGTCACTGTCCTCAGGGCTCACTGTCACGGCGCAAACCTCAAGGGCTTTGCGCAGAAAATGATGGGATTTTTGGTCAAACTTTCCCCCGGATGCCCAGATTCTTGCGATTTGTGTCAGCGCTGCCAGGATGATTCATTTGGATTAGATTGATTGTATATATAGCAACCCCCAAAGATAGACAAGTTGGAAACCTGGAAGATATGGTGGAGAACATCATCTATACCATTCTGGAAAGACTTGTTTGATCTATATATCTGTTTGCTTCTTTTGAGGGTGTGTTATAGATTATGTTCGTCAATTTAGAGATCTATGTTTTTTTTAATGAATATTTATTTATGTAACAACCTCATCCAACCTTGCAGCGAAATTGGATACGAGTCACTGAACGCTGATAGCATCATCCCGGGGTAGGACAGCTTATGTGAAACACCAGCCACTTTGCGATGTTGAGTCGGATCATTTTGTCTGTCTTGGAGTGTCTTGGGATGTCTTGGGCACTAGGTTTTAACCAACCAAATGCAAGATGGAGGCTAACACAATTTTATTGGTCATTCCAAGCATCATCAAGCATCCCAATATATCCCAATACTAGCTAGAAGCGTCTAATGGGGGATTATCATCCAAGAATATCCAAGATAGAATTGAAAATGAGAAGTACTTGAAACATCTCGAAACCGCCAAGCAATAGCTGAGCTTTTGGTCACCTGGTTTTAACCCAAAAGGCGCCATCATCATTGTATTCATCCCTTTGAACCCCCATGAATCTCCAAGTATTCTGAAATCCGAATAGATTTCAGCAGTAGTATAGTAACCACAACAAAGATAGACACACCTATACCTTCCCGAAATTTTGGAGCAAACCGTTAAATTTTCAGGTATCCGTTCTTTTTCAGGTGAATCCACTCCCCAAAATCAGCCCATGATACGTTTGTACCCCATAGTACCCCATATCAACCCGGGATACGCCGCCTTCAAAAGTTCGCCCTTCACGCGCGACTTGGGCCAAACTCCGGAATGCTCTGCCACCTCCACGCCGGATTTCCGCACGATCACCTCACAGGGATTTTGGCAGAGCGATGCGAAGAAAAGATCAACCGGTAGCGGGGGGGCATCAATTGAATAAACGAAATAAACGAACATCAAACATATATAAAACCAGAAACTCTCTGAAACTCAGAAAAATCTGAACTGGGACATGTGAAGTTTCTTTTCCCAAACTGAATACGATATGAAAAATGATCCGGGAGGATCCACCATGCAGGGGTTTGGGATCTCCCAGAAACCACTGGCCTTGAATGGGACGTCCGCATTGTCGCGATTGCTGAAATTGTTCACGAAAATGTCGAAATTCCCTGGGCTGATGCAGGAAACAAAAAGTGCAAAAAAGCAAGGCTGTGAACATGAAAAGTTCCTGGAAGTCCTTTAAGTTATCCTTTTTGATCATTCTTTTTGGAAGCAAAACATACAAAATCAACCTTGAATTGTGTATCTCCGGCCCACAGGCCTGGCTGATTCAACGACAGGTTCTCGGCCGGAGTCTCGTTGGCATCTCTGGAATTCGCGTCGAAATCCAACTTGCAGGATTCCACCTAGGTCAACGGCAAAGGTCCCCCTCTCGAAGGAGATCACTCTGGAGCTGAATCATGAGATCAGCAAACATCGGATCCAGTGGGATGTTTATGTTAATCCCGCTGGGATTTTTACAAACACTTGACGAAGGGAAAGTAAAATGGACAACTTGGGGAAGATCTTCAAGTGACTTCAGATTGGGACCTTATCTTGCTGGAAAGACCAGTTGCTTTTGCAGATGTCAATGAGTTGTTAACTGATGTCATGGTTATTCACCTGAGAGGAAACAAAATTAGGAGTGCGCGCTTGTGCACATGCGAAGCAAATCGGCTCTTGATTTATCCTCAGCAATTGCAGTTGAGGAAGGTCAACAACTCCCAGGGCCAATGAAAACAACACGGAACTGCAGAGACGAAATCTCAAGTTCCAGATTTCCAGTGATATACCCCAAAAATTGCGACAGAAACCTTGCATGTGGAAAACCACTGGGAAGAAACGCTAGTCAGCCAAATATTGAATACACCCACCCATGCTGGGGCCGTCAAAAGACTGGCTTTCTGGGAAGATCCTCAAAATTGAAATGTTATTATTCGCCATATGGCCATATGACACTTCTGATTCCTTATATATAATACTACGCAGCAGCTTCGACCTACCACTACCTTACTTATATATCTTATATATAATTATATCTGTAATTACCCCCAAAAGTGAACCATCAAACCCCGATCTTCTTGAAGCCATCTGAAATCGCTCTGTCGCTGTGATGTATATTTTTTTTTGCCAGGTCACCACTTTCTTCTTGAAGTAAAGTTCGACCCCATTGACGAAGGTGTGCAGATCCAGATCGGACCTTCGCGCCCATACTGAGTGATTCATTATGGATGTTCCGCTAACGGAGAAACTGGCCAAAAGCTGACTCAAGTATTTGCCAGATTATGTATGACTATATACTATAAACATTATACTATAAACATCATGACGAAACACGTGGATATAACTTTGCCAATTCTGATCCTTGAGCCTACTTTAGAGCATCCAGTTGGGGGGATCAATATTGTTGAGCCAATGACATGGGGATAGAAACTCCTTGAAGATGACATGAAAAACGTCTTGGGCCAAGGAGTCCCGCAAAAAGGGATAGTATAGGAAAAAAACAAATCATATCGTAGATTTATATTATGTGTATATATATATACTGTATATACTGTATATACTGTATATACACTGTATATACATATATATATATAATATACATATATATATACAGCCCTATGTCTATACTATACAGCATGACAAGCCACGAGAAATGCCACCGAGGCGCTTGTGTGGAGCCCCATCCAGGCCCCACATCAAAGTCACCGTGCACAGCGAGGTCACGTTCTGCTCGCGGAGGCGATCCTGGCCACTGGAAACTGGGGTGCCCCATGTTCCGACAAACTCTTTTAATCAATATATGTATGTATGTATGTATGTATGTATATATATATATCAATCTGGATAATATATATATATATATATATATTATATATATATATGTTAAGCAATATCTAGGAGGGTAAGACTGATAGATAATGTGTGAGATAATGTGTGTGTATTTTACATATACAATATAAATATATATATATATATACACAGCCAATATCTTGTATGGTATCAAATATGCGGATGACATTGAAAACCATGGCTGTGATATCGATATTGCATAATTTTGCTATGGAGTGTGATTCTTTTTATAACAGGAGATCAGCAAAGAACATGACACAAAATCTCGGGGATCAACATGCTCTATGTAGTTTGGGAATATAATATATATATATATCAACTCAAGAACAACCATGGCGATTTCTTCATCAACAATGATAATCCGCCGACCCCTCCAAGGGGGAGGGCGCCAGAGAAGCAGGGATATTGCGAATTTGGGCGGTTCCCTGTGGCTCACAGGTCTCACTTTCTGCCTTATCTTCCCTATCTTAATGCATTCCTTAGGTGACGTTTGGCATCCTGGCTCTGGGGTTCCCTGTTTCGGAGGATTTGGGGGGTTTCGCAGCCTTTGGGGGCTCACAGTCTCACTTTCTTCCTTATCTTCCCTATCTTAATGCATTCCTTAGGTGACGTTTGGCATCCTGGCTCTGGGGTTCCCTGTTTCGGAGGATTTGGGGGGTTTCGCAGCCTTTGGGGGCTCACAGTCTCACTTTCTTCCTTATCTTCCCTATCTTAATGCATTCCTTAGGTGACGTTTGGCATCCTGGCTCTGAGGTTCCCTGTTTCGGAGGATTTCGGGGGTTTCGCAGCCTTTGGGGACTCACAGTCTCACTTTCTTCCTTATCTTCCCTATCTTAATGCATTCCTTAGGTGACATTTGGCATCCTGGCTCTGGGTTCCCTGTTTCGGAGGATTTGGGGGGTTTCGCAGCCTTTGGGGGCTCACAGTCTCACTTTCTTCCTTATCTTCCCTATCTTAATGCATTCCTTAGGTGACGTTTGGCATCCTGGCTCTGGGGTTCCCTGTTTCGGAGGATTTAGGGGGTTTCGCAGCCTTTGGGGGCTCACAGTCTCACTTTCTTCCTTATCTTCCTTATCTTAATGCATTCCTTAGGTGACGTTTGGCATCCTGGCTCTGGGGTTCCCTGTTTCGGAGGATTTGGGGGGTTTCGCAGCCTTTGGGGGCTCACAGTCTCACTTTCTTCCTTATCTTCCCTATCTTAATGCATTCCTTAGGTGACGTTTGGCATCCTGGCTCTGGGGTTCCCTGTTTCGGAGGATTTGGGGGGTTTCGCAGCCTTTGGGGGCTCACAGTCTCACTTTCTTCCTTATCTTCCTATCTTAATGCATTCCTTAGGTGACGTTTGGCATCCTGGCTCTGGGGTTCGCAGAATTTGGGGCTCCAGTCTTACTTCTTCCTTATTTCCCTATCTAAGCATCTTTAGGTGACGTTGGCATCCTGGCTCTGGGGTTCCCTGTTTCGGAGGATTTGGGGTTTCGCAGCAATTTGGGGCTCACGTCTCACTTTCTTCCTTATTCTTCCCTATCTTAATGCATTCCTTAGGTGAGTTAGGGGAATCCTGGCTCTGGGCGCTTCCCCCTTGGGTTTCGGAGGAAGGATTTGGGGGTTTCGCAGCCTTTGGGGGCTCACAGTCTCACTTTCTTCCTTATCTTCCCTATCTTAATGCATTCCTTAGGTGACGTTTGGCATCCTGGCTCTGGGGTTCCCTGTTCCGGAGGATTTGGGGGTTTCGCAGCCTTTGGGGGCTCACAGTCTCACTTTCTTCCTTATCTTCCCTATCTTAATGCATTCCTTAGGTGACGTTTGGCATCCTGGCTCTGGGGTTCCCTGTTTCGGAGGATTTGGTGGGTTTCGCAGCCTTTGGGGACTCACAGTCTCACTTTCTTCCTTATCTTCCCTATCTTAATGCATTCCTTAGGTGACGTTTGGCATCCTGGCTCTGGGGTTCCCTGTTTCGGAGGATTTGGGGGGTTTCGCAGCCTTTGGGGGCTCACAGTCTCACTTTCTTCCTTATCTTCCTATCTTAATGGATTCCTTAGGTGACGTTTGGCATCCTGGCTCTGGGGTTCCCTGTTTCGGAGGATTTGGGGGGGTTTCGCAGCCTTTGGGGGCTCACAGAGGTGACGTTTGGCATCCTGGCTCTGGGGTTCCCTGTTTCGGAGGATTTGGGGGGTTTCGCAGCCTTTGGGGGCTCACAGTCTCACTTTCTTCCTTGTCTTCCCTCTCTTAATGCATTCCTTAGGTGACGTTTGGCATCCTGGCTCTGGGGTTCCCTGTTTCGGAGGATTTGGTGGGTTTCGCAGCCTTTGGGGGCTTACAGTCTCACTTTCTTCCTTATCTTCCCTATCTTAATGCATTCCTTAGGTGACGTTTGGCATCCTGGCTCTGGGGTTCCCTGTTTCGGAGGATTTGGTGGGTTTCGCAGCCTTTGGGGGCTTACAGTCTCACTTTCTTCCTTATCTTCCCTATCTTAATGCATTCCTTAGGTGACGTTTGGCATCCTGGCTCTGGGGTTCCCTGTTTCGGAGGATTTGGTGGGTTTCGCAGCCTTTGGGGGCTCACAGTCTCACTTTCTTCCTTATCTTCCCTATCGTAATGCATTCCTTAGGTGACGTTTGGCATCCTGGCTCTGGGGTTCCTTGTTTCGGAGGATTTGGTGGGTTTCGCAGCCTTTGGGGGCTCACAGTCTCACTTTCTTCCTTATCTTCCCATCGTAATGCATTCCTTAGGTGACGTTTGGCATCCTGGCTCTGGGGTTTGTGGGCAGAGGGGGGGAAAACGGGAAAGGGTTCCATAACAGCCCTACCTAGCAACATCATTGGAAAAAAAAGTTCTAAAAAACCGGACCCAAAAAGCACCTACGATCACAAAGCCTGCCCCCCCCCCCCCTGTTTCGGAGGATTTGGTGGGTTTCGCAGCCTTTGGGGGCTTACAGTCTCACTTTCTTCCTTATCTTCCCTATCTTAATGCATTCCTTAGGTGACGTTTGGCATCCTGGCTCTGGGGTTCCCTGTTTCGGAGGATTTGGTGGGTTTCGCAGCCTTTGGGGGCTCACAGTCTCACTTTCTTCCTTATCTTCCCTATCGTAATGCATTCCTTAGGTGACGTTTGGCATCCTGGCTCTGGGGTTCCTTGTTTCGGAGGATTTGGTGGGTTTCGCAGCCTTTGGGGGCTCACAGTCTCACTTTCTTCCTTATCTTCCCATCGTAATGCATTCCTTAGGTGACGTTTGGCATCCTGGCTCTGGGGTTCCCTGTTTCGGAGGATTTGGGGGGTTTCGCAGCCTTTGGGGGCGCAGAGTCTCACTTTCTTCCTTATCTTCCCTATCTTAATGCATTCCTTAGGTGACGTTTGGCATCCTGACTCTGGGGTTCCCTGTTTCGGAGGATTTGGGGGGTTTCGCAGCCTTTGGGGGCTCACAGTCTCACTTTCTTCCTTATCTTCCCTATCTTAATGCATTCCTTAGGTGACGTTTGGCATCCTGGCTCTGGGGTTCCCTGTTTCGGAGGATTTGGTGGGTTTCGCAGCCTTT